TTGCTGTGTGGCACATCCCTCTTTTTCAGGCGGAACCCTTTGTTTACCAACCCAAGTCTCATGCAGGCCTAGGCATCAGGCCCCAGGCAACTAACCCTTGCAACCCCCCAAACAAGGTCTCAAAGGGATTTTCGGGGACCACGTGTCCCTTTTGGGAAACAATGATGGCCCTTGGTTTACGGTTTGCAACCAGGTCGCCATCGATATGTTCCAGCAAAACCAAAACGGACACCAAAAAGAGCCTGAGAGACGGCATGGGTTTTCCTTTTGATTTCCTGCTACACCAACCCAACAAGGGTTCCTATTTCAACGAGACCGACCCGTCTGCCCAACTTGCTGGTGTGATAGGGAATGGCCCAGGGAGCTGGAAATGAACCCAGGGGTCCCCTGAAAGGAAACCACCAGCTGGATGGCTTTTCTCGGGGTCATTCCATTTCCCAATCCCCGCCTAACGCACCAGCAAGCCCAACATTTTCAACTTTTAGTGGGTTGAATGGACATCCAACCACTGCACACCAACAAGCTCACAAGAAAACTCCGAAGGAACGGGATGAATCCAAAAAGCCAAAAACAAACAAAAGCACAAGACAATTTGGCTGGCAGGGAATCCCCCACCCAACCAATTCCACCCGACCAATCCGTCGCCGGGCGGAGGTTCTCCGGCCGCGTTGCACGCGGTATCTCCGGTCCAACGCCTCCAGCTCCAAGGCCTCCTCGAGTTCTGCGCGGGCCAAGCTGCCGGGCAGGTCCTCCGAAGGAACTTCGCCGGCGCTTGCGACGCGTCCGGATCGATGACTCCAAGCGGAAGAAGCGCCGGCCGTGTTTCTTTCTTTTTCTTCTCCCCGGGCGAAAGGTCGGGGTGCCAAGACCCTCCGGAAAAAATGTGGTCCTTTTTCTTTGAAGATGTTCAGATGGATTCCAAGTGAAGGATTCAAGACTCCCAGCGTTTTCTTGAAGATGTGCAACTGGATTGAAATGGAGCAGCCAAAGGCAACTGCTCAGTGAAAGAACAAGGAAGTACATTGGGGAAAGGTGCGAAGGAGCACTTGCATGTTGGAGAAAAGCAAATTGGGGGTGTTCTTGGTACTTTGTTTTGGGGCGGATTTAGAGGGAAACCAAAAGGAAACCACGAGTGTGGAGGGTTCCCCCTATTTTGACACAAACCTAATTGTGAAGCGGGCACATGTTGATGTATTAGTGTCAACATGCAAGCCTATCCTTAAGCGCCTTATCCGCTTACCGTCAACCCCAACTCTTCGGAAGCTACCATCCCTGAGCCCGACCTGTGCCGCGATCGTTATTGCGTCTGGGTGTCTTGCTTGTTCGCGAAGACTAGGATGGTGAGGTTCGCAAGGTGCTGGTTACGCAAGGACTTGTGCAACTCATCCCGGGCTTCCCGGATGCGTTGCCGGTCTGAGCTGTCCACCACAAAGATGAGGGCGTTGGTGGATTCGTAGTAATGCCTCCGCCAAATTCATCCAAACAACCCCTCGTGATCTTCTTTTGTGAAGAAAGACTTGGTTTACAAGGCCTCCATTCTGGATGGTCCCTTGACACTCGCAGCCTGTGGCTATTTCCTGAACCTCCACCCGAAGATACCAACATCTGAGTCGTAGCTCTTTTCACTCTCTAAGAAGTGGAAGCCTTCTCCGTGGATTTCCATGAGGAAAAAAGGGCATCCTTCTTCTTGTGGGGATTAAAGGGAACCCTTCCCCCAAAAAAGGAAAAAGGGCAACTGGGCAGCTGGGACAACGAAGCAACCATCTTGGGCCACACAATCCATGCAGGTCATATATGGAATATTATCCACCATTTGACCCATTTGGAGAGTAAATGAGGGTCTGGGCTGTCAACCAAAAAGATCTAAAAAGCTAAGTTGAACCGGATGGCCTTCGGTTAAGCCAAGGGGCTTCTGGGGGTTGATCCAAAGCTCCGTGATACATTGGATGACCATTGGTTGGAAACCCACGAGACAAACATTTAAGATATGTCCCACATGAAAAAGGTCTTCCTGGTCAAAACTGGACCGCCCTAGATGGAATATTGATCAACACAGATCTTCCATGTGCCATCTCCTCCTCGGAATGACCATTGGTTGGATGAGCTCACTCAAAGTCTCCATGGTCATTTTGTTTGCCCTCCACGGCCTCTTGATATCACCCACGTCTCTTCCATCCACGTGCCATGAATCCTGCCGCGCCGCGCCCGCGCCTCCAGAGGCTTCGGATGCGGGGATCCCCACCCACGTCCCAAATGGACACCTCAGCGAGCGAAGAGCCACACGTGTTTTTCCTGTTTTTTAAAACTCCCCGAGCTTCTGCGAGCGACCCGAAGGAAACAAGAACAACAAAACAAAAAAAGAGGAACATATCCCCGAGCTTCTGACAATACTGAGGTCTGTGATTTCTTGAGGGTGTACCGTTCTTTGTTGAGGTGGTCTGCGATTTGCCGAGTGTTCCTTAGTAAACCCTCCCAGGTTCACATGGAAGCTCCCGAGACTTCGACAGGGTTCCGAGGCTTTCTGGGAGCTTCCATGTCCCGAGGGAAAGCCCTAGGATAAAGTCGGTCTCACGTGGACCCATGTTGGTCAGGAGCCCTCTGCTTGTTTTAAAAGGCCAAGAGGGGAACCATTTTAGGGGGAGTGTTTGTCGAAGAAAAACAGAAACGGGTGAAAAGCAAACGGTTCGACAGGTGGTCTAATACGGTCTAACTGTTGCACACCTCTATCATGCCGCCGTAGTGAATGCTCTCCACGTTGAAGCCAATCGTGGGCCTCACTGGGCTGGCTCACCGCATAATTCAGGGGGCCGGTATGGAAGCAGACCTCCATTTGCTTCAGTGCCCAGGCAAAAAAAAACACAATGAGTGGTAGATTCCCTTTAAGACCAACAGGTGAAATCAAACTTATTCTTAAGCAAATGGAAGTAGGACCTGATTACAACGGTTTATATTGGTTGTATTATCCCTATCAAACCGGGTAGAACAACCTAAAATATGGCGCTGTTTGTTCGGGGGATGCGCGCTGGCCTGGTCTCGATGTAGGCCCCGTTCTTCAGGAAGTAAAGGATGGTCGTCTTTCCAGCGGCCTCCAGTCCCAGCATCACCACACGCTTCTCGGATCGGCATCGGATGGGCCGCAGGCGAAGAATCACGCCGCCCATGCCCAAGGGACTGGACACACAATCCCAGCACATAGGGATGCAAACTGAAGACATGTTGATGCAAACAAAGCCAGATAATATTTTGAACCAAGGTGCAAGATTCAGCGCATGTGTTGCTTGCGTTCAAGGTCATATGTGAAACAAGCCGGCTCAAGTTCTTCAAGCGACTGCACATCTCAAACCGACAAGTGTGTGTATGTGATGATTTGACGGACCCGCAAGTAGGTAGCTGCCGAAACTCCTTCTGACATGGCTTGCATCAACTTACAGCTGTTAAATCGCAGTTTCCAAGCTTCAGACACAAGGAGAACAAGGAATGAGAGCTGCGATTGTGTCAAACATCTGTCATGGGTCACCCAATGCCTGTCTAAGCTCGGTGGCTTTCTGCTCTGCTAAAAGTCACTCACTTGTAGTGCTTTAATTCGGAAAAAAAACCCATTTGGCAAAAAGTGAAAGCCCACCAAAGAAAACACACAGTCTTCTTTTATCAAAGGAGCCCCTAACATGGGCGGTTGCCTGTTGGTTTCAACCGGCCGTTTTGCCTGTCTAAGGGCGTCATGGATCCTTCGCTTCGGGCGATTGGCCATGAGCCTCGGAACATCGGCGAAGCCACGCGGTCAGCTCGAGCCGCGGGAGCCGCGAGGCGGAGATCCGGTGGATGGCCGCTGCTTTGTGGTCCCGGATCCCAGGCATGGCAAGCCCACTTATAGGTAACCACATATAGGTCCTCCAGATTTGAGAGGTTAGAATAAGACGGTACCGACTTTTGTCAGTCTATTCTAATAAGCTCACTTGCAACCACGGCTCACTTGCAACAAACACAAAACCATGGCAAATATGGGTGTCCATCAAAAAACAAAGACACTACAACACAAAACTGGCGAGTTTCCTTTAGCTGGGTCCTTCAGAATAAGGGTACCCGATGTTTTTCAGTTTTGTCTATTTTAGTAGGGGAACCCTTCCCGACAAAAGGGGAGAGAAAGGGCAATACTGGGGGACCTAGACATATGTTTCTTTTGGTTCTTAAAGGGTTCCCTTGGTTCCCTACTATACAGTCCAATGGATCCACGAAAAATTATGTAAGCTTAGCAACTCTTTTGCCCCTCATGTTGCTGCTTTCCTCTCATGATTCTTCTCACCCGGACATGGCACTCTGAACTTGGTTGCTGTTGACTCCCCTGCAAAAAGTTTAACTTTTTGGGGGTTTAGTGGAAAACCCCCTTGATGTCCCAAAAAGTTGAAGTCTAAAGATCCAACCCAATAGCAGTCAAGTGAAATGGCCACGGACTGGGACTGCCATAGTCGATCCTTCAAAGGGACATATAGATATCCCTGCCTCAGCTTTAACTCAGGCTACTGTCCCTAGCCCCTGATGTATCCGACTGATGCCATTTCGAGTCATTTCCGACATACTGTGGATGGACAAAATCCTGCATCACCCAAGAAACCCTGAAATGTGACTCCCCTCTAAATACCAACAAAGAATGGTCTCCAAAGGGTTTCAAAGTGGTGCAGGATTTCGTCCATCCACAGTATCACCCCACCCAGAAGGCTTAATCCAAATTGGCACAACATGTCCTGTTCAAACATGGACCCCTAGAGGGGCTATGGGCGGGGGGCTATCCATGGGTAAGCCAAGGATAGGGGCTAATAGGGGAGTTAGCCCCCCCCTCCCCACTTCGCCCCCCATAGACTTCCATTTGGTTAAGAGCCCTGGAAAAAAATCCAGTAGTGATAAATTCCTTTTGAAACCAACAAGGAAGCAAATGGAAGTAGAGCTCCATGAGTTAAACCACCTACAACGGGGAAGCATAAGGACCCACAGGTTCTCAGCTTCGCCTCCACTCGTCGGCAGCAGGCCAGGACGGCTGTGCCAGCGATATCCACAGGGGCGAAGTGCCTGCAGCTCGAAGCTTTTTGGGCCATGAAACAGAATGAGGGAATGAGCCCTATGAACCGTCTCCCTGTGCTTAGTGGGGAATCAGACCACTTTTAGAGGGGCCAAGAATTACCCCCGATTCATAAACTGGGGTTGATGATTACTGCGACAACCCCTGTGAACCATCCAACTGGTGCTTCAAGGGGGCCGTCACAAACAAAACGTGAGATGTGCTTTTGGCTTCCTTTCAAACCAACCTCAAAAGGGGCACCGAATCAGAAACGCACACGCGTTTCAAATGCGCGGAACGGTCCAGACGCAGCGAGGCTTTCTCCTCTGCCAAGACTCCACCGGAACATCTCGGAGAAGAGTTGCACGCCCCATGTCCAGCCTAAGCGAGAGCCGAACCTCTGAGTGGCAGTGGGGACATGTGGAGTACCCCCTTTTGGGGTGGTCTTTTACAGGGAAACCAAAAGGCAACCAGCCATTTTGGGGAGGCCGGCCCACGCATGTGATCGTTTAGCATACTCCCAACTTCTACTTAACTCTAGCTTTGGTTCAGGTTTCGTCTTAATTCTTAATGCCAATTAAACTGAAGAAAGATATGAATTGCTGCCTGCCACATGAATGCCAATCAACTGCAGGAGGCTCCGTAATAAGCAACACAGTGTTGAAAGCATCATTTCTCTGTGGGGCGCTCTTGGGGCAAGTGGAGTAGTGGACAGCAAAATACTTCAACTGGTCAGTCATGCTGGACATGACATGAAATGACCACAGCGAAAATGATACGAACATCCACCAAAAATGAACTCTTTCGAAGCAGGAGCACAAAAAAGCTCTTCAGCACTACCTCCGAGCAGTGCTAAACCCAAGCTGAGTAGCACTAAACTCCTGGACTTGAAGGCAAGTGCGCAAGCAAGCAGCTTGATATCAACTAGCAGCGCCACGCAGGGTTCATAAGAAACCGACAGGACTCGTGATCCCACGTTCACGAACCAGAAACCGGATTCCCTAGATTTGCCCTTTAAACCATCGTGCCAAAAGACGGCTCACTTTGAATTGGCCCAATGTTTTGATGTTTAAACTAAGGGCAAATACGGGAGCCCTGAAGAAATCCGATCGCAACTTGATCCTCGCTCACCTTGGCCTGTTGGGCTTCCTGCATGTTCATGGGAACAGTCGGACCTTGAACAAGAGCAATCTCCATCCCAAATGACTGGAACCCCTGGACAAAAGGAGTGATTTTCAGGCTCTCAACAGCTGCTCCATCCACCAAACGGAGGACTGCTCAAGTGTGTCCCAAAGGAGGGCTTCCTGCGCGCAATGCTAAAGTGGGTGATTTCCTTCTGGTTCTCCTTTGAGCCAATCCCAAAATAGTATCCTCCAAATGGACACACTCATATGGCAAAAAACTCCAAAGGCGAAAACCCTCAAAAACGGTTGGTGGACAAAAAACCCGCGAACAATTATGTCCACCAAAGGGTCCCCGATTGGTGTGTGTGTGTGTGTGCCCTTTGGCTAGGGGTACCTCGGATGGAATTTAACAAAGAAAACAAACATGCAACCACCGAGCATGCCTTCAATTGGCATCGTGAAACAAGAACATATCCACATCTATCAAAGAAGTGTGCGTCGAATTTGGAAACTATGTCACAGTTCTAATATTTTCCATAACACACATGAACCTCAACATGTCAAAACAACTACATTGGATTTCAGCAAGCACATTCATGTAGAACCGTACCTTGCACATAGTGACCCCATGATGTACTACCACTTGATTTTCGGTCGGAAACCGGGAAGGGGGACACAATTTATCACAATTTGCTGGTGCTCAGTGCAGTTCGCATTCCCGGCCTATCGAAGCAAGAAAAGGAAGCACCAACCTCTGGTTGGGAGGGACCTGGTGGGAACCCATCCTCCGGTCAACGACCCGACCTGCTGGGCATGGCAACAAGAGTCTTGCACTCAACTAACCTAAGGAGAGCTACGGAATGGATTGTGTTCGTCCAACAAAATCTAGGAGTCCAATATGACGTATCCTTGTTTTTTTTCCGTGGCTACCCTTCTTAGAGTGGTTTTGAAGACTACCCTTCTTGCGGTTCTCAACAGCAATGTATTGCCGGACAGCATGAATTTCGCGTCTGTCTTCAGCTCAATCATGATGGACACGCTTCCTTCCTTCCTTCCTCCCTCCATCCCTCCCTCCCTCCCTTCCTTCCTTCTTTCCTCCCTGCCTTCCTCCCTCCCTCCCTCCCTCCTCCCTCCCTCTTTTCGGGATTGGTTTTGAAAGAAATGGGGAGACCACCACTGAGAAGCAGCTTCCTTCAGTTTTCTGCGGCTCAAACTGATGCTTCACCCAGAAACCTTAGCAACATATACGCGGGCTTCCTTCTAAAAATGCCAAAAAAAACAACAACAACAACAACAACAACCACCTTAACCCCAAAACAAAAAGACCAGGGACCCGCCCAACGCAAGACCCCGCCGAAGGTCGCCGAGGAACTCTGACCCTTGCAGCAAGCGCTCACCGCGGCGTTGCAGCAGCTGGTGTCTACTTCCAAGGCCCGCCGGGGCCTTGCGAAAGGCAAACTGGGCCTCAGATCCCCCGCGAAAAGTTTACCTTTTAGTGACCTTTTTGTGGGTGAAATGGAAACTCCACGTTTTTTGTTGTTGATGTTGTCTAAAAACACACACATACGTTTGATTTTTTGGGGATGAAAAGGTGGACGACTTGTTTTCCCCCCCTTTCTTTTTGTGTGTTGTTGTTCGTGTTGGCAGCCCGTTTTCGGATCCCCCGCTTCAAGTTTGACTCAATTTTCGTGGGTGAAATACGGGAACTACCAACTCTAAACACTGAAAGGCTAAAAGGCGATGGAACCGGATGGCTGGGAGCCATCAAGAAAACACAGCCACGGTTTGTTTGTTGGTTGTCTTTAAACAAAACACATATGTTCGTTTTTTGGGAGAACACATTTTTTTTGGGGGGGAGAGGTGGGAGACTTGTTGTTTCCTATTTTCCACAGTGTGTTATTGTTTGTTTGGGACAGGCTTGTTTGTCGTTGTTTTGGGATGGTTGGACAGACCTTGGGTTCGGGCTTGGGAGTTTGATTTGGGGGGCGGTTTGTTTGTTTGCGTTTCGGGTTTTCCGGCGGTTGAAGGTCCGTGACAAGTCAAGTCCCCAAACGATGAACACCATGTGGCAGAACGCGTCCTGCTGCCTTGCTGGGACCCAACATCCGTTTCACCATTTCAGGGGTCCGCTCGGCGCAAGCTGGTTTTCCCGGCCGGGGAACCAAACAAAAAACCATGCAAACAGGCACCCTCAAAAACACAACAGACCCACAGGGAACCAACCACCCATAGAACCGAATGGCCACTGGAACTCGAAAGAGATTTCAGTTTGGTATTTAAGTGTGGGGAAATCATGTCGACCCCATATTTATCAACCCTAGTGTATGAATCGGGGGTGCTTCTCCCTGTGTTTTGTTGGGAATCAGATTTTAGAGGGGCCAAACAACACCCCCTATGAATAAACTGGGGTTGACTAATATGGACGAAATCCTGCACCACGTAAAAGAACCATGGTTGAAACCACTGTTTCTTGGTATTTACGTTGGGAACCAGCCCATTCCAGGTCTTTTGGGTTTTCGCAACCATCCACAATATCGCCAAAAACCACCCCTATTAATACACTGAAAACACTGTGTTGCGTAGCAGTTTTCATGTAAAAGTCACATCCCCACCAACACCCGGTCTCCTTATAAACTGGTTGGTGGATTCACACGGGGTCCATGGGCTTCTTGGAATTCGCAACCATCCACAGTATGTGTTGGAAGGGGCCAAAAACCCCCTAATATACTGCTTGACTGACATGCGGTCAACATGATCTGGGAGACTTCTCATCAAGCTGCATCTGCCGGAAGATCTCGAGCGCTGGACCCCAGCTGCCAGCACGTTCGCAGGCCTAAGGTGGTGACAGGGGAAGCAGGGTGGGGGGGTGGTGTTGGGGTGGTCTTGGTGGGGTGGGGGGGTGGGGTGGGTGGGGTGAGGTGGTGGGGTGGGTGGGGTGGGGTGGGGTGGGGCCGGGCGGGGTGGGGTGGGGCTCCCTCGCATCTGGCTTACGGCCGTGCAGGCGGTGGAATTCTTTTTCCGACGCACGCCTGGCGGACGTCGGCGTCAGTCTTCCAGCAACTGCCGCGACCCGAGCATGTTTTGACTTGAGTGGCTTTCGAACAACAGCGTTGCGCTGTTCTCGAAGCTCAGCGAGGGCGGCGCGTGCCTCGAGAGCCTTCAAACCTTTCGTGTGTTCTTCTATATCTTTTCTCGAGTCTTCTTTCGCAGCAGCGATTCGTCGCTGCCGCTCTTTTGGCGTCTCGCCGTCCTGCGGCCCAAGAAGGGTTGAGGGTTGAGCCGAAACCGCCTTCTCTGGATGGAGCGCACTCTGGCGCTCCGCATGCCAGATGCCCTCCCGAAATGGCTCCAAGGCCGCGGCGTGCAGTGGAGGCTGTCGGCCTCGAGCTAAGGGAGACAAGGAGGTGCGGACCAAGGAAAGTGGGCGCGTCCAAGTTCTCCGCTCGGATTTCGTCTAAGTGCAAGCCGAAAAAGTTAGCTTGGACAAGCTGAGCCAGTGCGGGCGCGCGGTCGAAGTTGTTTGGTTTTCGCGGAAAGACCAAAAAAACCTGCGGTCTCCACAAAAAACGGGCTGAGAGCCTCCCAAAGGGTTCCCGACAAGGGCTCGAACTCCGACGCCGGGCCGGGGCTCCGGGTTCCATTGTCGTCGTCTGGCGCGGGCTCCAGATTTTGTGGGATTGTTTCGCTTGCTAGCGCTTTCTTTGCGCGCGAGCGTTCCTCTTCCGGTCTCCCGCCGCCTGTGTCGGCGAGCGACCCGGGCGCTTCCGCACGCTCTTCTTCCCCTGGCTGTTTGATTTCCTCTTGTTCTTGGGGAAACGAACGGCTCCGGCTTTGGTCGGGTCCGTTTCGCTCGCTAGTGATTGCCTGCGGGGCTGTTAGAGTCTGCGGCTCCGCATAGGGGGTTCAGGGTCTTGGGAGGCGGCCTTGTTTCGGGGCAGCGCCCGAGCGCCGGGGTCCCGGCCGGTCCAGTGTCGACGCCTGGGCTGCGGGCAAGTTGCTTTTTTAGCGAGCGCGCCTTCTGGGTTTGAGCCGGGGAGGCCTGAGAAACCAAACAACACTTCGTTCTCGCCCCCGCGCGGATTCGGATTTGCTCTTCGCCTGGCGCGGGCACGAAGGCTTTCCGAGGCGGGCACGAAAGTTCTGGGCCTGTGCGCGGGGCGCCCGCCCCGAACAGCCAGACCGCAACAACAAGACCCCAGAGACCTCGACTCGTTGCTCTTGAAGTGCACTTAGGGCGCGCAAGGCGTGGCGCGCGGGGCAGGGTTCGCGTATGCTGTTGCTAGAGGGAAAACAACAAGCGTTGTTTATTGTCTCCTACGTGTCCTGCGCGCAGCCTTGTGCCCTTTGACGGGGAGCGGCTAGCTCCCCTCCGCCTGAGGCCGCGGCCAGTTCGACCCCAAGGGTTTATTGGTGACCCAGGCGGGGGCTCTTTCTCGGGGTCTTCTTGGCCGCGGTTAAAAGGTACTCGAAGCGTGCCTGGCCCTAACGAATCGCCGCTCCTCCCTCGTCGCCGCCGACTCACTGCGGGACGCACGGAGAGTAGAAGGGGCGGGGGAGGGGCCCGAACCCACCCCCCTCTCGAAAGCGAGGCGAAATCCGCCGGTCGCCCGCTCCTGCCGCCTCCGCCGGTCTTAGGGACGGTCGCCCCTCCCCGGCCCCGCGTATTGTACTGCCTCGCCAGCCGCGCCAAATCAGAAGCAAGCAGACGACTGGCAGCTGCCTTCCATTAACCCGCAGAGCGCGGCCGACCACCAGTGGCGCTTCTGCCGCTTTGTCACTTTGACCCGCTCAGCACTCCTACCTAAGTGCCAGCTCGGCACTCCAAAAAAAAAGGAGAAAACAAAAAAAAAAGGCGGCGGGCCCGAGCGACTTTTCCGGCGAGGTCGGGATCCGCGGGGCCGGGGCTCACGTCTGTCCTGCGAGGGATCGAGCGCGACGGATCGGAAAGGGAAAAGCGAGGACGGGGGGTCCTCTCCGCGGGCGCTTCGGAGCCGGCGAAGACGAGTCGGCCTGACACGAGAGCGAGGTCGAACAATTTCAACGGACGACGGATGAGCCTGCGGCGTCCGCAAGCGCGAGATCTCCTCCCGGAGAGCGCGGGTGTCCGCCTGACAGGTCGGGTGCGAAGGGGCCGAAAAAGAAGTCGGGAAGCGAGCCTGGTAGCCTTGCGTCCAGCGCTTCTCCGAGAGGAGCTCCGCCTCCAACACCGCGACGCGGGTGTCCTGACGAGAAAAAAAACCCAAAAAGGGGGGAAAGGAAGAGCACGAGCCTTCACGGCCACCTCCTTCATCAGGAGCTCCTGCAAAAACGGATTTGCGCGCCCCGCCCAACCCCGGAAGAGAGAGCCGCGCCTTGGCGGCCTCCGCCGCCACCGCCCGGGCCTCCGCCGCGATCGCCCGTGCCTCCATCGCCGAGAGGCGCTCCTCCTGACGGGGAAAAAAGCGACATCCGAACGGCGAAGAAACGAAGACGCGCCTTCAAGGCGAGGTCCAAACGCGCCTGGTCCTGCCAGGCGATCGGGAAAAGAAAAAAAGAGGAAAACAGGCAGGCCTTCGCCGCGTTGAACGTCGCCTCGCGGCGCATCTTCGACGGAGGCCTCCACGAGCGACGCAAAAAAACGAGAAGAAGCGGCCGAACGAGCGCGCCTACGACCAGGCCGCCACGCCGAGTCCTGGCAGAGGCAGCGTGGAAGGGGGAAAAAAAGAGGGGGGGAAAAAAGGGGAAGAAAGCGCGCCTCCCATCCGGAGGAGCTCCCACCACCTGTCATCGAGCATGACATGACGAAGCGACGCAACCCCCGTCGGCGCCTCCCCACTCCTCTCCGGTCCAACCTGCCGTCAAGCGTCTTCACGACATGACAAAACGATGGAACCCTCCCGCGCCTCCCCACTCTCCTCCACCCCAACCTGGCAACGAGTTTCAAAAAAAAGAATGAACCCCTGGCTCACGTCCCGCCTACATCAGGGCCCCACCGAAGCGCTCCGCTGCCGCTGCCCGGAGCTGGCGGCCAAGCTGCCTCAAGCTGACCAGGTTAGATGGCCAGCGGATCGTCAACAAGATCTGCGCGCGCCATAAGGCCTGGAGCGGCCACGACGAGCCCACTGCCCTGGACGTGGAGGGCGTCCTGAACAAGACGGGGTGGGGTGGGGTGGGGTGGGGTGGGGTGGGGTGGGTGGGGTGGGGTGGGGTGGGGTGGGGTGGGGTGTGGGGTGGGGTGGGGTGTGGGGTGGGGTGGGGTGGGGTGGGGTGGGGTGGGGTGGGGTGGGGTGGGGTGGGGTGGGGTGGGGTGGGGTGGGGTGGGGTGGGGGGTATCCCCAAATTCAATACCTCAGCTTGCTTTCAAGTTAAATGCTGTTGACCCTCTGCAAAAAGCTCTCCACTTGTTGTGGGTGGAAAGCCACTTGATTTCCCAAAAAGTTAAAGTCTAAAGATCCAACCCAATAGCAATCAAGAATGGGTATGTTTATTGGGGACCCCACTAAATGCTGGGTTTTCATGTTGGTTTCCCTTAAAGCCCGGGTGGTTTCCAGGTGTTCCGGGGGTTTGGATCCGGGTGTTCCACGTTTGAATCTTCCGGAAGCAGGGGTTCACATCCAATCCAAACTGCCAACTGAAAGTAACTCGTGTAGTTCCAGGGCACACTTCCCCATGCTTTCCAGGGATCCTTCTTTTCAGAAAACCAGCAGAATCCAACGAATCCAAGGGGAAGATCGGTTTTTGAAAAGAACGATGGTGGAAAAGAATGGACAAGGAATCAACCCAAAGAATGGTAGCATTCTTCTCCAAAACGACCAAAACAAACCCATTTTCGCGCAGTTTGTTTTTTACACCCACAGCCTTGCAACCCGACCGACCGACGAGTCAGGCGCCCGTGCCGTCACCAAGGCGGAGAAGGAGATAAGATCGGGCTGCAGACCACGACCTACGCAGCGCCCCGTGAATGAAGGAAGTCTGGGCTGCCCGTTCTCGGATCCCCCGACAAGTGACTCACTTTTAGTGGGTTAAATGGAAACTACCACTAAACACTACAAGGCTAAAAGGCCAAGGGGACGGCTGGGAGTCACCAAGAAGTGGATAATTGGGGGCTTCCATGGAAGGACAGTGGTCTCCCAAAACCCGCCTGTCAGCTTTCATGATTGTGGAGGGAGGGTTGTGGCCAATGATGCTTCCTCTGCCCTTGGATCAGAACGGACAGCCTTGGTACAGGACCTGTGTCCAAGTGTTGCTGGGGCTGAAAGGTTAAACCGGACGATCGGCACGGCAAGCAAAACCCAATCTACCACATTCACCGTAGGACTTCTCTACCAGAATACATACTGTGGTCTAGGTATCCAAAAACTGTGGTCGAGCCCTCATACGCAATCTGAACATGTTTCACTTGCTTACAACTCTATCTACAGTTGTTCACTAATATGTTTGTACCAGACCATCCGTGTATATATACATATATATATATATATACTCACATATCTATATATATATATATATATACAGCGTATGTGTCGCAAGATACCGAACTCGTGGATCTTCATGCACATGCTCATCCATTTGCTCAAGCCTGGAAGCATGAACATTGCTTCTGGGAAACTTTCCCTCTAAACAAAATACACAAAACCTCAGATCCTCTGAAGCCGTGGTTTTTTCGCGTGTGCCTGGAAGGACCCTTAGAAGCTTCGAAGCCTCTCGTCTTGCAGCCAACCAACCCCAAAGGGTGCTGATCTCGTTTCCGAGCCCCAAACCGAGTGCTTTGCGTTTGCAACAACACCATTTTGGTCCTGGCAAAACAAGCCCCAAACTGGGTGATTCTTGCTTGGGGACTCTGGAAGTGAGCTGGGTCTCAAATATCAGCTTCCCTCTAATCGGTGGTTTGGGGTGGTGGTTTGGAGGTTTGGGGTAATCACCAACTAAGGGCTACCTGAAACGATTGGTATACCTGAAGGCTCACTCGGGTTCTCAAGTTTGTGGGATCCCATGTTCTTTCTCTTAGAGGAACAAACCAAACACAGCCAACGAGCACAAAAAGCAAAGTCCAGTCTTCCCTAGGCTCGGATAGGCAGGCTGGTTTTGGGGCAGCTTTCGAGGGTTTGCCTCCGGATTTCAGGTTGCGGGGGTGTTGGGTCCTGAGACCACCTAACCTTTGTTGAACCAAAAGAAGCCGGAAACCGACCGACCAACCAACCCCTGCTGCACTTGGGTGTGTCTTTTCTTCAAGATTGGGAACCCCCAAAATGGGCTTTGGTTCTCCTCTTGGTTTCCATTTAAAGTCACAACCCCAAATTTGCTGGTGCGCTTGGCAGGCCAGGGAATGAGAAATGGAATGACCCCGACAAAACCATCCAACTGGTTTCCTAAAAACGGTTCATTCCATTTCTCATTCCCTATCACACCAGCAACCAACTTCAAACAACGAGGTATCGCACCAGCAAGAAAAAGACAAATCGAGGCGCCCAGCCCCAAGAAGTACGAGCCTCCGAAAAATCCTGACTGTGGCAAGCAAAAAGAAATCCCCAAAATGGCACTTTGGTATATCTCACTTGCCCAAAGGACCTGGACATAAAAGGTTCACCTTTTGGGACCTCCACTAAAAATGGACCAAAAGTTGGGAAAACCAAAAGGTCAAAAGGTCGGTTTTGAACAACTGAGATATGGAAAGGTATATGGCCATGGGTCAAAATCCCGTACCCCCAGTGGACATCCCAATCCCCGTAAAATTGACTAAACGGGTGGTGCACCTACCCCAAAATGGTACCAAAACGGTTTTTACCCACGGCCATATGGAAACAAAGACCAAAACCTGCGTAACCCCGGCTGTTGAATTTTGAGCCACCGATGAACATCGCCTCGGATTTTCAGCCAGGCAAAGGACGCGCGCCAGGCCGAGGCGCTCAACTGACGGCAAACCAGACATCGGGGGAAGCGGCCGGCGGGGGAATCGGCGGTCTGCCGAGCCCTGCTCGCTTTTAAGGGGCACCAGACACACCCACTTAGGATTTGGACCGAGGAAGAAGCAGGTGGGACCTGGGTGCCGGAAGAAACCGACAAAACGCTTTGGAAACAAAGTGGTGTAAAGAATCTGGCAAAACAGCACAAGGAAACAAACAGAAGCGGCTCTTGGACCCAAGGGACAAAGGCTTATACAGGCGTGGTGCCCAGGAAGCATAGTGAAGACATAAGGCTTTGTTGATGCTAGGATCTGAGCCACCCTGGAACTGCTTCGCCTAGTTAACGACCCTCGGCCCCTTACGAAGGTAACACACATAATTCAAGCCTGCAGTGTCAACGTAGCTAGAGCCATCTTTGTGCAGCTGAAAGCGATCATCAAACCGACTGAGTCACAATCAAAACCTGGTACAAAAATGGTGAACCCAGAACCATGTAAAGAATTAGAAAGGCGGCCGCAACTAGTTCCGGCTGGGACTGCCCCTTACTGGCTCAACTGTTTTGAGAGATCTGACTGGAATTGACACCTTGTCAAAGCTCCCCAAGCTCCAGACTGGAAGCGGACTGCTAAAGTCATCAGCTCTGACAAAGATGGGTATCTGACAACCAGCAGGGCTTATTTTGCACATTGTGAAGTGTCTTGCATTGGCATGTAGCTTGCTTCAAGGTGAATTTGCATTGCAGTTCAAGCTTGAGCTTTTCCGTTTCGGCTGCCTTCTTGCTCACGGACTCGCGTGTTGAGCGAATTTTGATGGCCACTCTTTGCCCCAGATAGATGTTCAACTCACCTTGTTCAAGGCATCACTGGGATGTTGCCTTGATTGAAAGTTTGTTTTAGGGCCTTCTCCTTCTTCTCCCCCAATAAATCGCAGTATCGAACATATAAATACTGCGCGCTACCAAGGCGTTTTACACTAGTTGAACCCAAAGGCCTGAACAACACATCAACCAACTCCCAGCGTGAGCCGTTGAGCCGAGCCCTGGTGATCCACACGTCGAGCCGTTTGATGAGATGTGCTTCTCTTTCGGGCCCGATCAGAAAGACTTGGGGCAACACGCATTACTTACTTGCCCAAAGGACCTGGACATAAAAGGTTCACCTTTTGGGACCTCCACTAAAAATGGACCAAAAGTTGGGAAAACCAAAAGGTCAAAAGGTCGGTTTTGAACAACTGAGATTAACATCATTGCCAAGATTCACAGTGATGATCATTCACCGCCAGCTCTACGGCTAAAGTCAAGCTCCATGTGTCTGGGTGCGCGGAGCATGAGCTCCATTCGTTCCTTTTCGGTGCGACCGAAAACGACCTGCACGATCGCCGTCGCCAATGGCCACAAGGATACTCAACCTACTCCAAAAAAAAACAAGAATGAAACACACGAGCGAAAACGGGCTGGGGCCAAGGTCATGTGTGCGAATGATTAATCCCCGCCAAACCACATTTGGGGAGTGCTGGTGTTCAGTAGAGAATGTGGGAATGAACCCAGGGGTCCCCTCAAAGTAAACCACAAGGGATGGTTTTTGTCGGGGTCATTCCATTTCTCATTCCCTGCGTATAGCACCAGCAAGTTGGTACGAGTGCCTCAAAATCTGGCCATGGTTCAAAATCCTGTACCCCCAGTGAACATCCCAATCCCCACTCAAATCGAAAATGAGTGGTGCACCTACCCCAAAATGGTACCATTGGTTTTGACCCACAGCCATCTGAGTCACTTCCGTCCGGTCCCTCCGGTTGGTCGGTCCTGGATGTTCAGCGACACAAGATCTCGCTCCAGGCCGAGCTCCTGACGAGCAGATTGACCCGAACTGAGTCTCACTTCCCATCGAGTGGAGTTGCTGAACAAAGTAGCCGGGAGCTGAATTCATTTGCCACCCCTTGGTTGCTTTCTGCTCCCCTACTAAAAGTTTAACTTTTAGTGGATTAATGTTGGCAAAAAGTTAAAGTCCTAACATCCAAGCAAAATGCACCAAAGACCCCAATGGTCCAAACCCAAAAAGTGACAACAGTGCAGGGTTTCCCGGGAAGTGAGTTGAGTCGAGTAACTTGAGGCCATGTTCTGCTAGACTGGTGTCTCTGGCTGATTGATTGGCGTTCCTGAGATCTCTGAATAGCTTTCTTTTCTGCAGATTGGAACTAGGTCCTCCAGTAGAGAGGTTAGAATAAGGGTACCCGATTTTTTTGCTGTAGTCTATTTTAGTAGGGGAACCCTCCCAACCAAAAAAGGGTGATAAAGGGCTCTACTGGGGTTAGGAAAATGGCAAATCGCGCTATGCATTCCCAAGCTGCGATTGGAGTTGGAGAAAGGGAGGAAAGATATCTGCCAAAATTTCAATCCATCAAGCCCAAAAGCAGCAATTTGGGGTACGCGGAACCCTTCCAACAGCTTGGATGCGATCACATGGAACTGCCGTTGTGTTGGGAAGTGCAAAGGTCCCTCTTGACAAATCTTCGCCAGCCCAACTGCACGCTCAGTCCTCCATCTGCTGAAGGCTGTGCCGGGCCTCTTGCCACTTCCCCGACTTCGCCAAGCAGTCCTAGCCATGCCGTGGGGGGTTTTCCCAGAAGCACAGGAAGCCTCCCATCTTGAGGCACCCCAAAATTTGAGGTTCAAAGGTTCGAACCCAAAGTGCATGATAATCCCTGATCCCGCCATGCGCGCGGCTTCAAGAAGGCACCTTCTCGGTTGGCCTGAAAGGCACGGTATAATCATCATCCGAGAGCAAAAATCGTGCCATAGCACTGTTAGAGTCTCATCCAGCCATCATAATCCAAGTAAACGACATAGAACAAACTTCAGAGCCTTCTGCTGAACCAATTGTTGTCAAACGCATGAGAAAAGAACGGCGCCTTCCGTTTCAAATGGCCAAACCTAGCTGTTTAAGAAACCATGTTGCTTCACCTTGAAAGCATAAGCCTAACAGCAAAGAAGGCTACACAATTGGCGCATTCTATCGACGGAGTGCGCAACACCGTATACAATGCAAGGTATATGATAATATTCTTATGTACCAAGCTCATAGATTCCAAGGTATTTGTCCTATTACACCCTGGGAGTACGCCCTCTGGGTGATCACCCTAGCCAATTTCCAGAAGAAAAAAAACTCGGTTTGTTTCGGGCAACTTCCTAGGGTGTCATCCATAGGTGTAACAAGAAAACCCTGAGATAGACCGACTTCAGCGCAGCACCTTTAAATCACGATCATTTCGGTCTCTTTCCACGAGGTAAATGTCCCCACCTTGCCATAGACATGATGCTAACAACATAAGAGCAACAAGCAAAGTAATAATCAAACAATAATAGTAGCGCTCATCTCTGTCCTTAGGAATCCATGACACATTTCATTCAGCGCGTTTGTCTTCTGAAGAAAGACGCATCTCGCCAGTGCGTTGCGAGGCACTGCAGCGGAGTTGAAGGAGATGAGGTCAGGCTCCAGCTGCCACGTGGCAAACTCTCCCAGTGGTGCTCCTCGGGAAGAAAAGGCACAGAGTGACGCAAAGGAGCCCTTTGAGCCGTTTTTTTGTTGGTGTTAGTTGGCTTAGTGGTTCTTTTTTGCTGTTGTTTTCCTGTTTTTCGGTTGGCGTGACAAAAGCCTGACTTTACAGCAAAGATGCATCTGGGTGCCCATAACCAAGGCACACCTCAAATACATTGAACAAACTGGAAACCACCATTTGTTGGTTTTGTGGTTGGTGTTCCATTTAACTCACAAGTTAAAAACGCGTAGCAGGGGAGCTGAAAACGGACAGCCCAGTTTACTTGCTGGTGTGATAGGTAGGGAATGACAACCACTCCGGAAGTTGGGAATGAACTGCAAGGGGATTCCCTTAAAGAAAAACGTGGGGTATGGTTTATAGGGGTCATTCCCTCATTCCCGGCTAAGAACCAACAAGTTGGTTTAACGGGAAAGAGAAGTAGGCTCATGTTGACCTCGGATTTGAGGCAAAAAACAATTTGGAAATCAAAGGCGAGACTTTTGGAACATTGACTCAAAATGGACGAATTCAGGAAATTAGGTCACACACTATTTTTGTGAGTCTAGGTAGAACCAAGCTGAATCGGGTCCCTGAAGCGAACACTCACTGGCTTGACATGCGCCGATCAAACTGAAGCAGGGGGTTCGATCCCAGGTTCCTGCGAAACAAAATGGAAAGGTTCTCAACCATGTGTCCTTTTCGCTAAAATAGATGGCACTGGCAAATGACTAGAACCAACCTGCAACCAGTGCCATCTATTTTCAACTAAGCCGACCTTTAAAGGCCACCTATGTTCTCAACTCGATTCGCTCAGAAGTTGAGTGGCTCCTGCTTATATGCCTCAGCCAGTCCTATGATTTGTCCAAGGCCCGAACTAGGTCCTTTTCCCCCCCTTCACAGTTGGGCATACCTCCACGACAAAATCCGCATTTTTTGAGCGGGACCATATTTAGATGTATATATATATATATGTATATCATATATATATATATATATGTACACGTTTTCAATGAGGTACTAAAAGAAAGAGCCGACCTTTCGGGAGGGGGGGGAGCAGCAAGCTGGAAGCAATTGTTCAGCGACCGAGAAAGAACCGCCCTACCAGCTGACATCGGTCTAGAGAAACACAAAGTCGGGAGTTGAAATCAAACGCAGCCCAATGGTATCATTTAAGTACAGCTCTAGCCGTATCTTACCAATCTATTCTGGGATGTTTTGTTTCAACAAAGGGGCAAATCCCCTCGGAAAATGTGCGGAAAGAACACGATGGGTGCAGAGAATGGGTATGCAACCCTTAGACGATCATAAAAGAATACACGGTACGTAGCCGTGTATTGCTTTGGGGTTTTAAAGCGAGAACCAAACCGACCCATTGTGCTTGGAAACCCCTTTGAGACAAACCCAACTGGGCTGTCCGTGTTCAGGTCAGTTTCACTTGTGGATTTTGATGGAAAACCCTATCACCAAACCAACCGAAAACAAGCTAAGAACAGCTAAGAACAGCTAAAGCAACTAAGGCAGCCCGGGTGGCTGGGAGCTACCAATCCATGAATGCAAACAAATCCAGCTGAAGGTATGGGAACCGCTCGATCTGAAAAGACGCCTGCGGCGATGGCCACATTGAGCACCACCACGTTGACCTCCACCTTCGCCCACGCAATCGGTACAGCAAGCGACTCGCTTCACAACTTGGCTGGAAGTAGGACCCAGGAAAAACGCATATTTGTTGCCTGGATGGTGGCAAACAAACAAAAAAACACACAAACTCAAAGAAGGGAGCTAATTCTGGGGAAGAAAAGGGGGTTGACAAGCTTGAGTGGGGAAACAGAAGTTACCCTCCCACCAATTAACATGGAACCTGACAGGGACCCGGTCCCGTGGAAGGAAAATTATCTTCGAGGACCCCTATGTGAGTTGGTGGGAGGGAATTTTTTTGAGGGTTGGCAAGTTGACATGTTTTTTTCAGTGGGAAGCCAAACAAACTGGAAAAAACGGGTGCCACTGAACAAAAAGTAGATCAAGAATTGAGACCTATTGGAACCTATTCCTTTTTCGGTTGACCTTCTTTGGGGAATGATTATAAACTAAAAATTGCCAACACATATGCATTTCTCGGCCAGGATGTTCCCTCCGTGTTCTGTTCTTCAACTGAGTCTCCATCAAAACCAATCAACATGGGCTACCAGAATCCACGTAAGGAAATCACAAGGTCGCACCTATTGCTTCATTTCTGGCTGGAGTTGTCCCTTACTAGTTTACCTCCCGCCAAAAACGGAAGTGCACCTTAATCTATCTTTGCTAAACAAAATATATGTCCCTTGGATTCTCAAAATGCTGCACCCCTTTTAGTAATTACGCAACACCAAAAAGACACCAACCGTCCTAACTTCAGAATTTGTCTTGTCCTTTGGATGGTTTGAAGGTTGAAGGTTGTTTTCCCCCCAACTGCCCCTTGGGAAAAAACAACATGTAAATTAACAGACAAACACGTATTATGTAAATTGTAATATATATATATATATATACATAGAGATAGATAGATATTCATTGAACGGGTCCCGGCCCAAGCGTTGTCGCTCGCCGCGCCTGGCGCGCGTGCAGCGGCTTCAGCCACTGCAAGCCCTGGGCCCAGCGAGCGCGACAGGCCGCCAGCGCCTACGACGCGATGCGACGTATCCAGTGACCCCAAAAAGGTTTGAGGCTCTCTCAGTTGTTCAGTGACCCTGGGGAAAAAAGGAAACCCTTTTTGGGGCTTGGACAATTTTTAGTGGGGCCACCAAAAAAGGGAAAAAGGGTGCCACTGAACAACTGAGCTCTGGATGGTGGGTTGAGGTACCTGTTCTTGAGGGTTTCCAAAGCTTTAACCACACAAGGGCTACACTCCCTGGTGGTTGTCCTGTTGGTTTCCCGTTACGACTCAAGGGGGTACACGGGTACACCCAAAAAGACAAAGAGCCATAGGGATGGTCCATACTGTGGAGGCGCACTCCCTAAGTCTCGGGGAGGGTACTGGAAGCCCTAAACATTGCAAGTAAACCAACCACAAATTTGTGAATTGACCAGGTTTAATTTGGTTCTTCTATTTGCAATGCTGTGGATGGACAAAAAGCAGTTCGCAACATATGTACACGCCAACAAACAATGGTTTCAACCATGGTTTCAAAGTGGTGTAGGATTTCGTCCATCCGCAGTATGTATTCACGAGAAAAGCAGTGGATATGTGATGTTCTTACGTCAAATGATGTCATAACGGTGATGAAAGCGGCTACCCCTAAACACATGTTCTTGTTCGGTGTTGTTTGCCTAATTTAGATATGTTGCAAGAAGGGACACATGGGAGTTGATCTTGGGAGAACACCATGGGCTGATGATCTTCACAAGAGCAAGCTGGTGCTGAACAAGGATGTACCCTGCCCAGCACTATCACTCACACTGACCTGAAGTACCGGGCTCTTGGGTAGGCTTTGAGCATGACTCACCTACAAACCCTGGTGCCATCCTCCAATTGTCACAAGTTGGCAGACCATTGCCGATCCAAAATCCCAACGGGGCAGCGTCCAAGCCCGATACCTTTCCGCGGGTGGTGTTCTTTGAGCAGTGGCTGGTTGGCTGCCGACTGTTTGCAGGGAGAAATACGCCCAGATAAATCCCCAACAGCCCGGAACCTCTTGGAACCCTCCCTGAAAGATGGCCCAAACCACCCCAGAGCTTATTTGGAAGGAGACCCCGTAGCTTTCAGCTGGTGGAGAAAAATGCGGGTTTGTCCGGAGCCTCAAAATCGGTGGCTTTCCTGTTGGTTTCCTTTAAAATCCATCCCACAAAGGGTACTCTAAAAGACGACAGACCCATGTGCGTTGTACGAGAATTCCAAACCCAGATCCCCAAGGACCTTCATGGTGATCAAGGTGTATACACATAACAACATTTCATGATCAAGCGGCTTGCCTGCTTCAGAAGCTAAGCTTCTCAAAGCCACCGAAAGAGGGGGCCTTCCAAAAAAAGGCGAGCCGACCAAAAGAGGCATAAGCCATGCAAGACTTGCCCTGGACTTGGTCAATCCCTTCGTACCCAGCTGCGCTTCGCGAGGTCAGCGCGACACTCCTCGCTGCAAAGGTCCTTGGCGCGCAAATGGCACAGGCAATGCGAAGTCCTCTTTTGAGCCGGATCCGGGTGGCTCGTCATGTAGGGTACCTTTTTGCTCGGCTTGAAAGAAAGTGAATCCACAGGAAACATGTGTTTGTGTTGTTTCACCCTCTTCTTTTTTTTTTTTGGGGGGGGGGTCCTCTAAACCAATGACTCACCTATACATGGAAATCAATTGCCGTGAATGACCCAGAAAGGCTCGACATCCCACACCGTCTACAAGCCGAGCGGCGCCACTACCCCAACAACCCGAACTGGGTGGCTCGTCTAGTTGTTGGTCTTTGCTTAAGGAAAACCACAATGGAGACCGCTAAAACAAGACTTACAGCCGCGCGTGAAAGGAACACTCCATTCTGCCAAGAAAACTGACCATGTTCCAGCAGCACCCCCTTGGTTCCTTTTTGCTTCAATCCGGATGCACATATAATTGCTTTCAGCTCGCGTTCCACAACTTTCAAATTCGGGTGTTTCTCACAATGGGGCATAATATTGCTTATACTAAAGGACTCTTAAGTTCTGCCTGGGTCTCTTCTGAGTTCGCTTCAATGGCATTCTTACTTGCCCAAAGGACCTGGACATAAAAGGCTAACCTGTTGGGACCTCCACTAAAAATTGACCAAAACGGGAAAACCCAAAGGTCAAAAGGTCGGTTTTGAGCACCTGAGCACACCAAGAGTTCCGTGAGTGACGAGACCAGGTCTCTGCAAAGCTCCCAGAGCAGACCTCCAGGGTGCAGCTGACCTCACAAGCATGACACAGCCTTCAAGGAAAAGCCATCGACGCCTTCCGCGCCGGAAAATCCCTTGAACAGAAAAAACAGCCGCACCATTTGAATGCATGGGAGAATTGAAATCAGACATGGTCTGACACAATCTTTGCTCAAAAGTTGACCGAGACAAGTTCACCACGGCACTCTTCTCAGGCACGGCATTGAATTTGCCCGGAACATGGGAATCAACCAGAGTCAGAACCTAAGGGTCTTTGAACCTCAGCCATCTTCCTCAAGCGCGACTTCTCCCAATTCAACCGACGGGGTGCCACGGAGACATGCCCGCAAGTGCTTGGAGAACATGGGCCCACAAAGGCTCCGCTGAGCATGCACCCACGTCACGACATGACGCAGCAGCGCGGCGGTGAGACCAACCAGAGCCAGTGAGCTCACATGATGGAAAACCAAAAAAAAAAAAAACGAATTGGTCTCATCCTCACGGGCCTTTGTTTGCCTCACATGAATATGCTTCTCTGTTTGCTTCGTGGGTGCAGACCATGGGTGCCTGTTTGTTCACGTTGGGCATGAGTATCCAGAGCACCGCGCATTGACGAATGCTTCTGCTTCTCTGTGCGTCTCTCATTCGGTCTAATGGACGAATCCGATCGGAGTTGTTTCACGGCAGTCAACATCTGCCTTAATATGGCTGTGGCTCAAAAAAACGGTACCAAAATCGAACCCTGGTACGTAGAAACATGGACCAAAACCCGCGTAACCCCTCCTGTTTAATTTGAGCCACAGCCATATATGGAGGTACGCCAACCATATCCAGAGTTAATGTCAACTAGCGATGCCACCGTAGAACCAAGGAGAATGCATCCATAGTCTACGCCATGCCATGATATCCCGAGCGGGAACAGCTGAGATATGATGCATCGCAACATCAACTCGTCCTAATTACGTCTTTCAGCATCACTACATTGCTTTGTCTCAAAACTGGGTTCCCTCTCAAAATGTGCTTTCTTTTGCGGATTCCCCCAAAAAGGGTATTCTCAAAAGAAACACACCCTCATCAACTCGCCCACCGCCCAAAAAGAACCGTTCGACGTCGGGTCTGGTTCTCCGAGCCCCGCACAACCCGGAACCGGCCGGGCCGCATGAAGACGTTGAGCATGGCCGCGTCCAGTTGCGGGCCATCTCGGAAGAGCCTTGCCGCTCACTCGCGGGGTGGTGTCCAGTGACTGGCTTCCGATTGGGATGGGCCGACAACAAAGTACCCACATTTGTTAATTTACCACAAGAATGGTCCAAACCCCAAAGGCGGCTCAAGTGGTCCAAACCCACAAAAGTGACTCGAGTCCAGGAGCGCAGGAAGTGAGCTGAAACTGCTGCTGTTGGAGGAATCAAAAAGGGAAACGGTTCTGGACTCCCTGCTTGCTGAGAGAATCGACCGCATCCGGGCCGTTCGATGGGCGGAACCGAAGCCCCAAAACTGAGCATCCGGCCCAGCCGAAACCCGCATGGCTTCCAAACATCCAAGGAGTCAGCTCGAAACCTGAATGCCTTCTACAAGTATGATGCGCATAGGATCAAGGCCTAGCTTCGAGGCATGCGGGTAACCAGCCGCATATCCGCGGGCTTTCTGACTATTATAAAGCAATGCAGTCATTGGCCACCCTGTTCAGCGATGCATGCTTACCCACAATTTGTAAGAATTAGGACCACAGCTACTAGCAACATAGTTCTGGAGGTGTTCGACTCTTTGATGCCAGGCCATGCTCCCGAAACATATACAAAGCTTCAACCCATGAGCGAACGCACGGGGAGTCTGGGAGAGTCCGCTCTACCTCACTGCTGCGTAGGTGTGAAAAGGCCACACAGTGAATCAGGCTCAGCATGCAGGCAGACAAGGACTTTTTTTCGAAGCCGGGCACATTGCATCCATCATACAGCCTCAATAAAACACAAACAGAAGAATCTAACCACACAATTCCCTGATATGACCAGCACTTGCGGGTCTCCCTTGCCAAACAGCTGCCCAACTCGAAGTCTCTGCGGATTCCACAGGGACACTCTGAAATGAGCAATATATAGAAGAAGCATATGGATATGCCTCCCCTGTTTGGTGGTTTTAAGGGAAACCCAGGCCCTAAAAGGAAACAGCCCATATTCACACCAAGGCCAACCAGCAGCTTGTTGCCCCCGGACGCCTTTGAAGCAGAGCAGAGCACGCTGTCCACCTATCGAGAGCTCCATTTTCAAGACGGGGTCAAGCCATTGGGTTGAATGGACAACGCTGGAATGGTGAATCAACACATCAAAACTTGGGACCGCCCAAGTGTGTGCAAAAAGCCATAGAGAAAAAAATGCTTGGGTAAACTCACTTGGGTGGACGGGCAAAACAAACCAAACTTATTCACCCTGGTCCCAGAAACTGTAAACTTCAGGAGCTCGAGACGTGAGAAAACAACCACCAATACCGCCCCCTTTCCCCCAAGTCTCTGCCGAATCTCGGGGAAACTTCTCGTTTGGGGGCGACCAGTCGAAGTCTGCTGCGTGGCTGGTTGCTCTTGCGGCGCTTAGACTTGGCTGTGGCATGAGCTCGCCATCAAAGCTCAGGAAACAGGGTGCGGGGAGTGATACCCAACCCGACCGTCCTCAGTGTAAATATATATGTCGGCTCGACAAATGACCCCAGCAAGGAACCAAGTGCTTGCCTGCACAGCGTGGTTTTGCGGTTGCAAAGATGATGCTGATTGCACCACACATATCTATCTGCAAATCTCACTATAATTCCCAAAACCTTCATCATGGTGAGCTCGGTATATTTTCAGGTGAGCTCGCAAGAAAATCGGCAAATCTATGTCTCATCTACTTGGCGCTGCACGCCTCATGCGCGTCAACCAACTACAAGCAAACGTGCCTGTTCTTGGGGTGCTGGCATTGCACCACTCCCTCGCCTCCGCTTGGCGCCTTCCCTCCAAAAACTCCGCGCCTACGACCGAAACCCAGCTGCCCCCCGCGCGCGCCTCGCACGCAGCGCCGCCAGGCGCGCCGTCTCCGCCGGGCCGTCCAGCGCCCGGCCGCGCGCGGCGCGCGCGGCGTCCGCGGCGTCTAAGGCGCGGCGCCAGGACGCCGAGCGCGCGAGGCGTGCCAGGCGGGAGGTGAGCTGCGCCAGGGACTGTCGAAGCGGCTGGCCGTCGGATGGTTTTAATGGGATGGCTGAAAATGAGGGGAACCTCCCCCCTTTTGGAGGGTTGGAATAGGAAACCAAAAGGAAACCACTTGGGCCCCTGGTTTTCTTTTCTCGAGAAAACGAGCGGATGAAATGGGAGGGGAAGGTATCCCCAGTCAACCTCGAACAATAAATCCGTTTCGGAGGAGATATCTGGGTCTGTTCCTTTTTGGTACCATTTTGGTGGTGTTTAAAGGGAAACAAGCACTAGCGATCGGTGCGATTGGATGTCTCAAAGGGAACCCCCCTTTTGGATGGTCAAGTGGCTATTGGTGCAACAGCAGTCAAATGGCACGTCAACTGGCCAACTCCGTCGTATCCAGAGAGAGAGAGAGAGAGAGTGAGAGGGAGAGTGAGAGATAGTATGAGATAGTAGCGCGAAATGTTCTAAGGGTCTTGTCGAAATGGTAAACCAGAAGCAGCCCATTTGGACAGCAACACAAATCGAGCTACAGCCCAGCCTAAAAAGAAGAACACCAGGGAAAACAAATCACTGAGAGGGCCTGTCAACCCTTCTTCCCTGCATGCTGCCTTTGAATGCTGATAGCGTGCAAACATAGGTTTTCCTTGACTTCTCCAGCAGCCAAAAAGCAGAGTGAGACCCACCAACATGTCGTAGCACGTTTCCTTTTGCTCAGTTTCCTAGGGGACCCATGATGATCACCTTTTGGGGCCACGAAAAATCGACTAAACCAGGAAAACCAAACGGTCAAAAGGTCCATTCGCTTTGGACAACTGAATTGGCTTCACAAAAACCGTGGTTCACATGGCCATCCCTCGCCTCGCCCTGACTCGACCTCGGCGAGTGTCCAGACAACTCAGTGGATAATCTCTGAACTCGTCTGAGAGAAACGGATGGGATGCTCCCCCCTCCCCCTCGGCATGTTTGAGGGGCAAAACATGAGCGCAACATCCTTTGAACTGGCAGCCCTCTAATCAATCGCCACAATTGGACGCCCCCTTCACTCCGGAGCATTGTCGGGCTCAAATCCATCAGGGTCAGCAACTTTGGCTCTGTTCGCAATTGGGGACTGTGATCACTGTGAGCTCAACTTTGCATAAAAAGTAACCTGCCCCCCAAAGGTGAGGACAGTTCCCTCATAGTCAGAACACCCCCTATCAACCAGGGATGACTCATGCCGGGTCACTGATGGAAAACCCGAAAAACTGTTTGCAGATCACCAATGCACTGCTGAGGACGGTTTTGGAGTCCGATCATCAAACCTCTCACGTGTGTTAAAGCAGGGGATATAGCTTATAGCTGTGCGTGTGTGCCTTGACAAACAGGTAAGTCATGACGCTCTGCTCTATCTGGGCAATTGCATACCAATGCTCAAACTTATCTATCTCTGAAATCCCCGTTCTAGGCAAACTCAGCTTTTGCTGTTTGACGGAGCTTGACGATTTTCGGAAGAATGTATGTGCAAATTACTTTTGTTGCATGACAAACAACCGCAAAATACCGCAAACGTCTCCTACTGTCCTTGAGGCACTCCACTCACTTCAAGAACCCAAGGCTGGAAGTCCAAACAGTGCAATTCCTCGGAGATGCAGAAACTCTAGAAACTGCTAAGATGGTTTGTTCAACGCGAGCTCAAACCTCAACCTTGCCATGTTGGGTCTACGCGTCGTTTGCATCAAACTCGCCCAGCTCGCCTGGCTAACCCTCAGGCGCAGTTCATACAATTCGAGCTGCCCGATTTTTCGCGGATGCGCAAACCCGGAGTCCAGGGATGGGAAGACCTCTGCTTTGCAAGCTGCATGGCTTTTCCCTGGGGGGTCTGAAACATCTTTGTCCTGGGCTCCAGGCATCTCTGCCCGCCTGGCGAACTTGCAAGGGGTCAAAGGACCGGAGCCACGCCTTTGGCAGGGTACCTGACCCGAAGTTTGCCTACAAAGGTGGTGATAAACCTAACTCGGATTTAGCTAAAATTAGACCTAATTCAAATTGGCGGATAAGCTTAATAACCTTATATTCAATTAATAAACCTCGCACATTCAAATACATCCAAGTCGGATTTCTACCCGTAGCCAACTAGAGGCGGCCCTCTGCACATTTAAACCTAGGGCCCGTGGAAAAATTCGCTCGCGTCCCCCTGCACCACTCGCACCTGGCACCTTCGGCAGAGCGTCATGGCGGCCCCAAATCCAGATCCATAGGCTATGGACGCGTGGCCCCGGCTCTGGGGGCTTTGGCAATTGGTCCATTGCAAATAATCAAGTTGCTATCCAACATGCGTAGACTCCCTACAATTCCCTGTTCAATCTCAGTCTCCCAAGTTGTTCGTGCCAACTCCTACTGGCAAAGGTTGTCGCTCATGCATGCGATGATTGAAGCGAGCTGGGTGGCTGCGGGGCGTAGCGGAACGAACTAGTTGCTTCGTGCCAACGAAGGAAAGGCGGCAGCTTTTTGGCTGTGGGTCGAAAATAGGGGAACCCCAAAATGGGCTTCCCTGGTAAATGACTAAAACCTGCGGTCCCCCTGGGGCTTAATTTTGACCCATACCCATTTAAAACATCTGAAGTATGTATCCCTCTTCAGAGCACAATGACCTCGGCACTGGCGGGTAACTTCATGAAGTCTGTCTCAGCTGTCCTCTGCATGCGCGAGAGAATCTCGGAAAGTTGTCTCTTTATTGTCGACTCTACAGGGTCGGACTCAGGCTCCAGCTGGGAAGCAGGTCATTTCAGCTTGTCACGGAGGACAAACAATGCTCTTGCTGCAAGTGCACGTGCGCTCGTCATGGGTGTGTGTGTGTGTGCAAGCTGTTTTGCGTAATAGCATGCACCCCCAACATCGTCTTGCTGCTTGGATAGGTAGGGAATAACCAAGAGTTTTGAGAATGAACCTAGGGAGTCCCTAAAGGAAACCAAAAGAGACTGCTCATAGGTGCATTCCCTCGTTTCGTACTAGTTTTCCGTGTTGAGCTAGGCAAACGCAAGGGCTCACTGCGAAACAGACAACTGCAAGCACTGTGAACCGAGATTCCAACACTGACTTCTGTTGTTCAAATGCTGCGCTTTCCAGCATCTGGAACACTATGCACCAAAACGACTGACCTCCCCATACATCTGCATGCCTCGGGAAGACCAGTTGGACCCATGACCCGGGCAAATGACCAGACCGAGTCGACTGCTGAAAAAGAAACCCCGCACAAAGCTGACACTTGCCATAGATGAACAGACTCTATGACTATCGGCAACAAAACATGATGAATACCAAATCTTTGGGTGGCATTCATTCGGGGTGGAATAAGTGGAAACGACAACGATACTTACAAGTTTGTTGCGTTTTTCGTTTCGTGTGCTTCTTGGGGCTGTTTAAGTAAAACCTTTGGGTTTTCCCCTGCTTTCCCCCCAACCACCCCCCGCCGGCCCGACCTCCCTGGCTGAGTCTCGTCTTTTTCCGGCGCTCCGTCCAAAAGCGCATCTCCAAGGCTTCGAGCTCCTCCAGGAGTGCTGGCACCTGAAACTGGGACCCGCCACGGGGGCTGGGGGAAGGAGAAAGCCCCACATGAACTGATCGCACTGTACTAGGTCCTCCAGTAGAGGTGTTAGAATATGGGGCACCCTTGTTTCTGTGGTCTATTTTAGTAGGGGAACCCTCCCCCCAAAAACGGGTAAAAGGGCAGTACTGGGGGACTAGTGTATCATGTGACAAAGATCAAAACCTTGGCAGACCAGCAGACAGACAGACCCACCAAAAAGATCAAGTGACAAGCACACAAACAGGCAAACAGAAAGGCACAAAGGCACACAGGTAGACAGGGAGACAAGCCAACATACCATCGCGCACGCACACACGCGCAAACGCGTCAGGACACGCACAACCCTCAACCTCAATGGGGAATCGATTGGACATGACTTCCTTTCAGAAGGACATTGAAGGCCAGGGCATCTAAACATGACGCGAACACATACCCCAAACTCATAAGCGCACCAGCACCCGCTTGCAAACTCTCACTCCCGCGCCGTGCCAGTGCTTTCTGACGCTTTTGCTGCTGGCTCCATGGTTTTGTAGTTCTTCAGTCTAGCCTATGCTTCGGTTTTGAGAGGCTATCATGTCCGTAACAAGAACTCCTGGCTCCGGAAGGCTTCCTATTGAAGGCTAATTTGACCCCCCCCCCCCAGCTCCGGAACGGTGCCTTTCTAGCAAGAAAACGAGTTTTCATGGCCTGGGCCATTCCGCCATGAGTTGAACCGCTACATCCCAAATCACACAAAAATAGGCTTCCTCCCACTCACGCAGCTGCGGGGAGGTACCAAAAAACTAATTTTCCTCTTGTAGAAACCCCTGTCAGGTGCCCATATTGGAGTGAGGGTACCCTCAGATTGCAGATTGCTGGCCCTGAGCTCCCTGCCACAGGGGCGCGGCTGCGCTCGCAGCCCGCAAGGATCTGCAGGGTTTATCGCAAGCATCGGATTTCAAGAAACCCGTGGCTTGCCCTGGTCACACGCACCAAAATCAGCTGGAAGTTCTACTCAACATGAACAATAACTTCACCCGTATGCACAAATTGTCGTAGAACATCATGAGTTCACGGTTGGGAATAGACATGGAAACACGGCTGGTTCAAGAAACTGGTAAGCCCCTCTTCGCAAAATACAGCCCGCATTTCCCCAAAGATATCCAAAAGCAAAGGAGATGCTCTGCAGCCTGGCGGAACTGCCAAATTGAGCTCCAAACTGGGCTGTTCCCAACTCCTCTGCAAAACGTCGAACTTTTTCCTTGTTTAGTGGACTTAATGCAAACTTCCACTAAACCAAAAACATAGATCCTAAAGGTATGGCTGGGAACCACTAAGAAAACAAAGGTAAGGCTGTCATCACACAGAGAAAGCTTCTCAACTGCCAACACGACGAACCCTTTCGTCTTATGCACAGCGTGGGAGTGTCTTAAGAAGCTTAGGGTGACATGTGCATGACACGTCGCGCGAGCCAAGTATATACGCACACACACAAACAAACAAACAAACAAGCAAACAAGCAAACAAACAAACAAACAAGCAAAACAAACACGTAAACATGCATCGCAGGCAACCACACACACACACATACCAACAAAACAAACAACACATGGCGCTTGCAAATAATGCATTTCAAATGCCAGAGCACAAACATAATATGATCAACACCTTCCCAAAAAGCGTTTGCGGAAACACCTTCCAACGCCAACACGAACCCTTCGAGAATCTGAAGGACGGGGCCAATCTGAGGAGCCAACGTAGGATACTTCGCCATGGGAAAAGCTGCTTTCTTAAGCCGATAGGAAAAGTAGGGGCTCTGCTGAGGACATCTAAAACTTTCTACCTTATCTTAAGATTAAGAACCCTTAAATTAAATGAGCGCTTTCCTGTCCATGTCCCAGGAAAAAAGAAAGAAAGAAAACCAACAGCCCCCGACTCGAGAAGGGAGGTCCCTACACCGGCTGCCCCAGCCGCCGGTAGGTTTTTCCCCAGATAGCTGAAAGCTATAGGGGTTCTAACTTCTAATAAAGAGGGGGAAGTGATTTGCGAGATTGATGGGCTGGTGCTAAGGGGCGTGCAGTTTGGAGTGCTGGTTTTTGCGGATTGGGGTGCTGTTTGAGGTGCTGATGGCAGTGCGGGCGCATCTTTTCAAGATTGACGGTAGGGTGCTAGGGGGCATGCAGTTTGGGGGTGCTGGTGCAGGTGCTGTTTGGGGGTGACGGTGTTTTTGCATCTTGACGGTAGGGTGCACGGGGGCATGCAGTTTGGGGTGCTGGTGCTGGTGGTGTTTTGGGATGCTGTTTGGGGAGCTGTTTGAGGTGCTGGTGACGGTGCGGGCGCAATTTGCGATATTGACGCGATGACGGTGCAGGCACATTTTTGCATCTTGACGGTAGGGTGCAAGGGGGCATGCAGCTTGGGGTGCTGGTGCAGGTGGCGTTTTGGGATGCTGTTTGGGGTGCGGCTGGGTGTTTGGGGGGGTGCTGTTTGGAGTGCTCTTAGGGCGATGGTGCAGGCGCATTTTTGCGAGATTGACGGCAGGGTGCAGGGGGCATGCTGGTGCAGGTGCTGTTTTGGGATGCTGTTTGGGGTGCTGTTGGAGGTGCTAGTGATGGCGCGCGTGCTCGATTGACGGCCGGGTGCTGTTTCGGACGCTCTTCGGGGGTGGAGGTGCTGGTGTGCAATCATTGCTATCTGGGGTCTATGCTGGTGTAATTTAGATGAAATCAAATCGGCTCGACGGCTCCCGCCGGCTCCCAGGCAGCAGCCAAAGCGCCGCTGGGCCCTGGATGGATTTTCGGTTTCCGCTCTGGTCTCCCGTCAGAAAAAAAAAGGAAAAAACAACAACCCCAAAGCAACGACGACTTGAAGGTTGGCTTAACGGCTGGTTTAAAGCTTGGATGGTTGGCTATCAACAAGCAGAACAAAGTAAGTTGGTTGGTTTAAACGGGCACCAGGAAACCGAAACCCATGTTGGGGGCCATATTTTGATGATACCCCCCAAAAAAATACTTGCAATGGGATTGGAGAGGTACCCTTTTTGCATTTGCTCTACGCCCTTGTGCCATTGGAGTATTGGCCAATCCGATTCTCCGATTCTCCCTATTGGGCCTGCACCAAAGGAACACTTGGGTAACCCGAGTCATGGAGCAAGCCTTTGAACTGCTTCAGCTTGCTTGCTTCAGACGCGCGGCATTGCACATGGATCAGTTTCAGTCATGTGTCCAGTGCCAATTCTCATGCTTCTGGTTTTTTTGGGGAGAGACATCCCAAACCCCGCCCCTTGTGCAAAACCAATAAACGGAGCCCCAGATTAGCCAACCCCAATTCATTAATAGGGGGTGTTCCTGGTTTTAGTCGGGAATCGTCACTTTTGGGGAGGAACACCCCCCTATGAGTAGCTTGTTTGTTTCATCCGCGGTCAACATTCTGTTTGTTCTTTTCTGGTACCGCCAATCGCCAATCCCCTCCCCCACTTACTGTCCAGCTGTGCCAAACGAGCGCAGCGCATGTCCGGGCACGGAAGCTGCGATCCTTCAAGGTTTGGTTAGGGGGTGGCTTTCCATTTACACCCGGCAAGAAGCAGGTTCAAGTCCCCACCAGTTAGGGGTCGTCTGACCAATGGATGTTCAACATTACAAACTCCGGTGGAAACACTTGTAAATTGTGAGCCGCAGTCGCAAAGGGCTGGCAAATGAAAGCATCCTCTGAGGCATTGCAAATCCCCAAACAAGGCAGGACTGTGTGAAGAAGATGTAGGAAAAACATGTTGTCCAATTCAACCACCTCGAACCTGCCAATCTGCCCAGTTTGGGGTAATACCCTGCAACAATGGGTGAGGCTCTGCAATAGGGTCAAACAGGTTGCAGGCATGGGCCAACTAACTTAAGGGGAACCTGAACGATTGGGGCTCTGAAGGCATTCAAGTTGCAAGAAAGACACATCTGGAATATTGATATCTAACGGTCACTGTCTGATGGGTCCGGCCTGGACCCCCAAAAAAGTAACCAAACTTTTTATTTACCACTGAAATGGTCCAAACCCAAAAGGCGACTAAAGTCCAGGACCTCAGGAAGTGGAGGCAACAAATATGTGTGCCGCCCAAAAACCGTTTGGCGGCAACGCGATCTTTTCAGAAACCAAAAACCGTCCAAGCACGGGCCTTCTGCCAGCGGCAAGGCGCTGAGGGCTTGCCACCAGCTCCTGGCTCCCGAACTGTTCGTTCGGCTCAGTAGCCGACAGTTGCTGTGTTCACAGGGACCTTTGAGGAACACATCTAGGTCCTCCAGTAGAAAGGTTAGAATAAGGCTACCCCTTTTTTCTGTAGTCTATTTTAGTAGGGGAACCCTTCCCCCAAAAAGAAACGGTAAAAGGGCACTACTGGGGGACCTGGACATGCAAACTGGGCCATCATGTTAACGCACAGAGTCGCAGGACCGGCCCCAGAACACCACGCGGGCCCCGCACCGTGCGCACCTGCAAGAGCCGACCACAGCGACATAGGTCAGTACCTGACAAGTCTCATGAACTGCCCCCAGAGCTGAGTCATGGTCAACACCCTTTCTCCCTTCCCCCCCTCCCCCAAAACAAAACAACACAAACAAGCAAGAAACGAGTTGCAGTTGTTGGTTTGCCACGGCTACCAGACAAAAGAAGAAGAAACGAAAACACCTTTGGAGCCAGCTGGAGGGTTCAAGTCAACACTTGAAATATGTGTATGGGTGGCTCTTGTTTTGAGGGTGCCGGGTTTAAAGGGAAACACAAGGTGAGTCCCCCAAAAAGGATGCGCCCGTATGTGAAGATTAAAAGTTATATGCCTCCTTGGTTGCCTATGGGGTCGGCTGCGGGCATGTGGTAGCGTCATCTTTGCCGGCTAGAAGTGACACCTTGACATTGCATCTAGGCGCAGGACCTTTGTGTATCCTGGGTGTTGCTCAGGGCTGAAACCCATCAGCGCGAAAAGCCGCCGACATATGGCCCAGACCAACTCTTCAAAATCAGATCCTACAATGAAACTGCTCAAAAGCAACTTCAAGCTATGTGAGGCTGCACGCACAAGGAGTGTCATTCGTAACGAAATCTTCCTCAATATTGTTGAATCTTCGGCTGGGCACCTTCCGACTCTCCGAGGCATATTTCTGAAGGCAACATAACATGACCTGCGTGGATACATTTAGGACTAGAACCACGCTCAATGCTCAAGAACGTGTCGAAGCTTGCAACGAACGTGAAAGGTTCACAACTTATTCAGCCGGGCTGAACTCTCCGTTCTTTGGCCACGAAGAATATATGGCCATGTGAATATCCCAATCCCCACTAAAATAGACTAAAATGGGTGGCGCACCTGCCCCAAAATGGTACCATTGGTTTCGAGCCATATATGTTGAGGCCACCGAGAGTCTGTCAGCAAATCTGTCACACTGCCAATCACTGCCAACTGCCAACGGCGCACGTCGTTTTCGACGCTCTCCTGACCCATGGCATCGGACGCACGGAGCGCCTGCAGTGCTGCAGGCATCGATCAAAGGGACGGGGCACGACACTAGAAGATCTATAAAGCAATGGCCTGATCGCAACAAACAAATGGCCTGAGCAGTCGAAGGTCTGAGCACATCAAAACCAATAGCTTCTCAAGGCTCGCATTGCAGCGCCGATGTCATGGGCTCAGTCGTTCACTTAAAAGGGGGCAAACGAGGGAAAGCCAAGCTCTGCTGCGCAGCCTGTCAGCCCAAGGAACACTCATGTTCCCAGACGGAGAGGCAACACTGCTGGAGGACCGAGGGGAACGCAAGAGTCCCCGCCATGAGGCCAAAGCGCGAGTGGTTGTTCGCTCACTTTTTTCAGCCGCTAGGTTGTGAAATTTTCAAATACGATTATCATGATTAGAGTGGGGACCAGTTATAGAATGTATATGCTATTGTTTGCTTCACTTTGAGTCACAAATAAAATGTAGAATGTATCCTAAGTTAAGTCTAGCCCAGTTGTAACTTCTGCTGCAAAGCCATTTCCCTCTTGAAATGTATAAAACAAATCCTGCTTCAAGATCAAGTTTGCCCACGTAGCATGCCATCCCAAGTTGACAAGGATTGGCATGTCTGGAAATATGTGTTTGGGTGTCTTTAGAATGAATCTCAGGGCATGTCAAAGCACCCTTCGTGAAGGTCCACGACAATCCAACAAAGAACCATCCCAATCCCCGCTAAAATACTTTCTAAAATGGGTGTACCCCGAAAATGGGATCCCAATGGTTTCAACCCACGGCCATTTCTTCTTTCTTTCAACACACGCAACAACAAATCCTTTTTGAGGGTGCCCTTTTTTGAATGGCTTCCAAGCGACACCAACAGAAAAGCCACCCAAATGCACATGTCACGCACTTCCTTTGCTTCGCCTGATTCCAGGCGGCAGCCACCTGCAAAGCCGTGACCTGGGATGGGACAACGACAAAATCGCGACGATCACGTGGCCAGCTTCTGGGTGAGTTTTTTTCATATTTCACCAACCTGAAATAAGGTGGTTACGGGCTACTCCCCACATAAAAAGCACCATCTGGGTTTTTTGGTCGTGTGAGGTCGTTATAATTCACCCAGATCTTCCCGTTTTTGCTTGCCCATCTTCCTGCTGGCTTTTGCCATCTTCCTGGTGTTTTCGGCCATCTTTTTGGTGTTTTTTCTTGCAATCTTCAAGTTGTTTTCGCAATCTTCCTGGAGGTGTGTTCAATGTTCCACGGACCATGGGCCAAATTGTCGAGTGATTCCTTAAAGGGGACCAAGGACTTCCATTGCTCGAAGTGGATACCACACGGGAAACCCCTTTGGGCAATGCGGCACACCTAAGCATTGCAAGCCCCCAACCAAAGTACTAAAGTCGAAGACCTGCGCTCCAAGTCCCAAGGCGGGTGCTAAGAGGGGAAATTCAACGGCCCCCGGTGGGCCGATTCAGCACGTGCGTCTAGATGAAGTGCGGCAAGTGCATGGCGCGATAACAAGTATGCCCATCTCAGCGTTTCCTTAAGGTAATCTTTGGATGCCCTGGTGAATGGAATAAAGCCAGTCTAAACCAGTGCCATCTACTTCCAACGAAACTAACCTAAAAGGACACCTATTTGCTTTGAAACAGATCGCTCATGAAGCTTCGGGGCCAGGTAAAAACATGTCTGCTGTAAGCGAACACAATATTGTGTTCCTGCGCTACTCTTTCAATCGTTCAAAGGTCTGATTGCAAACTGCACCAACACATCACAATACTGGCATGTTGCCGTTTTAATAGTTTCGGTCCGTCAAACAACTGTGTTTATGCTGTACCGCTGATCCGCATGGATAGCCGATAGTTAGATGTGAAATTGCACAATACACAAAGTCGAATGTGGCTCAGCACTCAGCAAAGACGGCTCAGCCCACCAGCCGACCACAACATATTATATCGCTCTCCCTGAAATGCGAGCACACTCGAGACTAAACAAATAATTGAGGGAAGGGCGTCAGTACTTATGCCATTCCTGCTGCAACCAGGTCCTTTCCACTATCTAACCGGCTCTTTGGTCGCCTCGCGAGCAAGCAAGCCGAATGCTGTACAGGGCGCAGCTGACAAGAAGCCGCTTCGCCCACACGTTTAACCCAAATCTTTCACACCTATGCCATCAGAGCGATTCCTCAGCGAATCATGCCAAATCTACGCCGGCAATGCACTGTGGCATATCAGTATGCATTGATACACAGGCAACACCCTATGCAGCAAGCTGCAATTATCGTTCAAATGTCATAGTAGTTGCAACGCAACAAAACACTGCAACAAAATGCTGGTGTGTTGAGGCGGCTGCAAGGGCAGAGCAAGATGTTGCCATCGAAGCGTCAGCCAAGGCCCGTGTTCTTAGTTGTATTATGCTCACACTTGGGCACTTCAATGGCGAGCAAGCGATACGCTTATCCGCAAACGGACCTTTTCGTGGCCTTTCAACCACGTCATTCTTTACATGCATCTCGATGTTACGGTTGAAATGTTTCCAGATATCTTGGGCAAGAAAATGTTTGGCCTCTAGAACGCTCTGGTCGATCTGTCTCATGGACGATTTTGTCGGGTCCTTGGGGCAACCACGGCGGGGCGCCTGCCGGAGACATCGTGTTAGTCATAAGCAAAGGTCAGGCGAGAGCATGATTGCACTCTCAAGGGGCGAACTTCCTCCTGAAACGTCAACTTCCGGTTCTGGCCTGGAAACCAGTTCGAGAATTTGAGGACAGCTAGGCTATCATGCTACAGCTTCGGTTATTCAGGGCAAGCTTGCCAGCAAGTCCGAAATGCAAGTACATTGCGCCAGTGACGTCATGCTTTAAGCAATCCCAGCTTGCGCCAACAATTTTGCGCAAATTAAAGCAGCAAAGTAGCAAAGCGCTGCCTCAGCTTATTGAACTACCGCATCATGACTGAGCGGGCCTGCAAAGTGGTTGTACCGCTTGGTGGCTAGCAGCTGCGCCATATGATACATATGCGCAAGTATGGATGAACATGCGCAGGATCTCTGCTCTTTGAACGGCCAGTGGCTTCGCGACAACCTTCATGAGTAGCGCCCTCATCGTGCAAACAAGCGCCGACCCAGTGTAGGCTGCAGATTTCAAGCACTGTTTGTAGGAGGAGCCGCAAAAGGCCACCAGTCAACAAACCAAGGTGCTGCTTAGAACTGGCGATGGTAGCTGGCGAAGTAAGCTTCTTGGTAACCACATGCACTTGGCAGAAAATTAGGTTGCCGGTCGGATGAATTTGGCTTGCTGGCGATGATGTATTTTCGATGAATTGGCTGGCCCTTTGGCTGCCGGAGCATGATGAGTAGCCAAGTGGTTTTGGCTAGGGGTGATTGGTAGCCAAAATGGCTTCGCTGCCAAAATGGCTTCGCTGGGGGTGATTGGTGGCCAAAATGTTATGGCTCGGGGTGATTGATGGCCAAAATGTTTTGGCTGGGGGGGATTGGTAGCCAAATAGGTTTGGGCAGGGGTGATTGGTGGCCAAAAAGGTTTGGCTGGGGGTGATTGGTAGCCAAAACGTTTTGGCTGGGGGTGATTGATCAACATGTTGTGGCTGGGGGTGATTGTAGCCAAATAGGTTTGGCTGGGGGTGATTGGTAGCCAAAAAGTTTTGGCTGGGGGTGATTGGTAGCCAATAAGTTTTGGCTGAGGGTGATTGATGGCCAAAATGTTTTGGCTGCGGGTGATTGGTAGCCAAATAGGTTTGGCTGGGGGTGATTGATGGCCAAATAGGTTTGGCTGGGGGTGATTGGTAGCCAAAAAGGTTTGGCTGGGGGTGATTGGTAGCCAAAAAGCTTTGGCTGGGGGTGATTGGGTTTCCAGAAACCCCGTCACAATCTGCCAAATGCACTTGGCCAGCCAGGGCAGTCAATCAACGCCGGCACAAGGCGGGCGCAGCCAGAATTGTGATTGGGTTTCTGCAAACCCAATCACAATTTCTCAGTTAAAAAGCATTGTAATCACTCGCGGATCCAAATAGCACAGGTCGTAGGATGATTGATTTCTTAGTTGGCTTTGTCAGTGTGATTGGGTTTCAAGAAACCCAATGACAATTCTGGCTCCGTCCCCCTTGTCCCGACGTTGATTGACTGCCCTGGCTGGCCAAGTGCATTTGGCAGATTGTGACGGGGTTTCTGGAAACCCAATCACACCCAGCCAAAACTTTTTGGCTACCAATCACCCCCAGCCAAACCTTTTTGGCCACCAATGACCCCCAGCCAAACCTATTTGGCCACCAATCACCCCCAGCCAAACGTATTTGGCTACCAATCACCCCCAGCCAAACCTATTTGGCTACCAATCACCCGCAGCCAAAGCATTTTGGCCATCAATCACCCCCCAGCCAAAACTTGTTGGCTACCAATCACCCCCAGCAAAAACTTTTCGGCTACCAATTCCCCCTGGACAATTCTATTTGGCTACCAATCACCCCCAGCCAAAACATTTTGGCCATCCATCACGCCAAAACATTTTGGCCACCAATCACCCCCAGCCAAACCTTGTTGGCTCCAATCACCCCGAGCCATAACATTTTGGCCACCAATCACCCCCAGCGAAGCCATTTTGGCTACCAATCTCCCCCAGCGAAGCCATTTTGGCTACCAATCACATCTAGCCAAAGCCATTTTGCTACTCATCATGCTCAGGCAGCCAAAGGGCCAGCCAATTCATCGAAAATACATCATCGCCAGCAAGCCAAATTCATCCGACCGGCAACCTAATTTTCTGCCAAGTGCATGTGGTTACCAAGAAGCTTACTTCGCCAGCTACCATCGCCAGTTCTAAGCAGCACCTTGGTTTGTTGACTGGTGGCCTTTTGCGGCTCCTCCTACAAACAGTGCTTGACATCTGCAGCCTACACTGGGTCGGCGCTTGTTTGCACGATGAGGGCGCTACTCATGAAGGTTGTCGCGAAGCCACTGGCCGTTCAAAGAGCAGAGATCCTGCGCATGTTCATCCATACTTGCGCATCTGTATCATATGGCGCAGCTGCTAGCCACCAAGCGGTACAACCACTTTGGCAGGCCCGCTCAGTCATGATGCGGTAGTTCAATACAAGCTGAGGCAGCGCTTTGCTTTGCTGCTTTAATTTGCGCAACATTATTGGCGCAAGCTGGGATTGCTTAAAGCATGACGTCACTGGCGCAATGTACTTGCATTTCGGACTTGCTGGCAAGCTTGCCCTGAACAACCGAAGCTGTAGCATGATAGCCTAGCTGTCCTCAAATTCTCGAACTGGTTTCCAGGCCAGAACCGGAAGTTGACGTTTCAGGAGGTAGTTCGCCCTTTGCGAGTGCAAGCACTTACTCTTGACTTGGCCTGCTCTCGCCTGACCTTTGTTTATGACTAACACGATGTCTCCGGCAGGCGCCCCGCCGTGGTTGCTCCAAGGACCCGACAAAATCGTCCATGAGACAGATCGACCAGAGCGTTCTAGAGGCCAAACATGTTCTTGCCCAAGATATCTGGAAACATTTCAACCGTAACATCGAGATGCATGTAAAGAATGACGTGGTTGAAAGGCCACGAAAAGGTCCGTTTGCGGATAAGCGTATCCATTGAAGTGCCCAAGTGTGAGCATAATACAACTAAGAACACGGGCCTTGGCTGACGCTTCGATGGCAACATCTTGCTCTGCCCTTGCAGCCGCCTCAACACACCAGCATTTTGTTGCAGTGTTTTGTTGCGTTGCAACTACTATGACATTTGAACGATAATTGCAGCTTGCTGCATAGGGTGTTGCCTGTGTATCACTGCATGCTGATATGCCACAGTGCATTGCCGGCGTAGATTTGGCACGATTCGCTTAGGAATCGCTCTGATGGCATAGGTGTGAAAGATTTGGTTAAACGTGTAGGCGAAGCGGCTTCTTGTCAGCTGCGCTCTGCTTCACAGCATTCGGCTTGCTTGCGCACGCCGCAACCAAAGAGCCAGTTAGATAGTGGAAAGGACCTGGTTGCAGTAGGAATTGCATACTTGTTCATGTCTGTCACTGGGGATTGCCAATAGCACAGTGTCAATCACTTGAACCTTGTTTGTGGACATGTTAGGCTTGAATACACGCATCTTGCCAGAATGCTGTTTATTGAGCCTTCAAGCACTCTGCAAAAGCATGAAGAACTTGAGTGAATGATGCAGGCTGGCTGAAGGATACATGCATGGTGCAGAAGCGTGTCATGACATGTGAAGAGCCAGAGGGGAAATGGCTCAAACTTGACTTAATCACTTTATCGCAGGTGCTTCGTGTTTAGGACACCAAGGCTACCCTCCAAATCCATCGCGCACACACACACACACACATATGCCCTCTGGCCCAAGCCCTCGATGATTGTCTCCCCAGTTTCATGACGTAAGGCCTTTCTCTCGTAAGCAAGAGAGCAGAAACCAAGAGTAAATCATCTCCCTGCTTTGGGCTCACGAGCCAGAATCCACCCAGGTTTTTGAGAGGGGCATGCGCAGTGGCCGCCGCATTAATCCCGAACACCTCAACTCCGGGCTGCCCCTGCTGCAGCATTGTAGCCCACGTCTGGTCGTACAGAATCATCCCGCAGGCTGCCAAACCTGATGCGCCGGTCTCTATTTACTCCTCGGAACGAAGCTACAATGACCAATCCAATGGTCAATGGCTTTGGAGTACACATCAGTCCTACTTCATTTGTCACTGGTGAATCTGATCTGTTTCTCAAGAAGGGGATGTCTTCAAGAAAACTAAAAGAACATCTGTCATCTATCATTTTGGCTATGAATGCTTTGAGAAACACACTCAGAGACGATGGGCGTATCATCCCCATGTCAGTGATTCAGAATCAGAAACTTCGCCTCAACTTCGGACGGTGGGCTACCAAATCGCCACACAAATCGCCGCACAAATCGCCGCACAAATCGCCACACAAATCGCCACAAAATCGACAAACAAATCGCCACAAAATCAACACAAAACGGCTTCGTTTTCCCATCGCCACAAAAATCACGTGGCCCGTTAAACCCGTGGCAAGGTACCTCGCCGGAAGTCTCAGCGCGCCACGCGTTCAGTGCCCAGCGCCACTGCAAGGCCTCGCGAGAGAGGGTGAAAAGGGGGCTGAGCGACATGGAAGACGCATGGCAGAAGTGGCTCCAAAGTTCAGCTAGCCCATAGTTGGCGATTCGATTGGTAGATTTTCGATTTGGGAGTCGAACCCCTTCTTGTAGATAAATGGGAAACTACCTTGATTTTTTATCCAAACCACTAATTAGAGGGAAGCAGAAAATTGGTCAACCACCTGATCCAAGTGTGTTCGACAAAGACTGTTCTGTTCCAACGCCTGAGACTTTCATCACGTTGGGTGGCTCTTTAAACCTATTACCAAATGACAACCAAGAACAGGTTGAACCTTTGAATGCTTGGTTTTAAGGGTCAAAGAAGGGAAAATTGAGGGACCCCTATCATTGTTCATTTGTCCTAGCGACAAAGGGCGTCATTACCCAGTTGTGGCACGCTTTGGCACGCAAACACTTGGAACCCAGTAGCGCCAGCGCGCGGCGACCTGCCACCGGGAAGGTTAGCGTTTAGCGCACCATTTCTTCCTATCGAATCCGACTCGCCATGACTCGATCCGACTCGCCTTCTCACAGCAGCTCACCGTTGCGCCCAGTGTCACATCGTCGGCCTGATGCAACGGACCGGGATAGGGACCACGGTAGGAGCTTTAAAGGCCGTTATAGGAGTAAGATGAAACATATCTTCTACTGACTAGTATTGCTTTTATACATAAGTAAAAACAGTTTGACTGAACCATTCAAAACATTTGCGTCATATAAACGGGGCCAGGGCTTGTAGCTGTGTTGCCGATCAACATGGCCACCTTACACTTCAAACATCTCTTTGGGGACACTTTAGTTACACAAGCATATTGGAGAGCCAACACAAAGAGCACAAGTCCAAGGATTGCTTGAAGGACGCCAGGACTGATAAGTGCAAGCGCCAACCTGACACGGGTTCAGGCACTGGGGTAACCACCCCTATGTTGCGAGCAGGAGGAAACCTCCGCAAGTCACGACGCACAGCAGCAAAGGCCAAATCGCACAGCGCACCCTGTCAGGAACGGCCAAGGAATGAGGAACCAAGACAAAGAAAGCGGCTCCTGAGGGCCAAAATGTCAATATGTACATGTACGAAGACCAAGAGGGTCAAAGAACATGTCACGACAAGCATGGGATTGAAGTCCGGAGATTCCTAAAACCACTGCAAACGCATGCTGTCATTCAACACGACAATATGGCGGGCAGCCGACCGTGCCTGATAGTATCTGGAAATGCTTGGGTGGTTCAGTACTGTGTCGTTGGATCTGGCTAGCTAGTTCAACTCCGGGGATTGGCGCATGTGCATAACTGACAAGTTGCTTGATTCACATTGCATGTGCATAATACTGTATGTTGAACCCCGGACCAATCCAAGTGAATACTATATTGCCGCAATCCATCCACGCAAGCGTTTTCACACGAGCGCCGCTCGTCAAACGACCCAACTAAGAAGCTGAGCGCCACAAGTCTAAAGGCGCCTAAACAAAGCTGCACATCAAAGAAACGACAGGGTTTCTCCCAAGGGTGCTCCCTCACACGGGTACCAAACTCAAAGAACCCTCCAATTGCTTAAGTCCCCTAGGAAAAGATACGCATAATTGCACTCCCTCTAAAACCAACCGGGGGAAATAAGCGATATGCTTAAGCAAATAGAACCAACCTTAGCCCAGAGCTTATCGTAATCCCACCATCTCCGCGCCTGCACCCCGGAAGACTCCAGACGTGCCTCGGAATGGCTGGGCAAGTACGATCCTTGTCGGCCTTTGTCAGGCCATTGTCTTTCGTGATCCTGGCTTGTCCCAAACCCCTGGAGGACGACGCATCCCCGCAACAAAACCAACAGCAGTAAAACCACAACTTCACCCGGGATTGAATGTGGAAGGCAAGGAACAATCCAATGTGTATATATATATATGTATAGGTTTCACTTCAAGCACTCAAGGACCCTGCACAACTGTATCTTGACTTCAACCCCGCCAGTTTCGGAACCCACCACCTGCATGCATAATGTGAGTGCTCATGTAGCAATCGATCCGCTACTGCAGATATACAATCGTATCTGGGCTGCCCTCAGATCCTCAGCTAAAAGTGTGACTTTTGGTGGGTTACATGGAAACTACCACCAAACACCAAAAAGCAAAAAGGCTAAGGAACTGGATGGCTGGAGCCACCAAGGTATTTTCACATTTTCTGATACCTGTGCATCTCTACGTCTATCCCCTCAACCTCCATGGTATCCATGGTCACTGGGAGCAGGTACTCCGTGGGAGTTGGATGCTTTTTGCACAGCGAGTCCCTTGTATGGAAGTTGAGGGCTTCCTTATCTGGGCATCTGGCAGGATTAGGCATAGATGTTGAACCCTAAAGGGTTGCAACAAGTAGGGAACTTGTTTGGACATTTTGCTGTCATTTTGTGTCGCCTAAAAGGTTCAAAAACGGCGCTGAATTTTGAGAACTCCCCGGCGCCCAAATACTTCCAGTAGTTGGTGGTTGGGATTAGCGGGTTAGGGATTTGAACCCCTGGATCTTGTAGAGGGCGAATGGGAAACCACCGCGAACCTTCAAAGCTCGAATCCAAATTATAGGTGGCCTTTTGGACAAATACTTTGATTCTCCTGGTAACTGGGCTATCAAACCTACTGAAAAACCAGTGGGACTCATCTACTCGATCAAGAGGACACTTGGCACCCGCATGCAAACCGCCAATTCGAGTGCTGATACTTTACCCGTCTATTCGGCAACAAAGGGTCTATATAGGACTTACTTACTTCCGGTGGCTCAATCTATCTCAAAGTGCTGTATCCCCTCTTTCAGTAGCGCGAGCGGCTTCTGAAGCCATTGTTTGCCAGCCAGCAAAAGACATGGTTCATCGCCTGCCCTTGGTGACCGAATGGTCATGCAGAGTGTGGAGTGCTTCATTCTGCGTGCGCATTCCCTATTTTACACCAAGCCGATCAAAAGGACGCGAACTTGGCTTTGGACACCTTGCTTGGCACCCAGGCGACAAGGCTCAGGGCGCTGTTCCACTGCTTTCCTCGCCTCCCGCTTCGAAACGCGCGGTCTCGGTCATCCCGTTTGGGAGTAGCTTCCAAAAAAGACAAACCCACAGTTCTGCACGTATGGGTGTATCGGAATTTGGAGTTTCTACCCCTTGTTGGTTGGTGTTGAAGGAAAACCAAAAGGACAATCACCATTTTGAGGAGTCCCAAAGGAATTGACACACCCATATACGTAGACATTAATATGTGTGCCCCCCTCAATAACTCATCATTTCCGATTGTGAGATACACAATGACTTGCTTGATACAATGAATTGCTGTAACAGTTGAATGGCAAAGTTTAACCATGGTTCAGCTGTTCTGACATCTGACTTTCATCATGATCGCATTCACCAGCGGATGAAGAAGTCAAATGATAGCTATGTATATATATATATATACACCAGACTGTACAAATGCTAGACTGCCCTCTCCAATAGCGCGAAGTTTCCTGAACTCAAGATGTGTGATGGCTCCCTCTGTGTGAACTCACATGAGCTGAGTGGTCTCAAAGCATCCTTAGATGCTGTGCGGGGCATTCCACCTTGACATGTACATCCAACTTGTTTGCGTAGGGACTAGAGTCCAGATATTTGAGAAGGATTCCAGCAAAGTCACCACTTTCTGTGAACGGAAAAAGACCGTCCGAACTTTGCAGGAGCTTGAAGATGTCTGGCAATGTTCGAAGGTTTGGCCTAAGAAAAGTTTTGTTGGATTTACTGCACTTGAGAGTCATGATGAGTCATGCCAACATTTTTCCCAGACCTCCCAAATGTCTGCGCCTTTATGTCCATGCATGTCCGTAAACGCGGTAGATTGTCCTATGCTTTTGAAATCAATTGAAGGTTCAGGATTCTCAGAACTCTTTTTGAATCTTACCTGCAAGCCAACATGGAAGGTGCCTACATGCAGGTGATGTGTCTCGGGTTTGGCGAGCACTGGTTAAACGAAACGCACTGGGCTTTGTGAGGGTCTTGGATACTGTTGCACCTTACTGGGGGGCTCCCGATCTACATGATGGATCTCCAGAGATCCAGCCAAGCTTCATGGAATATCAGGTTGTTCAGGAAGGTGGTTGATATTTGTGGACCCATGAAATGACCCCTTGAACAGGGAAGGGGCACCGCCGAAGCCAAAGTGTGACCCCGAAGGGGGTGTTGCCCCGGCCCGATTCCACCTGCAGGCACTGATGCAGGAGTTGAGTACGGGACCTCGGCGCACTATTCATGGCCCAGTGATGTGCTTCCAACACGTCACAGCACAGTCACAAGGAATCAGATGGGTAACGATACATCATTATACAATTGTTAGACATTGCACGTAATAAAACAAACAAATCAACTCCCATATGTAGTCGTCCACCTAAAGGTTGTTCCGTGATAGCATATCCCTGCCATTTCAATGCAGCCTTCCGAAACAAGAAAGGCTACCGGCACACTTAGGTCCAAAAGCACGAAGGTGGCTAAGGCGTGTAAATGACAAAGGCATCTTGGCGAATGCCGACCCACAATCAACCCGCACGACAGCAAAGCTAGAGCAAGGTGAGGCAAGCTGCGTAATGTGAACTGGGGACCCTTTGGTGGACATGATTTAGGTTGGAAGTTCTTTCCACCAGCCACTGTTGAGGGGGTTCCCTACTACAATTCCTAGCCATCAGCTGCCAAAGATGCGCAGACGCCAACTGGCTAGGCGGACAAAGCATGCGAGCGCTGAGCCCCAGTGTTGGGCATGCGTGTGCTTCTAATGAGCACAGTTTGCAAAACAAGAAGTGCGGGCCAATAGAAAAGCGCGGCGCAAATGAATGTGTCTTTGAAGTGCAAAAGGAGAGAACATCAAGCAGCCTTGCTAAAAGCAGCACAAAGGCTCACACCAGCTAGACAGCAGCAAAGTGGCGGGAACGGTTGTAGCCACATCCCAGAACAGGAAGCTTCACCCCTTTCATGAACACTGCTTGGATGATTGAGTGCCCCCTCCGACTAACAATTCTGTGCAAAGGGATCTTCTCAAGATCGAGCACTGGGTTTCATAAACATATACTTGCTTTGGAATTGCTTGCTCCTGAAGCAGCCGAACGATCAAATTTCTGCTGAAGCATCTGCCTGTGCCTTTCTTTGCGGGTATCTATGCCGTCAAAGGAAAACCAACAGGAAACACAAAACTTTCGGGGGACCTCCGGGGGGAAAGAAACACAACAACACCCATCTTGCGCTCAAAAAGCCAAACACGTTGCAACCAGACGTCCGCAGATCGCCCATCTTCGGGCGGGCGTCTGTCGAAGTGCTTCCGGCGATTCAGCAGCAGCATGGCCTTGGGCGAGATACGAAGACCACTCAAGCAGGGGGTAGCTTCACACGCGGAGCCTCGACTTGTTCTCGGTTGTTTTCTGCTCCCCTGCTCAAAGTGACTAACTTTTAGTGGTTTAATTCGCCAAACCCATTTGTTGGCAAAAAGTTAAAGTCCTAACATCCAAGCACAATGCACCAAAGTATTGCAAGTGGCGGGTGGTGTTTTGTCAGCCTCAGGTGCCATTGAATTCAAGGTGCAATCTTTAGAGACAGAAGTGCAAGATCTAGAACATCTTACAACTAACTCAACTCCCTGCGTAACTCCTGCCTTCTCTCCCGGGGTCGATCGAAACATTGGCAGGGTTCATGAGGTCTGCCGCCGGCTTTTTTCGGGTTTCAGGTACAGAAGCAAGCCACACACAAGATGTGATCTCATGCTGACGTTGCCATAGATCTGTAAGTTCTCAGTTGTTCAGTGAACCTGGGGAAAAAAAGAGGGAACCCTTCTTGGGGCTTGGACTATCTTTAGTGGGACAGCCACCAAAAAAAAGTTGGAAAAAGAAAAAGAATTGGCGCCACTGAACAACTGAGAGTTCTGTTCCCAAATTAGGGATCCTCAAGTAAGGGTATTCTTTTGAGCGGTGAGCTGGAAATTTGAAATGACTCCCCCCAGCCACAAATGGCTGTGGCTCGAAATTAAACAGGGGCCAACCGCAGGTTTTGGTCCATCTTTCCACTTACCAGGATCTTTTCATTTTGGTACTGGTTTTTTGAGCCACAGCCAAATTGCATGTATCCCCAGCAAGCCCCGTTCTTCAGCGCAATGCTAGCGCTCGATGGGCGGCCGGCAATCTCCCAGCGCTGAGCTTTCTCGCAGCAAGCAATGCTTGTGCCGTACCTCGTCGAACATGTGGAGAAAACCGGAGCCAAGATGTATGGAAGTCATATTGGTTATCTCACTTCCTGAGTGGATTGGCGAAAAAAAGTCCCAAACTTTCTATTTACCACCAAAATGGTCTTCCCAACAGTATTGAAGTCCAGGAACTCGGGAAGTGAGTTCTGTTTGTGGGAGTCACAGCGGTCCGAGGGTTTGCCTTCCGGACAGACTTCGGAACAGTCAGCTCATTGCCCTTCATACTCGCTGTTTAGCACGAGCTTGGACTTGGTGGTTATGAGTGCCTTGGTCTAGGCTGGGAATGAACACAAATTGGGCAAACTAAGTGGGGTTCTTTGAGCTTGTTGCCCTCTCGAACGCGCGAGGTTCTGTAACTGATGCAGTACTTTGCGTGAGATTCAGTGGGCCGGCAGGACAAAACTGCAGGAAAACAGGTTGTTGTGAATGCAAGTGGCCCCTTAGCACATCCAAATGCCTTTCCCGCATCTGGGGTCCGCAGAACTTTGTATTCTCTGACTCTGTCCTATGTTTCGTCCAAGTCTGAAGTCTACCCTAAAATCTAAAGTAGTTGTGAAGGAGACCCCAAATGATTGTATCAGCCAAGTCCCATGACAACATCATACTGTTCTTTAGCCCCTGTAAACAACCGGAGCCCTGGGACGAGTTCCTGCAAGATCATATCACGCATATGCGCCTGAAATTGGCGCTTGCGTCACATTTTTTTGCTGAATTTTTATCCATCTTGGTTCATATGGGTGCATTTTTTTGGGGGGGGAGCCCTCGTTCGGTTGGTTTAGAGGGAAAGACCAAAGGAACACCGTTGCGCCATTCCTTGAAATTTCCGACTCCAATTTTGAGACACTCCCATATTATGGCAGTTCACCAAACACAAAGCTGGCGGCACTGACGGGATGAACACAAAGGTGCGAGCTTGGCGGAAAAAAAACAAAGTCGCTTTGGCGTCCTTTTGGAAATGGATGGGCTTCCCTGGTACATGGATGACACAAAACTGACCTAGATTCCAGTGGAACCCATCTATTAAATTTCTACTGAAACCAAGCAAATACACAATATGGTCGCACTGTTCTCCTTTTGCACAGGGCAGGGAATCCAGGAACGGCGGGTCAAGCAAGAACGGAAGCCAGCTAAGACACGTGGCCGGCGGCCATCTCCGGGAGCGCGAACCCCCGCGGGGATGCGGAGGAAGCGGGTCCCGATATGGGGGGATTCCAGCTTAAGCGAAATTTCCCGTTTTTGAATCTTAGTCAAGGTGCATCGAACGGGGGAATCCTCCCGTATCCCTGGTTCCCCCTGTATCCCTGCCAGTTGGTTTCCCTGAAGAATGGTTGTCGCTTGCTTGGTGGAGAGGTGCTTTTTTTCTTGTGGGTCAGGTTGCTTGAACGTAGATGGCACTGGTGGCTTAGTTCTAACCATTGCCAGCTTTTGTTCGCAAAGGACACCTATTGTGGGATACCTAAGGAGCAACGGAGGTGGATGGTTGAGAGCCCTAGGGTTCCCTAGGATTCCCTAAGCTTTTGCAGGGTTTCCTAGGGTTCCTTAAAAGGCCGTTGGGAACCCCGGCCCCTTGGACCACTTCCCCGGATCCATCAGGCGCACGACACGGCATCTGCCTCTGGTCCTGCTGGGCGAAGAGGGCACTGCAAACATTGCTCACCGCACATGCCCAGCGGCTTTCCATGGGAACAAAAAGGGCATCATTCTTGCTGGGTTGATTATTTTTTTCTTTTTTCGGGGGAACCTTTCCCAAAAACAGGTTGACAGAGCGGAATCCACTGGTTGCAACTGGGAAGACATATTGCAGACTCGATGCTCTTGGCAAGGAAGTGCCAGCTGCAGCAACCAGGGACTCAGCCACACATGGTGATCTGTCCGACAGCGGGCAAAAATCACATCGTGACCTTGAACTACTTCACCGACCGACTTGCCATGCGCTAGGTTGACATCCCGCCTCGTGTCGGTATGTGGGAACACCCCAAATGGCTGGTTCCTTTGAGTTTCTCTTTGCGCCTGGGTGGACAGGGCACCTCACTTCCCGAGTGGATGGCCCCCCCCCAAAAAATAAACAACAACTTTTTCTGTAGCGCAACAATGGTCTCAACCCAAAAAGTATAAAGTCCATGAACCCGGGAAGTGAGACACCCACACCATGCCCCACCGCGCGGGGGTCCTAGCAGCAGCAGTGCGTCGGCCCAGCGCCTCGGCCATTGCCTTCCCTTTCGATCCCTCCGCACGTTTTGCCGGACCGCTAGTCGCAGCCAGACTGGGGTCATGATTTTGACGGTTTCTGGGGGGTTATCAAAGTTCTGGGGGACACTTCCATTTCCATTCTTTCCAGGGATCCTCTTTCCAGAAAACCATCAGAACCGCAGTGGAAACAGCGATCGGGTTTTAAAAAGCACGATGGTTGAAAATAATGGGGAATCAACCCCTAGAAAAGTCAGAAAATGTGGTTGTTTCCCTTTAACCCACCACTTAGGGGTGACTTTGATCAGGGTAAAATAACGAGGCCTGCCAAACCCAGGCGTCTGGCGCCCTGCGTTGGTAGCCTGGGATTTGTATTCCAAACACTCAAAGTGAGCCCTGAATCCACAGCTGCACAACCCGCAGTCAAACCGGACGATTCCAAATAAGTTAGCACTTCAGCATAACAACAGCTATCTATCCAGTGGGCTTGATTTCGGCTTTGATTATTTCAAGAAACACCAGAGATGCCAACGGCCAAATGATACCTCCGCACAATTTTCTCACACCTTCCGCTATCGCTTCCCTTCAAGCCCACCTCAAAAGGGTACCCTCAAAAAAAAGAATACGACCTAAATTTGGGTGGTAGATGCACAATTCCCGCATGTTGGTTGGTTGGGGATTTCCCTTTGCTTAGCCAAAACATGTTTGCCGTCTTTCACCCTGCCGAGTCCGCACGAGAAAGGCTCCGAGACTGAGGCTTGGGCGCAGCTTTGGCGCAGCAGGATAGAGCAGCACGACAGCTGGCCTGCGTTGACTCCGTGCCGAGCGCGGTATCGTGGGTGGCTCGTTGTTTCTTGAGGGGAACCCTCTTTCGGTAGGTGTTAAAGAGAAACCCAAAAGGATTTTATTTTGAGAGGCACCCTCTGTTGGTAGGTTGTAAGGAGAAACCCACAAGGAAACCAACCATTCTGGGGGGTCACATACAAAAGACATTCCGCACCAATTGTTCAACCCGAATAGACAGGATAGTCATGTCAATAGGGCAATGCGCAGATGCTCTCAAACCAAGGCCAAGAGCGCAAAATTATCTACACCAACAGATCCCTCAATGTTGTAAGCAAGCTCAGAGTCTTTCATGAAGGCCAAAACCATCGCCTCGTAGGTTCTTTTGCGCTGACCCATACCTGGATCCATGTTTGGTCAGTTTTAAGCGCACATGATCTTGAATCCAGGGCGCATGACCCAGGCAGATGCCTTGCCATCAGGATGCCAGGAGTGAGCCCGAAAAAGGCACAAACCTGCCCAACTTTTCTATTGGTACCTTCCCCATTCTTTCCAGGGATCCTTCTTTTCAGGAAACCATCAAAAACCCACGGGAAACAGCCGGTTTTTGAAAAGAACAATGGTTGAAAAGAATGCGGAATCAACCCCTAGATCTTTCAACGATGAACAGCTTACCCTGCAGATTGGTCCTGCGGAATGGCGGATTGAGTTTTTGGGGCTGCGGCCTTCGTATTACAGGAACCATGGGGCCAAAGCGGTCTATCACTCCAGCCATGCATGTGTAAATATCTATATGATGCAGCTTTAAGGACGCCTTTTCGAGATGTCCAAAGATACCAAGGGTCCCTTATTGGCACTTGCCAAGGGCCACAACTCAAAGGCCATGCTGACATCTCCACATGGAATGCAGTCCGCCATGTCTAAACCTCAACAACATCTTGCAAAGCGCAGCTCCGCAGGGCTGAATAGCATCTCCAAGGGTCTAACGAGTATTTGCGCTTGCAAGTTGCAACTGAGACAAATTTATGTCCAAACCGCCTAGAGTTGAACCGACTCATCCATGTTGCACCAGTCTGACAGTTGGGTATATGTCAAAAGAGGAATTTCTGGTTGGTGTCCCTTTGCCATTCGAGGGTACCGACCATAGCTTGGGGCAACATAGATGGGTTGCCCTGGTATATGGTAAACCAGCGGAACCCATCTACCCCTCCTCTCACTGACATAGCACCGGTGGGAGGGTACCGGGAAGATCAATCTCCCTTTGCAGGGAGCCTCGGTCAAGTAACATGCTGTGGGAGGAAGGGTATTTCTAATCAACTAACCTAAAACAAAGACACCTCCTGTGGACCAAATCCTGCACCACGGTTCAGAAGCCCTGGTTTCTGATGATTCCGCAAAAAATACCAACAATCGTTACATGTTTTCACCATGCTGCGATTTTGACAACATGTCCTATGTGGAACCCTCTTCCAACGATGGACGGCTTGCACCAAGAAATTTAGGTTTCTGATGATTCCGCGAGAAACACAAAAAATAAAGCTAAACAAAACAAACCGACAAACGTTGTGGTTTTGGCCCATGACCCATGGTTTCATTTCAGTGCGAAGGCACCCACGGCTCCGTGTGTCCTGCAAGGAGTGCCGCGGAAGGCTCTGCAGGAGCTGCAAGGCCTCCGCAAAGGGCGGCCCAAAGGAAAACCAACACGCTCCCGGTGTTGTTTTTTTGGCGGTTGAGAAGGAAAACACGGCGACTTTGGGCCTACAGAGGATAAGAGATCCTTGCGGGATTGAGGTTGGGTGTGTCTGTTCAGTGCACCCCTTTCTTTTGGCGGCTTGACAGGGACACCAAAAGGAAAACCGGAGCAGGTTTGGGTGGTCCATTCCTCTCAAGACACGCCCAGAAAAAGTGACCTGAAATTGATTCTAACAATTGGATTCCAACTGGGAAGCAGCTGTGAAAACAACTGCGCGCGCCTCACAAAAAACGGTACCTGCTTCAATGTGGGTTTGTGCTTTTGTTCAGGGACAAAGAAACACTACCTTTTGTGGGGTTCCTCTACTTTGACACACATCCAAATTGACTGTAACAAATGGGTTCTAGGGTGCGCCTCAAGTGACATAGATTTAGTGACCCCACGCTACAGGTACTTTATGAGGCCGTGCTTCGGCTGGGTGATGACTTCAAAAAAATCCAACACCCACCATGGACTCCACGACGCACTTGTTGCGGTCTTCAAGTATCTTGACCAGATCTCCGTACACTCAGTTGTTCAGTGACCCTGCGAGGAAAAATAGAAAAATAAAGAAGACGGGAACCCTTTTGGGGGAAGACCATTCTTAGTGGGGCAGCCACCAAAAAAAAGGCAAAAGCAAAAAGGGTGCCACTGAACAACTGAGGTACATAGCCCAACACGTTCGCTGGACAGCTTCAAGATCAGAACTCTGAACCAAGCACCGAAGAAGTTCAAGTTTAACTGGCCTCATTATTTTACCATGATCAAAGTCACCCCCCAAGTGGTGGGTTCAAGGGAAACAACCCCATTTTCTGACTTTGATAACCCCCAGAAACCGTCAACATAATGACCCCAGTTTAAACGTGCACGCCTCAAGAAAGGAATTTCCACCAAGCGTACGTTCAAACAAAGTCGGTCCAATTCATCAGGGCTTGGCAATGCTCCAGGTCCCTTGAATCCTGCCAAAGGATTGCGTTGGGCGATCCCTCAAGAATCCAAGCCTTTGATCCAAGCTGCCACACTTACGAAGGATCTGTCCGGAGAGAATGACGTGATTTCCTGCGCTAAGGCCTTTAAGGCTCCATTGCCTCGTGCGAAGTTTACGATGTGCCTGGGTGTATTTTTCGTGCGCTTCCTCAGACTCTCCACAAACCAACCCGCCAAGACACCGCATGGTTAGGCGTTGATAACACGTAGAGCTCAACCAGGGATCGGTCGGGTGGATCTTTGAGGCTGGTTGCACATCGGGCTCAAAAGCCTTGGGCCCTACCCTGACGAGCGACCAGGCCGGAAGTCCGTTCCTGCCAAGACTTGGGGTCAGTGACGCTTGTGCAGAGGAGGGTGCGAAGATCCTAAACGCCAGCCCGCGGCAAAAGCGAAACCCCGAAACCAAACAACCTGCTGGTGCGATAGGTAGGACATGAGGGAATGAACCCAGGGGTCCCCCCTTACAGGAAACCACCAGTTGGATGGTTTATCTCGCGTCATGCCATTTCTCATTCATTACCCATCGCACCAACAAGACAAACATCTGGCCGTGGGTCAAAAATGGGTACCCAATATGGAACCCTGGTAAATGGAACCAAGAACTAAAGCCTGCGGTCCCCTGGTGGTTAAATTTTGACCCAAATTCATCTGAAAAGCCCAACTTCGAGTCTTCCATAGCCTTGTCCACTTTGTGCGCCGCACAGGAGCCTCAGGCGTGACTTCTCTTCAGTTTTGATAGGCGTAGTGTATAGCATCAACCTCATTTCCTCATACTCACAGAAGGTACTTCTGGCCTCTTAACTAAAACCTATGGGTTGGTCTCCCCCCCCCCCACCCCCCGGCAACTTCAGCATCGCAGAGCAACACCAGGGTGCTCTCATGGGTCGGTCTCCAAACCCCCAACTTTGGAAAGAGCAACCCCAAGATGCCCTCACACACACACACCCTTTCTGGGCCCACCAACGGACACTCAGACCCCTGTCTTAGTCTTTTCTGGGCTCCATCAACTCAACTTTCGGCTGAGCCCTCCACCGATGGCCACGTCACAGCAAACTCGGTCGGGCGGCAGCCGCCTGCGGCCAATGGGATTCACTCGTCCGGGTGGGGGGATTTTGGAGCCCGTAGGGGGGGGGGGGTGGTGGTCCAAGGGGGGGGGAGTTCCTTGAAGCTCCCAAAGGCTCTCAACTAGCCACCCCCCTGGTTCTCCCTGTATCCCTGCTATTTGGTTTCCCCGATAAGGGGTGTTTGCCTAGCCTTGATGCCTGAGCTGATGTCTGCCGACCTGTCTCGCGACCTGCAATATTTTTCGTGTTACCCAGAGCTCGCCACAACAAGAAGATGCCCCAGGGCAAATAAGTTCCATGCAACGTCAATGATGCTTGAGTCAAGTAACAAAGACCTCAAAAGTCTGGCGAGCCTGACACTCCATCTAAGCCAGTGCAACCATCCTGTATAGAGTCAGTAGGCAACCAAATGCTTGCCACAAGACATAAAAACCAAAGGAAAGCAGCGAAGGGATACCTGCTATAAGGGCTTGCCTGGGATCCCCCGGGTAGGGGTGGAGTGATTAAAGACGATGACAACGTTCCTGACCGTTCCTCTCCTGGCGAGCATCCACCACAGCAGTGCCAAGACCTCATGTCGCTCTCCGGTCATATTGATGGGGATCTCCATCCACCCCAGGTGTTTGGCACCTTTAGCAAAGAAGTGTCCATGCCAGGCAGTTAATGTGGCTCCTCTTGGCTGCAAATTCGGCACTCCTCTTGAAGAACTTCCTGCAATGCACATGGAGTTACCAGAAATTCCGAGGCAACACGGCTGCAATAGTTGGAAGGGGCTTGCAAGCTGCTCAAAGACATTGTGCGCATCATTGTGCTGCAAGCTCATGGCACTAAAGAAAATAGAATCTAGCAAATACTCTTGGCGGCTGGAATGCATAGTGTGCTGCATGCTAAGCTTCTTTGTGGTTGATCCGCCACATCCGCTGCAACTCAACACGGCAACTTCTCTTGGCCGCCGTGCTTGCTGCCAGCTCGCAAATGCCATCCTTGTGAGCAACGGAAGAACTCCGACGCGCAGCCCGCAGCATCCATCATCAGCATGTGCCAAGAGCAAATGCTAAGTTTTCCTCTCCTAGGTCCTCCAGCAGAGAGGCTAGACTAAGGCTACCCTTTTTTCTGTAGTCTATTTTAGTAGGGGAACCCTCCCCCCAAAAAACGTAAAAGGGCACTACTGGGGACCTAGTCTCGATTGCTCGCGGCTTGCAACTTGGCATTCCCAACCAAAGACAATAGTTCGGCCGCGACCTGTTCTTCCAAACGGCAAAGCAAGCCGAAGCCAGCCGTGATTTCAACCATGCCGATCTACTGCTGACATACTGTGGATGGACGAAATCCTGCACCACCTACCTCAGAGACCCTGGAAGGATGATTCTCCTGTAAATACCAACAAACGCTGGTTTCTCATAGTTTCTTAGGTGGTGCGAAGGGATTTTGTCCATCCACAGTAGTGTCGCCCCTTCGGCCAGCAGGAGTCTGTCGAAACCCTTGCCATCCTTGTCATTGGGCGGGGCTGACCGCGGCCATGCATTGACCAGTGGGTTTGGGTCTGGAGCCACGCGAAAGTTCGGACTTGGTGCAAATCCAGCAAACAGTTAAACATGACAAGTGGGCTCAACATGATGCGCTTCAGAAGCTGCTGTTGCATCTTGACCAGTTCCCAAATGTCCCTATGTTTGACACGCTCTTGTCATCGCCCCCTCTCAAACAGAGGTATGTTCGTGTAGTCAAACAATGGAATCCTAGAGTCCGACTCAAAAAACACTCGCCTTGCAGATGAGCGCAAGGAGGGGCTAATAAATGAGCATACGATGCCCCACAAGTTTGGTTCTCAAATTGAACTTCTGAGCGTCTTTAGTGGTTCCTCGAAACCTTGGTTTCGCTACCCATCGCCAGGCAGATGGTTCCGCTTTTGCCAACCAAAAGCATCTCTAATTCTGGCCATTTTTTATTTCTCGGTTTGTTTCATTTTTTTCCGCAAAGCAGGGGACCCATAAAACAACGGGTTCGTTTCCTCTTGCTTCCCCTCGTGAACAGGGGGATCCATGGTGCGAACCTCTCAAACAAACATGTGCTGGCTTCCCTAAGTCCCTAGACTACTTGACGCCTGGTACCCCTTTTCTTGGCTCCCCCCCCCGAAGACAAAAAACAACTCCCCCCCCCCAAAAAAAAAAACAAAAACAGGGGGTGGGGGTGCCCCCCCTGAGTCCTGAGCCGCCGATACCCCAACACCAAAAGACCAAAACGCATCGCTCGGGAGCTGGGAGAAGCCAAGTGCCCCGGCACGGCGCTGAAGCTGCGGTTCTCCAACTGGTGGCCCGACGCCTGGCCGAAGAAAAGGAGCACGGGGGGGAACTCTGCTCGGTTGCTGCAACGACTCCCCTGCAAAAAGTGGTTTCCTTTTTTCACACTTTTTGGGGGTTGCGTGGAAAACCAAATCCTCGATCTCCCAAAAATACATAAATAAATAAAGATCCGTTGCCCAATAGTCAAGCCTCGGAGTTGGACCCAGGGACCCCCGAGCGATACGGAACAAGCGGGGCCCGGAAAAGGCGGGGGATTCCAACTGCGCGCCAGGTCCCGTTGATCAAACTTCGTCAAGGTGCATTTTGAAGGAATCCTCCCGTCTCCCTCGTTCCCCCTGTCTCCCTGCGAGTTGCTTTTTATTCCTGAAAAAGAGGAAAAGGGCGGGGGAACCCTGGGCAGGGGCTGAAAAGTTCGGCGAAGCTCCCATTTCGGTGTTCCTCTTGGTTTCCCAACTCAAACCAAAGGAGGGACCAAACTCAAGAAATCGTATTGGATGTCCTTTCAAACCAAGGGGGGTACCTTACAACCAGGGCCAATTGGGCGAACAGGCCAATCTACCAAGCATCGGCAAGCACCACGGCAAAAGCCATCCATGTTGGTCCACTGCGGGTGCCGCTATGCTTCACAGGTGCGATGCAGCCATTCCAGGTGTTGGGAAACGAAAGGATCACCCTGAAAGGATCTCCCGATTTGGACACCCACATCCAACCTTCTCGGGCGTCACTCTTGCGGCAATCTCGCCATGGCGGAAATCCCGGCCAGCAAGTTGACACGAAAGCCGCCAAACCTTTTCTGGAGGAAGCTGCTTTTGAGAACAGGCCCCCTCACCTTTTGGATTCTGGGTGTATCTCAATCTGGGGAACGCCTAAACTGGGTGGGTGCTTTTCGTTCCTTTCCATGTTCAAGAAAAAGAACCCTCCCCCTGACTCACCATGGATTTGTCAAGAAAAGTAACCAAAACGTTATTTGCCACTACATGGTCCAAACCCAAAAAGCGACTAAAGTCCGAAACGGGACTAAAGTCCGAAACGGAACTAAAAGCGACTAAGGTCCGAAACGGAACTCAGGAATTGAAGTGTCCCAAGGGAGAGCTAAACCACAGGCCTCAGAGAGGAAGAGGAGACTCGAAGCCTCGGTGACGCTTTCGATTCGACCACTTCGCTTTCTCAGTTCAGTGACCCTGGGGGGAACCAAACCCTTTTCGGGGCTTGGGCTTGGACCATTTTCAGTGGGGCAGCCACCAAAAAAGTTGGAAAAAGAAAAAGGGTGCCACGGAACAACTGAGCTTTTTAGGGCTTTGGTTGAAACAACCTCCCTTCGGCTTGGGAACCAAAACTTGGTTGAAGCAAACTTTGAGCCAACTTCAACCAACCAACATCCATCGTCGTTCTTTAGATAAACAACATGTGTTTCTCGAAGATATATACAATTGCTTTGGTGGTTCATAAACACTGCATTGAGTACCATCCAGTAGCTCGCTCTCAGAGGCCAAAGAGCTGTGCTCTTCCCAACATGGCAGCCCGATGCCACTAGGCGTGAAGGGCAGTCAAAGGAAGGTCTTGGTATCATGTGGCTCTTTCTGGCGTCGTGAGAAACTGTGCGTCGTGGCGGAAACAAACGTTCCCCCAAAGCCACGGAATAAAATACCATACGCAAATCCTCTGTGCGTCTTGCTGCAAGATGCAAGACATACACAGAAACTGTTGGGCAGTTTGGTGAAATGCTTGGACTACAAAGCAAAAACCGTCATACACTCCACACCGTCACACTGTGATACTTGCAATGGAGAAGCAATTTAGGAAGAACCTTGGACTCCAACCGCCTGTCGACATCATAGGCAGGGAGCCCAGAAAAATCCTTCCGTATTGAGTTGTCGGTTTGCACACCCAAAGTGGCTCGCGTCCCCTGGGTTTCTTGAAAAAAAACAGCCCCAGAAGAAGTACCGCCCAAAAAGGACCACCTCCAAAATGTTCAAAGGAGTCTTTGTTGAGGGCACCCTCGGGGGACTCTTTGAGAACCCCATGCAGAAGTTGCCAGACTATCCGCCAGACAGAAATCCCCCACTTTTTCCTTCTCCCCCACCCCCCCCGCCCGCCGAATATATTGGGTGTTTTTTAAAGACCCCACCTCCCCCCCCCAAAAAAAAAATGCAAAACAACATATAGGTATTTTTGTGGGTTCCCTCAAGGCACTCTTTACCTCTTCGAGAAAACCTCGGCCTTTCTGCCCTCTCGGGCATCGGCCCTTTGCCAGGAGCCCAGCTTACCTCGCTCCGGCTTGGGAAGGCGACTTTTTGGTTCACCTGGGTTTACTCAGTGAGTTGATTGGCCAGAAGTCTGACTGGTTTTGTTTACTTCCTCCAGTAGAGAGCTTAGAGGGTAGGGACCAACTTTTTCAGTTTTGTCTATTTTAGTAGGAGAACCCTCCGAACCAAAAAAGGGGAGAGAAAGGGCACTACTGCGGGACCTAGTAAAACTTGTTTTAGGGATGAAGTCCAGGAACTCAGACTCAGGGAGTGAGTTAAAGGGAATCCTTAGGAAAAGCCAACATGCTTGAGGTCCCTCTATGTTGGCTTTTTTGCTGGTGCCCTCTGTACCTTGGCTATGGAAACGAAAAGGAAAAACGCAGATTGTTTGTTCTCTCCATATTGACACCTATACCCAATTACCGAGTTCTACAGCGGGGCAAATGCGAGAATGCCACATACAAGAGGCTTTCGATTTTCTGACAAATAACGGGATGAAACTGGGGCAGATGGGTAGGCATGAGGCAAACGTGACCAAGGCTCAGGCATCAGTAAACGTCATGTCCCCTTTCAATCTTCAGTCACCGCAGGCTACGTGTGGTTAAATCGTTTGTTGCGGGATCCGATGATCCAAACCCGAAACCAATCCCAAGCAACTCTGAACTGCCAGCAAATCAAAGCCTAGGCAGTACTAGTCTGAGCGCGGTGATGCAGGCATGCAAGCCAAAACACACATCAACACAACGGACCAGGGTGGAGTCAAGCCACCACAATTTGCTCTGCAAAGTGCGAATTACTTCGAGATCAACGCCTCACCCATAGGGCAACTGGTCCAACTGGTTCGCACACTGTTCTGTACCAATTTTGCGACAAACCCAAGTAAGCGACAAACCTATTACAACTTGATTGACCGCAAAGAGAAGCCGCCCACTTGGGGATTGTGTCCCAAATCCCCCCGTCGCCCCCAGACTGATTGACAGAAACCTCTCAACAGCCAACAACTCATCGGATTTGCTGCGGTCTCGTCCTATCTGGCTCGGGCTTCTTCCGCGCACTATTTTCACACGGAACAACTGGCGCCTTTGATCTAGCAGCCAAGTGCTCCCAATGTCACATCGCAATAGGCTGGTCACAAGGCATGCCGAATGTTCGCAACAGTCAGCTGTTGAGAAACCCTCATCGGCGGGAAAGGGCGGGAAAGTGTTGGCTCTGAAACTTGCCGAAACCAAGTTGAAAGCGAGCCCTCGAGCTGCGGCAGCTTTGGGCACCAGGCCTGGCTTCACAGACCTGGCAACTTCAAAAGTTTTGCAGAGGCAGCTGAGGCACCGCTCAGCAAACTCCAATTTGGCTGTTGCCAGCTGGCGTTTGCGCCTCTGCCTGGCAGAAAACCGCACGATGGTCTCCAACATGTTTCTGCCACGGAACACGATTCAATCTTCCCCACGTTGCAGACCTGCGGCTCTGCAGCAGCGAGCGCATGATGGTTGAAAGGGAGGAGACTTGCGACTTGACCTAAGGGGAAAAGCCAAGAGAGGCTCGGACAGGGGACGACTATTTTGCGTGGTCCCTTTTAAAACGTAGCATGCAGGCATTGAGGTCACCCGTCAAGCCCTCCCCCTTGACTCCTGCGTATTGAATGCAAATAGCTTGGAAGAAAGATCACCAGCCACTCAAAGTCCTCATCGCAGGATGAATGTCGGTGACAAGATTGGTCACGAGGCATGCCCCCGCGCGCATGGAGGAAACTACGACAACATGCTCCTCGGTACGCTACTATATTTCGATCGGCGTCGAAAGTTGACACTCCGAATTCGGGGGGCGGTAGGTCCTGATGTCCACGCCGGTCCCTCCTATCTTCTTGGGGATAAGCGGCGCAACCCCTGGGCTGCGCGTTTGGCATGGGGCTTTGGGCCAAAGGCTCTTTGGCCCAGCCCGCAAGAAGACTGCAAGGTTGGTGCCCGCCAGCTGTCGAAAGCAAACATCCGTTGCCAATCCTCGTCGCAGGTGCTGGATCTCTGATGCTGCAGGTCGGGATACTCAGCCCAATACCGCTGAGTCCTGAGAGGCAGGAAGCCTTGCGTGACAAACGCCGCGATTGTCTAGCCGCTTCGAAATCCGCGGGGCCTAATCACAATCCGCAATCCGCTTAACCCTTGTTCCGGCTTACTCCGTAATCCGCGCTACAAATCATGGGTCAACACCGTATGATGGAGCATGGGAAGTCTATACAACCCATGATGCGTAATCCGCAACTGCACAATCTAATCTGTAAATCGCATAATCTGTAATCCGCGAATCATTGGAGATTGGGTTTTGAACAATAGATTGTTCAAGTGCAAAAGGACCAAGCTAACGCTTCGCTGGGTTGGCTGGAACGCGACGTCCCTAAAGCTTGGCCGCTAAATTCGCCGCATAGAGGCTGCCACACGTGCTTGTTTTCAGCAAGGATTGAGAACCCTCGACTCCAAAGTGGCGGCACGTGCCGACGGTGACTATGCGTTAATTTGCGGGTGCGCCGCCCTGAGAACCACGGCAGAGCTGTATAACGAGGTGCTTCCAGTAGGTGGGAAGCACGAGCCTTTCTGACGCATTTGTCCTTGGACAGTTCCTTGTTGCATCGGCTGCCACGTGCGAGCAGCACACTTCTGAACCTGTGTGTCAATTCCAAGGCTGGCAAAGCGCCGATTGAAACGAAGCAGGTCATGTCGTCAGCTACCACTCCTCGGTGCAAGTGCCTGATATCCTGAGCACAAGACTGGCATAGCCTCTCGAAGATCTTTGAGTCTGCAAAATAATGACCCTCATTGCTTGGCAAGGCGTGCAATTGTCCCAGAGGAAACAGAAAGAACTTGTACGAGGCTTCATCGCAAGCCGGGCCCTGCGGGCGCAAAAATGCAAGGCTGATTCGGGTCTGGCTGGGTTGGGTCTGGGAGCTGCTGAGGAGAGGCAAAGTCGCACAGTAGAGCTTGGTGACAGTCTGTGTCAAATGCACGCGGGCTCAAAAGGCAGCAGGTCATATCATCTGCCAATTTTCCCAATGGCCGTCGAAGCCACACGGGGCGGGGCTCCGTAACTTGAGCTAAGCTTGCCGCAGCTGACTCAAAGCCGAAAAGGGCCACGCCTGAAAGAGCAGCTGGTTTAAACACCCCTGGCCTGAAGACATCTGGCGCCCGGAGTCTGGGCTGAACTGCCCAAATGCCCAGTCTTTGGTCTTACATTGAAGACAACCCCCCTTGCTAAGAACACTCCTTGCCAGTACCTCCCCCATTTTTCGGGAGATGGTACTCCTGCTTCTACAGAGATGCCTACGAGTCTTCTTGCGAAGATATGTCGGCAGCTTTGCTTCTCCAAAATGGAAGAGACAAAGAAAAAAGGTACCTCAGCACCTGGGACCCTATCACAACAATCACAAACAAGTCCTTCCATCAAAAACAAGCCCTTCGGCGGCAAGTAACCGCGTAAGCCCGCTGGTCTTAAGCGGCTTATAAGCGGCATCCAAAACCATGCGAACTTCTGCTTAAGCCCGCTGGCCTTTGGGACGAAGAACCCGGCACGCACATCTGCTTTGCCTTCATCTCGCGCCCCACCCTTTTGCGCTACCGAGTTGCAAGTAGTTGAACGGCACATTCCCGCAAATCTGTTCAACAGGGGGGCCCCAGTTGACAGGTGACCAGGTGTGGCGAGCGTCTCCACGGACGCAATGGTTCCCAGGACCAAAGCAAGCCACGCAAGAATCAAGGGGGAGAAAAGTAAGGGTGGCCAAAGGCGCAGGCTGAAGATCCAACATATTCTCAACAGTCATGTTTGATGCTGCAGACTTCTTCTGCTTCGATGGATGAGACGAGCATTTGGGGTTGTGGGCGGTTGGGGACTTTGGGGCGGGTCTTAACGCCTTCATGTTGTTGCTGACAGACGCCAGCTGCTCTTCGGAGCCCATTGCTTGCTGAGGCCAGAAACGCATTCAGGGCAGGAGGGGCCCATGACGTTATACACAATGTGCAAACAAGAGTGCCAGACATATCGAGTGTATGGGCTGGGCGCTGCAAACTTGGAGTTGCTGTTCTCAATCCCCAAAATGCTTTGGACGCAATACTGCAGCAAGTTTCCTGACTTGGGCAGGCTTCGGGCCGCAGTAGTATGAGTTACTCCGCCTGTTCAATGCAAATCTTTAGTGCCAGTTGTCTTAGTACGGACTTAACCAGAAACATGAATCGAAGTTATGGCGGACGTCAGTCCACAGAAAAGCCTTTAGGTCCTAAAGCTTGCCCATGGAAGGGGCAACCCTGGACTGTTGGGTGCGCGCTTGCCGACTTGGTCGTGGCTTGGTCGTGCAAAGGTAGACACCGGTGACGAGCCACCACTGGTGTTCAGGTTAGGAGTACCTTGACGTTCTAGGTACGAGTGAGCTCCGCGTCGACTGGCGACTGGCAGCCTCAAAGTTCTACTGCAGACTACGATCTAGTACCCAAACAACGGGCTGCCATGGGTCAAACAAGCCGGTGTGCACCCCGACTTCTGCGAACCCCAAGCCTCTCCCACCAGCTGCCAAGGCAACCTGCCCCTTCTGCGAACTGCGAATTGCCAGCACCTGCGAACTTCTGCAACGCTCTGCCCCCTGTGATTAGTTTGCGAGCCCCTGGCACCTTCTCGAGAAAACTGTCACGAACTGCGACTGCGAACCACTGCGTCCGGCAAAGCGCATACGTGCCCCACTGGTTTTTCCCTGAGTTACATGTCAAGTTGATCCGGAGCTTGCTGTCCCTTGGCGGCGCACCCGCCGGCCTTTGGCAATGCAGGCAATTCCTTTGCGGCAGATCCTGAAAAGACATGCCTTGCATCATGCTGCTTTTGCATGGCAGAACGCCCTCGCGCGAATGACCAAACATGTTCAAACATCTTCCATGAGACCCGAAGAGATACGCCGCGCTATCTTTGCCAAAATCTTCGGGGAACCATTACAAGTTTAGCGGATCCCTGGGAGGAAATCTGCAATGATGGCTTTTGAGCAAAGCTTGTCACAAGCAAAGCTTGCTCCATGATGCGCACCTTGGACGATGGGGAAAGGAGCTGCTTGCTAGCTGCTTTGAACTGCCGGAGGCAAAGCCTCTCAGATCTGAATTTAGGTCGGCGCCCCGTCTCGGATTTGGGAGAGCGCAAGTAAGCTGCTGATATGTCCGGCATCTTGAGTTCTTTTTGCTCAAGACGCATCGCAGGCCGGTTCCCGAGGTTTCTGGAGCTGAACCTGGCCCAACATCGTTGAGTGAAAACAGAGCTGAAACTGACGAAGCATCGTGCGCTTTCACACCCAGTGCTTCGGGCAACAGGAAGTGTCCAGAGTTTGAAACGGTTCCTCATCAAGACTTGATGGTGCCACGATGATTCAAGTAGCGACAATGTCCAGCACCAATTCTGGATGGGCTTGCCAAACGGGGCGAGCTCGCCCCAAAGTGCACGCTCTGGCCAGAGCGCACTTTAGCAACAAGATACGCTGCATTTGCTGCAGCCAAAGCTGGTGCCGACACAGTGCTTGAGAGTCAAGGTTGCCGATTTGGCCGTTTGGACGGAGATGCGAAAAAAATAGAGAAGGCCGCTTCGCAAAGCATTCTGGTGGGTAAGTAGACTGCTGTGCAATCACTTGGGTACAACGGTGCAAGCCTGCATGGAAAGCCTTTTGGCAGCCAGGAAAAGCCATTCGAGGGTTCTCACTACTGCCAATCCACCGCCATGCAAGCTCACGACTGTGGGAGTTGCACGAACTTGCAGGCCACGACGGCTTAATACATGACTTGCTTACAAGCAATGAGCACTGCGCCAAACAAACAGAAGCCACCGGCGCAGCTGGCAAATGCGAAGATTTCAAGTGACTTACCTGCTCACATGCGTTCTGAGCTCACTAGGGCACACCAATGTTGGTTTTCTAAAAGCGCTGGAAGGCCCTTTCAGAGCCCGAAGCAGGCGCGCCCTCGCACAGCACGATACTTTGGCAGGTCCAGCCCGAGCATGTTGCCCTGTCGGAAGCGAAGGAGGCTCGGAATGGCAAAATGCGCACATGGCAAGTTTGAGTTCGAACCTGGCACCCGGTCGAGGTTCAGTGCAGCGAGCTTGCCAAACGGGGCAAGCTCGCCCCAACGTGCACGTTCTGGCCAGCGCGCACTTTAGCAACGAGATACGCTGCATTTGCTGCAGCCAAAGCTGGTGCCGACACAGTGCTTGAGAGTCAAGGTTGCCGGTTTGGCCGTTGGGACGGAGATGCGAAAACCCAAAGAAATGAAGAACGCGGGTAACCTGGATGTGCGTTTGGCATGTTTTTTTCTGTTCCCAGCCCCTCAAAGGGATGCTTTTCGGCAAGACGGCCATTTTGGAGGAAACGCTCTTCTTTTTGGAATGGAGTGATCTGTTTTTGGACCTCGTGCGCAAAATGTGTGAAACAGCAAGATTCCGGCCAAAGAAGTAGGCCGCACCACGGGCGCGATGCCCAATTCCTTCAAGGGCGCAACTTCGTGCAAACGCGCGCGATTCCGGAAAGCATCTAATTTTCAGCTGCCCCGCTTCCTCTCCGTATTGAGGAAAGCGATCGCTTTTTGCGCGAACGGCATGGTACTCACAAAAACAGATGTTTTCATTTCCGACCGGAAGAAAGAGCGTCCTGGAAAGACCCAGGAAGCTGCTTCGCAATCACATGGATTCAAAAGTGCAAGCCTGCGAAGCCTTGTGGCAGCCAAGGAAAACCATCCGCGGCTTCTCACTACTGCCAATCCAGCGCCATGCAAGCTCACGACTGTGGGAGTTGCACGAACTTGAAGGTGCAAGCCACCGGCACTACTGGCAAATGTAAAGGTTTCAACTGACCATGCGTTCTGAACTCACTACGGCACATCAATGCGCAAGCTTTTGTAAAAGCCGTGGAAGGCCCTTTGTGAGCCCAAAGCAGGCCCGCCCTCGCACAGCACCAATGAGACAGAAATGGGAGGGGTGGGCTGCCTGGACAGCTGTGCCGCGGACTTTGTCGAGAAAAAAGGGTTCTTGGGAGGGTTCCGCAAAAGTGATCTTCGAAGGGTTCCTCGAGGCTGTGGCGCAAACTCAACAAGCATCAAAACGGTTCCGCAGAACCGTTAGTCGAAGTTCCTAATCAGTTCCTGCAATCACATGCAGTGTTTGCCGAACTTCCCAAAAAACTTTGTCGAAGTTCTGCGGTGCCGGAAATCCAGACCCGCCCCCTTGCCGAAACCTTCTGAGGACCAAGTTGCACAACCCTGTTTGCACGTTAGGCTTTGGCAAGAGCCGGAGCATGTTTCCCTAACTGGAGTGAAGGTGGCTTGGAATGTCAAAATGCGCACATGGCAATTTGAAATTGAATGGATGTTCAACTCACTGGGGTCGGTATATCAATCTGGCTGTTCCATGGAGCCTGCAACCGCATCTTGTCAGCAAGAATTTGTGCCGCACAATTCAATTGTGTCAATCGGTCAATACATTAATCTGCTGAGCACACCTGGCTTTGACGTGTCAGGGCAAGTTTGCCGCACATTGGAGGTGGCTGCCACCCGCCTCGCAGTGGCTTTCCCACTTGCACAACCCGAATGCTGAGCCGAAAAAGACGATGCGCGGGCGCTGCATCGAGTTGGATCCCGGGAATAAATGCAGTCGAAACAATTGAATGCCTCGCTCGGTGCGAAAGCTTTGCAACAAGCCTCTCTCTCCATAGCTGAAATGCTTGTTGTTCTAAACCGGATCCTGTGACTGTTCTGGGGGTCCTCTATTGTGGCAAGTTTGTTTGCCGGGCAAAACGCTGGATAAAACCTGCATGGGCAAAGAACAATTGGCAAACAAGTCGGGCAACAAAAAACAAGCAAACAAATCCGGGCAAAGAAATCCTTTTCTTGAAGTGGTCCCCGAACCATCAAATTTAAGAAAACTTCTTTACAAACCGCGAGCGGGGTTGCCGACAACAGGCCCTGATCCTATTTAATGTGACTGTTTTGGGGTCCTCTTTAGTATCTAACCCTTTTGGGAGTTGCTGAGAAAGTGATCTCTGGCAATACTGAAGAATTAGCAATGCTAAAGTAACCTGAATCTTCCGATGAGCGTTATTTTCCGCTCGTGCAGATTGCCGCGCGTTTATCTGGAAAGCGCTCGGTTCAAGAAAAAGCGCTCGGATGCGGATATCGAAAAAGAAGAAACTGTCCATCGTGTGGGCTTAGTCTTTCTGCTACTCATGTGCAAGATTTGCAGCGGGCGCCGGACGTGGCAAAACTAGCACTTTTTGATGTGCGCTCGTGTGGCGATACATTGCGCTTTTTTAGCGGGAATGTGCGCTCGTTGTGCGGCCTTGCCCGTTTCATCTTGGAAAGCAGCTGCTCTGTTCAAAACATTGACCACGTTGCGCAAAGTGTGATCCCAAGGAGCCTCAATTCCTTTGCGAAGTAGCCTCCCAGTAACGCTCGAAGACTAAATAGCGCGCGTTTCCTAAAAATCGCTCGCAAGCACCAAAAGCGTATCAAATAGGTTGAGCAGAACATAACGCTCCTTGGAAGATACAGGAAGTACTGGGAGTCGGAGAGTCAGCCTTGGCAATACTAACGTAGAATTGGCAATACTAAAGTAAATTCTGAGTGAGCCTTAACGACCCAAACCGCCGATTTTCTGATTTACAGAGGGTGAAGCTGAGTGGTTCCAGGGTGGGCGCCGATGAAAAACCGCGGTGAACACCGCTGCTTGGCCGAGCTTTGGAGGTGACAGAGGGTGCCGGGGACCGTGCACCAGTGGGAGATTCAGCCACGATTTGCCCAGAATTCGTCCGCGATTTGGCGAGAACATCCGCGTAGGCCTGGCTGCGTTTGGCATCGTCAGATGCCGTTTGCGCAAAAAGGTGTCCAACGCACGTCGTTGTATTGTCCAAGTACATCCCACCGCCAAAACGTATCTTTTCTTTTGAAAGGCATCAAACACGAAAACTTCAGTCAGTCAAGCAACCACCAATTAGCCTGATAGTGTAGGTCGCATGGCAGATCCTGAAAAATCGTGCCTTTCTTATCTCGTTCATGTGCATTGTTGCGTTTCCGAGTTGACGCTCATGATACATGCGAGTATACGTGAAGCCCTATTGCGTTGCACGCGGCTCTCCAATAGCCAGTGATCTTTCCGAACACTCACAGACTCACAGAAGCATACCAAAACATGGGTCGCTCATGAAGCAGGATGAGTTGGGTTTGTCTGTAAGTGGAAACCCCGAAACTTAGTGCTTTGCCTTTGGTTTCTCTCCAAATGAAACCCATTCGCGGGCTCCTACAAAAAACGCCCAGTTGACAACCTCAGTGATTGTGAGCGGGGCCAGTCAGGGGGCGCTGGTTTCACAAGCGCGTTGGAAAGAGAGCAAGCAACACATCAAGAGAATACAGTGCTCCCTATATTTCCCCTGAAAACATCACCCCTGCCAAAGGAAACTCATGTAAAATGGGCACAAGGTGATGTCCCAAAGCAACAACAAGGGACATATAGGGAGCCCTAGAATAAGTCATGCCACCTAGTGCCAGATCAGGAAAAGCCCGACGGCGCCAGCAGTGGGCACTGCCATTACCTGGATCTAGTGGCCAGTATGACTCATCGAACCAGGAGTGCGTTGAGGAAGTCTTTCACAAATCATCAGCCCCCCAAAGAAAAACAAACAGCAGATGCGTGCGCCTTGACTGAGGTGTTGGTGCGGTTTCAATCAGAAACGAAGGGAGATCCATGTTGGGGGTGCGCTTCCTATCTTCTCCCGCTCTCCGAGCCGAGCTGCCAAGCACGCCGTTGAGGCCTACCATGTCCAATTCCAAGCCTTCATGGCAGATCTGTCCGATGGGGCGGCACCAAAATCCGACCCCACAATCACCCTTTTGGTTGCCCGATTCTGCTTCTCTATGTTGTTCCGAAGGATTCTTGTGTTTTCCATTTGCAAGCAGGGAGGCACGTTGCAACCCGAAATTCCTGGCCTATTATTTTTTTTTATCACAAGACAGCACCGAGAAACGAACAGGACAGTGGTCGATTTTCGTGCCCAGTGGATCCCAGGCAAGCTCTTATGGTAGCTAAGCAACCGCTTGCCTTGGGCCTTTCCAATCTACACAAATGAATGGATCCACTAGTCATCGTGAGACTCGCGTTGGAGTGAAGGGCTGCTGGAGGATTTGAATGGTACCCGTTACCCCTGGTTTGCTCCGAGGGTATATGGCATTTACGGCTTGCAGTTGAAGTACTGGATGCCGTAAAATTCCTACGGTTTGTGGTTGGTTTACTTGCAATCTTTGGGGCATATTGTTTCCACCCTAGATGTTCGAACACTCTCGCCTTTGATCAATCTGATCCCTGTTTCCAGGCAAGTGAATCAGGAGGGGCTAAGTCGGGAAACTTAGAACAAAACGGGATTTGGAGGCATCACTCAGTGTCTCACTTCCTGAATGGAATCTCCCAAACAAATCTGAACTGTTTGTTTACCACCAAAATGGTCTTCCAAAAAGTTGAATGTCCAGGAACTCGGGAAGTGTTGTGTTCTTCCAAATCGTGGTTCCCTTTGACAGGAAAACAAGCAGGATGCCGGCAGGCCATTTCAGGAAATGGACCAAATCCTACTTGGAGAAGCACCCAAATCTGAAAAATCCTTACAGAGTCATGGGAATGACACGTGTGTGTGTGTGTTGTGCGTGGGTGCGAGCATGTCCATGTGTATGCATACACATACCTACATATTATATGTGTCTATGTGTTTGTGTGGGCGTGTGCGTGTGCGTGCGCGTGCGCGACGAACGCTGCTCGCCGCGTGCGTGCGCGGCCGTGGGCGTGGGCGAGTGCGTGTGGGCGTGTGGGGGCGTGTGTGGACATGTGTGGACATGTGTGTGGGCGTGTGTGCCCGTGTGTGGGGCGGCGCGTGTGGTGTGTGTCTGGACGTGCGTGGGCGTGAGTGCGAGTGTGCGGCGTGTGCGTGGGCATGCGTTGGCGTGCGTGGGCGCGTGTGGGTGTGTGTGTGTGTGGGCGTGCGTGGGCGTGTGTAGGCGTGTGTGGGCGAGTTTGGGCAAGTGTGTCAGTGTGTGTGTGTGTGTGTGTCTGTGTGTGTCTGTGTGTGGCCGGGTGTGTCTGTGTGTGTCTGTGTGGGCGTCTGTGTCTCTTTATGTGCGCGTCTGTGTCTCTTTGTGTGTATGTGTGTGTCTGTTTCTGTGTCTGTGTCTGTGTGTGTGTGTCGGTGTGTGTGTGTGTGTGTGTGTCTCTGTGTGTCTCTGTGTGTGTGTCTCTGTGTGTCTCTCTGTCTGTGTGTCTCTGTGTGTGTCTCTGTGTGTCTCTCTGTCTGTGTGTCTCTGTGTGTGTCTCTGTGTGTCTCTCCGTCTGTGTGTGTGTGTGTGTGTGTGTCTGTGTGTTTGTTTGTTTGTTTGTTTGTTTGTTTGTTTGTTTGTGTGTTTGTGTGTTTGTGGGTGTGTGTTTGAGGGTACTCCGAACCCAAAGAGCTGATTCGCTCCCTCCGTAAACGCAAGCTCGTAAAAGATACTCCCAGCTGCGAACCGGCAGAGGCGCTGGATCCCAGCTGCGGACCGGCTCCCTCCCAGCCAGCAGCTAGAACACCACCCGCTTTTGTTGCTCCGTTGCCCAAAGCACCTGGAAATACAGCTTAGTCACCTTTTGGGGTACCTTACCAAATGAATACATGAAAAAAAAAACACGCGGGGCCTGGAAATGAAAGCCAAGCCTCCCACCAATGAACATGGACAGCTGGCAAGGGGTCCCTTTTGCAGGACCCCCCGGAACGTCAGGTTCCATTGCTTGCTGGCTGAGTGGATGGCCCACAAAAAGTCCGAACTTTATATTTCCCGCTAAAATGGTCTTCCCAAAAAGTTTAAAGTTCATGAACTCAGGAAGTGAGATTATCAATTGGTGGGAGGGTAACGAAAACCAAAAGGTCTCCAGTCGATTCGCTTTGGACAGAACCGAAAGTTCCAAGAAGCGCGTGCCTGCGAGGCGCAGGTTTCGGAGACCCAGGCACCTGCGCTTGAAGTAGGCAGCTGCTGCAAGCGTGGCTTGGGTGGGTTTTGGTTGGCTTGGAATGGTTTGGGATGGTTTGGGTTGGCTTGGAATGGTTTGGGATGGTTTGGGATGGTTTGGGTTGGTTTGGGTTGGTTTGGGCTAGTTTGAGTTGGTTTGGTATGGCTTGGGGTATTTCAGCCTCAAAAGGCCGGCTTGCGCGGTGGTTGGGGGGTGGTTTCCCATTTACCCACAAAAAACCAATGGTTCAATTCCCCAGTTCCCACCCATGCAAACCAGATTGGGGGGAAACTATCTTGAGGTGACGGGCAAATCGGGGGTCTATCGAAATGAAAAGGAGGCATAATGAAGCTAATCATCGAAATTCTTGTATTGCTTTCTGCTCCCGGAGCATGTGAAGCCACGTTTGTTGGAGAGAGGGTATTCTCGTGCTTTGCGAAAGGAAACCACAAGCAACAACAATTGAAATCAACAAGCCCAGCAAGAATCACGAAACTAACTCGAAGGGAGATGATTAAGGATCTGCTCGGGTGAAACAAAAGGAGAGTTTGAAGGACACATAACATAAAAGCAGAACAAACACAACAGCATGTTCACATGTAATTACATTATAATCAGATGGCTGTGGGTCAAACGTATGTTCCCAAAATGGAACCCTGGCAAATGGACAGGTAGACTAAACCTTGCGGTCCCCTGATTGTCTACTTCTGCCCCATACCCATATGATGTACCTATTTGTTTTGCTCTGATTCACGTGGAGCCGTCAGCTTTAAATCGACAGGACCTGAGTCACCTGCAAATTTCCTGGTGTCAGCTCTGAATGCTCCTGCCAGAGGGGAAGATTGCTGGCAGCCACGAAAGAAGAGACACATATGGGTGACTCGTCTTGCTTTAGTTTGGACCTCCCAAAAGGGTACCCTCAAAAACAACAATCAGCCACTTCATCTCCAACCCATATTGACATGAAATGGGCCATGAGAGAAGATTTCTGGACCTTATTCACATCAAAGAGACTCTCTGCCAGGTTCCATGTTCAGCACTGAGATACAAATCTGGAAATACTTCACTCGGTTCCCCATTTGTTTCCACGCTGAACCTTCTGTCCCCTTAAACTCAAATTGGCACGGGCAAGAACTTGATGTTGCAGCCCAGGAAAAACGGGACACGGGCTTGTCTCCAAGCTGGAGGGTAAGCTCCGCAAAATGGTGGGGTTTCCTGTGGGTTTCCTCCCAAAAAGCCCAAACCGGGTGTCACTGGATTTCCCCCTAAGTTGATCAATTTATTGTTGGTTTCCATTGAAACGGTCGCCAGTAAGCCAAAAACAGGCACAGAAAACCGGCCACCTGGACCCTCAAACTCCCCCCCCCCCAAAAAAAAAAGCAAAAAAAAACAGGACATTCACACCATAGTATTTGCGCTACACACAGAGCCCACGCCCTCCCAGTTTCGGGACTCAGGGGCCCGGCACACTGGGCCACGCGCCATTGCCGCCGCCGGCGAAATGGCCGGCCGCCACGGTGGAGAAGGAGGCCACGCTCATGGGCTGAGACCTGCGAGATCCATTTCTCGGATCCATTTCTGGGTGGCGAGATCTGAGCCCGGCGAAAAGTGACTAACTTTCTTTTAGTGGTTTGATTTCCACCCCAAACAAACAACTTGTAGTTGGCAAAAAGGTAAAAGTCCTAACATCCAAGCAACATTCACCGAAGATTGGAGTCCCTGCGAGGGGTGGGTACAAAATAAAAATAATTACACGTTCCTTGTAGGGGTCCTCAGGGAGCCTTAGGGAACTCCCCCTTAAAACCACCTTCCCCACTCATAAACTGGGATGAATACTGTGGATGGACGAAATCCTACACCACCCAAGGAACCATGAGAAAACCACTGTTTGTTGGTATTTACAGGGAATCAGACCCTTCTTGGGTGGTGCGAAATGGATTTCGCAACCATCCACACGAATCAGTTTTGGTGGATCCATTTATGGAGATAGGTACCATCGAAAGGTGGGTAGTTGCGAGCCCGAGGGTTCTTTAGGCTTCCTTAGGATTTAGGGCTCCTTCCTTTTGGGACGCCACAAATTTACCCGGTTTTTAGGTACCCAAAAGCTTCACATCCTTGAACAAAAGGGAAAATGACTGGGTACCTTCCTCAGGGAACTGGGGTTAAGGCCCCAGGAAAAAATCCAGTAGCGACAAATTCCTTTCAAAACCAACAAGGGAAAATCAAACAAACTATTCTTGAGCACATGGAGGATGGGTGGTCATTGCAGAAAAAAAACGGGTCATGACCCCACTTTCAAAGGAATCAAAGCCCGGTACTAAAATTAAGAAGGTGGCCGCAGCGGTTGGGATTTATCCCTTAAGCTTCATCTTTGATTGTGGCTCAGGTGTGGCTCCCCCCAAACAGTTGGAATTAAAAGGGTGCGCTTCGGGATCTTGGCTCAATGTGCAAGATGAACAGCTCGATTCGCTTTGGGCCGAGTCTCGTGTTGACGCCCACGGGTTGCCAGGTAAAAGCCAAACCGGGTCATCTCTTTTTTTGAAGGCCTCCTTGAACGAGATGGCCTTCAACATAGCCCTAAACCAAAACCATCCCTAAACCATCCCTAAACCATCCCTAAACCATCCCTAAACCAACCTAAACCATCCCTAAACCATCCTAAACCATCCCTAAACCAACCTAAACCATCCCTAAACCAACACTAAACCAACCCTAAACCAACCCTAAACCATCCCTAAACCAACCCTAAACCAGCCCTAAACCATCCCTAAGCCAACCTAAACCATCCCTAAATCAAACTAAACCATCCCTAAACCAACCCTAAACCATCCCTGAACCAACCCTAAGCTTGCCCAAAGTTTGTTCTGCAGCCGCCACATATGGCGCCTGTGGGACAGAGTGCTGAGCTGCAGTGATTCAGCGGAGTTCAGCCAAGCAAGTGTGATTCGAAGTGAAGAAACTCGAGCTCCTCCAGTAGAGAGGTTAGAATAAGGGTACCAACTGTTTTCTGTAGTCTATTTTAGTAGGGGAACACTCCCCCAAAAATGGGTAAAAGGGCACTACTCAGAAACCTAGAAACTTAGAATGTTGCAAAACACACACACGCTCATGGCCTGGGCCAAACCCGGCATTCACTCATGGTCAATCACATTGCTTGAACTTCGACAAAGCTAAAACATGCAATGACTTATGAAGACGCATTAGGTCAAATGCAATAAGGTCAACTTCCCCAACAACAAAAAACACACACAATACGGCAACATAAGCCCAAGTAAGGTTAAATAAGATCAAAGAGAGCCAAACGGGGGACTGCTCGTTCTGAACATGCAAACCCTTGCATGGACTGCACTATCGCATACAGCAGGACAATCAACCCTCCAACAGAAATTCTTCGCTGGCTTTTCGGAGGCTCAAGCCCTGACGGGAAAGGGCTTGGGTTGAGAGTTAGTTGCCCCACAGTGAATGAACAACATGCACCACTTGGATGAACACAACCCTGCACATATTCGGAAAACAACACCTACCAACTGGGGCAGGATTTTGTTCACCTAGTGTATTTCCGTGGAAGGGATTGTTACCGACCCTCATGTTGACCCCTGCTTAACCCCTCTTCTTGAAGACTGTTCCTTTGCCCGAGTGCCAGGCAATACTACTTCAAAGGGCACATGGCATTCGGAGCGAAACGCTGTCATCGGCGTGCCTGGTCGGCATAGATGCCAGGAAGTCCAAAGAAAAAGCCCAACCTCGGAAAAGGTGGCAACATGAAACCGAGAAGAGCTGCAATAACTGCTGAAGGAGCAAAACTGTGAAGGATTTTGATCCATACCATGGACAACAAGTCATACTGTTGTGCAATGTCTTTGATGACCAACTGTATCACAAATCAATAGTTGCACGTCTTGTGTTATGGCTCCCCAATCGCAGGTGCGCGCCGAGTATGCAGCGCATTGCCCGATAAACTGACAAGACATGCATGGAACACCTACATTATCTGGTGAAAGTCTTGGGCTCATCGAGAAACTCTTGCCCTCATGCTCGGTGGAGGAAACCCAGCAGCAAGCTACCTGGCAATTCCCCATGTCTCACAAAGGAGCACAAGGTAAGCAAGAGATCGGTTCAAACAACAAGACCAATTTGATACTGCATTCCACTGAAGGAAATATCATCCGCATCCGCTCAACGAACCGCTTGTTTCTTGTCTTGATCTCTCCGCCGTAGATTGATCACGGATTCTGGGTCGCTCTCCTTGGATGGTGTATTCTTCAGGGAACCCGAATCAAACACATCAAGCGACACATTTTTCGGGGGTCTTGGAGACAACCCCCCCCCACTTCGCCCCATTTCGGATGGCACCCCTGCAGTTGGAGCTGAAAGGCAACATACCCATTTCTGGGGTCTGGGTATGAAAAAAAAACACGAGGGGCTTGGCCCCTCAAACATGGCTGGACATGCCCCATGCATCTGGCCCCATTTTACCGCGATCAAAGAAACCCCCTGAAGTGGTACAGGGAAACACCTCCATTTGCTGACTTTGATAACCCAACAAACAGTCAAACTAGTGACCGCAGTACATCTGCCCTGAATTGGTTGAGAGTCCGACATCCGGCTGCCATACCTCAGGTGATCTTTCAGATCCGCGAGGCGTATTTTCGGCAACAGGCCGTTGTTGAGACATGTTGTTCGGTTGGTTTCGAGGGAAACAAAGAAACTATTCATGAAAGGGGTTCCTCTTTTGACATCAACATACAGAATCGCGCAACGACGCAGATCCTGAACAAATGCAGTATTGGTTTCATATGTCCGGCGTTTCGACAGTCTAATCTTTGATCTCTACAAAACGGCTTCAGCAAAACCGGCAAACATTCGAACCACATATATATTCAAAACGAGTCCATTCAAGTCTCGAAATCCATGGTGTTGAAGTTTTGCAAGTCTCCCTAGATCGCAGCCCCCAAAAGGATGATTCAAGGGCAGCTTTCCTCATCACCTTTGAATGACGTAAACGGGGGGGGGTTACCTACACTTTGAGGACCAATTTTGGTTGTGCTCAAAGGGAAGCCAGGAAATCGGACGAGGGGAACCCCTCCACACTCAGTCAATGCTCTGAGCCTGGTTGACATGGGCAATGGGGCACAAATCTGGGAGTCGGTGACGATCTACATAAAGAATACCCCAAGCACCAAAGAAACAAAGAAGCAGCGCCCAACACCCATTGGCTCCTGCCAAAAGGGCAATAGACAGCTAACAAACAAAAACCCGCGCCGAACGCCTTCCCCACATGACGTATTTTTGACCATCGTGTTACACCAAAATTTATATCACTGCAGCATGTACCTCTGCAGCCGGGTGGCCCGAGTCTGCGATGCTGTTGCTGTTCTTCACGTCCATCCTGGAATCGCGTTGTTTCTCCAGTGGAAAAAATTGGGACCCCTCCAAATGCACAAGGTTTCCGTTGGGTTGCGTTCTCAAACCATCCCAATTTTTGTGAGATATCAAGCAGGTCTACGCAGCCAAGCTCATCCATCAGGAGCGTCTTGTAACTGCCGGAAATGCGGGATGTCTACTGCTTCCTCGTGTTGCAGTATGCACTGCAGGCAGGGTGTTGCGCGTCAGATCGGCCCGCGCCCAATGCCCCAAAGGATTCCAAAAGAAGGGCCCCTTTCAAAAAAGTGGCGACAGCTGTACAAAGCATGCACATCTCATGTCTGATCGTCTCAAACTTTCCCGAGGGCCTTCAACCCCCCAAACAGGTGTTTGCGTGTGCGTGCGCGTGCAAGTGCGCGTGCGCGTGCGCGTATGCGTATGTGTGGGCGTGTGCGTGTGCGTGTGCGTGTGCGTGTGCGTGCGCGTGCGCGTGCGCGTGCGCGTGCGCGTGCGCGTGCGCGTGCGCGTGCGCGCGTGCGTGCGTGTGGATGTGTGTGGTGTGGGTGGGTGTGTGTGGGTGTGTGTGTGTGTGTGTGTGGGTGTGTGGGTGTGGTGTGTCTGTGTGTCTGTGTGTCTGTGTGTCTGTGTGTGTGTCTGTGTGTCTGTGTGTCTGTGTCTGTGTGTCTGTGTGTCTGTGTGTCTGTGTGTCTGTGTGTCTGTGTGTCTGTGTGTCTGTGTGTCTGTGTGTCTGTGTGTCTGTGTGTCTGTGTGTCTGTGTGTCTGTGTGTCTGTGTGTCTGTGTGTCTGTGTGTCTGTGTGTCTGTGTGTCTGTGTGTGTGTGTGTCTGTGTGTGTGCGTGCGTGCGTGCGCGTGCATGGGTGTGTGTGTGTGTGGGTGTGTGTGTGTGTGCATGCGTGTGTGTGTGTGTGTGTGTGTGTGTGTGTGTGTGTGTGCGCGTGTGTGTGTGTGTGTCCAAATAAGCAATGCAAATAAGGGTACCCATGGGCACCGCAGAAAAATATGCTCTCCCTTTTGATTCTCCCTTTACACCAGCCCCAAAAAAGGGCCACCGGTGCCTCAAAAAAAGCCTCCACGCCAGCCGCCAGAACCCAAGCCCAACCCGCCTCACGGACTTCGCTTGCAGCGTCTCCAGGATCTGGATCCCAAATGCCCACCGCCTCAGGTCCGGGAAAAACCTCGCTTCCCATCGAGTGGACGGGCCAAATTGAGTGAAGGGAAAGGTCTGGGTGATTTCCCTTTGCGTTGACCTTTAAATTAAAAAGGCCAAACTTTCGTGAAGCCGAAATTTGGTCCAAGCCCAAAAAGGTGACTCAAGTCCAGGAACCCAGGAAGCGAGAAAAGGGTAGCCTCATTCCCACCGTGGCACCTGACAGAAAGTCCCTACAAAAAGAAATCTTATCTTCCAGATGCCCTCCAACAGGCGCTATGTTAGTGGGAGGGCAACAACCTTTGCGGGACTCCGGAACCTTGCACCCGCTCCCTTGGACTCCAGCACCAATCTGCGCATCCCAAAGCCTTCAGCTCGAAGGCAGGACGTTGGCCAGAGTCCAAGCAGAGTCCCAACATGACTCGGTCTGATCGTCTCACTCATTGCACTGAACCGAAGCTCGGACAAATGATGCCCCCGCTCAAAAAAAACCCAAGGGCTTGAAAAAAACCTGAAGCCCTTCTCCATAGCTTTCGGAAAAATGATGCGGCCTGACTGCCATCAACTGTTGGATTGGGCTTCAATCAGGTGCTGGGTCTCAGAACTTGGCTACAGTAAGAACTTGGCTTTGTTGTCGCATGTGCTCATTTCTGCGCGCCGGGAGAGCAAGAAAAATCAACATAGTAGAACGGATTAATGCTGCAGTCTATCAGGATCCAATAGATCCAGGAGTCAATGCAGGGAGAATCGAGCTGATGCTTGATGCTTGTCCGGTGGATGGCTCTTTGATGAACTATGCTTCGGTACGCAATTTCTCTGAGTGACGCTCCCACGTGACTAGATGAGGCTTTTGACACTTTGTTTCAACCTTGAGCCAAACACGTGTTCAATCCCGCCCCCAATGGTGCCGAAGGGACCCCAACACAACTCCCACTGTGGATGGACGAAATCCTGCACGCAAGAAGCCATGGAATGGTGATTTCCCTGTAAATAACCCACAAAGAATGGCTTCCCACGGCTTCAAGCTGGTGCGAAATGGATTTCGCAACCATCCACAGGTCCTTCCTAGTAGGTTCTGGGAACCGGCTCAAAACGCCTGGCAGCCCTGGCAACGCAACGCAACTGCCAAGTCACGCCGTGAAAATGCCTTTGGCAACGTCCGCACCCAGCGTTGCGTCCTCGGCTCCATGGGCGAAAAAGAAAAAAAACAACGCGTAGGAGGAATATCCATCCCCTGTTCGCTTTCCGTTCAGAAAAGATGGAAAATATTAAATGGGTACGGTGCGTACACCCCGCCTATCATGTTTGGTCACGTTGCAACTCCTGGCAGGACACCCAAAAGAACGCTGATCCAACCATGGCGTGATTATTCCCAGGTTGAACCACATGCACAGCTGCCTACAGGTTGAATATTCAAACCTAACGTCAGCTTGACCAGCACCCTACGTCTCAAAACAAGAACTGCCAGATGAATATTCACGGTTTCAACACCCTGAACGTCTCGTGTTCTGGTTATGTACAGGCGCTAAACATTCCAATGAATGCAAGTTTCATGTTTCCCCGAGGCAGCTTGCGTTGCCTTCTTGTGTCAATATAATGCCTGAGCCGATCAGGCGTCGCACATATTGTCGCCACTGATTTGTTATTAAAAAAACAACAACTAAAACTAAGCTAACACAGGCTTTACAAACATCATGCAGCTTGGCAGCAGTCGCCATGTGCCAATCAGAGCGCCAAGTGACACATTCTTCAAGCCAACGCCTGCTGGTTCCCTTCAAAGGGAACTGGACCTAGTAGTTGGTCGCTACATATTTCCCCCCCCCCCCGAAAAAGGCCCGCCCGCCCGGAACGGGGCCCGCGCTGCTTGGGCGCCGAAATGCCAGAGCTTCTCAAGCACCGCCAGCGCCAAGAACCAACTGATGTCACAAATCGGAATCGGCGCCTAATGGTCTGACACGGATGTGTCTCCAATGGGTGCCCTCCAAAGCGACCTCACAAGAAGGTACCAAAACATGTGTGGCTCTCTAGCAGTGAATGAGGGTGAGGGCACCCATACTGGTGGTTTCCAACCAATATGGGGGATATGGCAACGGTTTCCTTTTGGCTTCGCTTGAAATGCCAACAAGGCGGTCTACCAATAAAGAAACACCATGCGAATCTGGCTCTGTCTCTTTCAGCTGAACCCTTGCATGGCGTATGGAAACTTCAAAAGGCCGAAAACAACTCGGGGCCTCGAAAAAAAGAAACATGATCGACACGCCCTTTTCTTGTTCCGAAAGGGAATCAACGTTGGGTGTTTTTGGGGTTAACCAGAAGGATCTGGAAGCCCTGAAAGGAAACCAATGCTTTTTTCGGGGCGATTCCAGCTCATTCCCTGACCGCAAATTTTAAGGGAGGGTAGGAGACCAACCATCACAAGGTTCCGCTTTGGAGCCGTCAGAATCCTGTAACCAGGTGTCATACACAAAATCCTGTCAACTCTTTCAGTGGGCCTCCCCAGTTCCTGGAGCAAATGTGATCTGCCCGTGTCATACCACGAAGCATCATCAAATCCCCTCCCCTGTTCCACCAAAGCACACTCATTGCGATTTCCCTTTGCCTGTGCCAGCGCTGGAGTAGAAGGCTACAAGCCTCCAAAAACAAGAAGAGGCGCGAGGGAAGTGTTTAAGTGGCGATGATTATGACGCTTCGCAAGTGGCCTAAGCATGCTTCGTACAATTCATGCATGATGGACCAATCAAGAGATAGACCTAAATTGTTTGCACGACAAGTTTCTGCCAGTTTCAAGGAGCAATCGCCGTTGAACACAATTGGATGGTTAAAATCTATGCAAATGAGAGATGTTCAGTGATGAAAGTCAGTGGCCGCTTTTGTAGAACTTGCACTTGCAGTGTGGTTTGATGTTGGTCTCTGCCAAAAAAGGGAGGGTCAAATGGTGGAAATCTGTCTAAAAAACGGGCACCCTCAAACACAGACACACACACACACACAAACAAACCCACGTGTGGAGGAGTCCAAAGTCAGGAACCCATTTTTCGCAAAGCGTGGCAAGGGACGCCCAGCGCTTCAAACCAAAAAGCAAGGCCCAGCCTCGCTCAAGAATTCCGAGGAAAAAAAAAAGAAATACAACGTTTGAGACGTGGCGAAAAAACCGCCGGAGATCGCGTTCTGGCCAAACAACCCGTGGATTGAAACTTGGACAAGCTGTCTTCGGATTCCATTCTCACCGGTTGAGCTAGCGAAAATCGTTCCGACGGGCGCATGATTGCTCACAACTCGAGCGATGTTTGTTGAATCGTACATTTATTTTAGAACAGGTTGTCACGAGCAGAAATATTTCGAGCAACCATTAATGTACCAATGGAGGCTGCAGGATATATGTATGATTCGATATATATATATATAACTATGTATTGTGTGTACATATACATATATGGGTGTAGCTCAAAATTAACCACTCCATGTTTCCACTTACCGATCGGGCAACCCATTTTGGAATTCCGTTGTTTTTGACCCGCAGCCGTATATATATATATATATAGCGCGACCTCGGGCGCGCCAGCGAAGCGCGCAGCGCAGCGCGCCGCGAAGCGCGCCTTGGCGCTGCAGCGGCGGCTCAGCAGCTCCAGAGCCAACGAGCAGCTGGGCGCCTGCGCGAGGCGAAGCCAGGTGTTCGGCGGAAACGGAGAGAGCGAAGAAGGACACGGGGAAAGCAACCAAAACCCGGGGAAGAAAAAAAAGAAAGAGGAAATGCGTTTGAAGGATGGTTTTTTAATGAAATCATGAAAAACGGAAAGAAAAGAAGAAGACAAAGGATACAAAGAAAGAACAGCTTATGGTTATTGCCCTGAATCCTGCGAAGAGAAGCAAAGGAGAACCACACGACATGGGAAATCAGTGATCTAGACTAGTCATAGAGGTCCCGGCCCACTTCTTAACACCAGCAATTTACCAGGGCTGGGTGGCTTTCCTGGATGGCTTGCTGGTTGGTTGCTTGTTGTGGTTGGCCGGCCAGCTGGTGTTCATTGGTGGCTTTTTGTCATTTGGTCGTTGGTTTTTTTGCGTTAGCCGGTTGGGTTGGTCGGTTTGTCAGCCGGTTGGGGCCGGTTGTTCGCCCGGAAGGAAGGTTAGCTGGCTAGCTGGCCATCCGTCTGTTGGTCTGTTGCTTGGCTGGCTGGCTGGCTGATTGGCTGCTTGGTTGCTGCCAGTTTGACATACCTCCCTTCGTTCGTTGCCGCGGATCTTTGGTAACTTGGCGCCGCCTGCAGCACCAAAGCCTCCACGTCACGCTTCGACAAGGTGGGCGCGGGGCCATGCCTCACGCGGGAGGCTCGGTACCTCTTTGGGCTGGCTTTATGAAACCCCAAGGATTCCAAGGAAAGGCGACTGTTTCGGGACGCTTCCTTGTTAGAAACAAATCCATGTCACCTCCGTTGAAATGAGGAAGCTTCTGCACAGCCTCCGTGTATGCAAACAACGAGCACGGCCGGCCTGAAACGCAGCAAGACTGGGCCCAAGCGATGGGACGGGCCCAGGATCCTTTTTGGGCCCAGATTTGGCTTGGGTCTCATTCATGGGCCAATCTAGCGCCGGAGTCACCGGATTCCCAGGTACACTCCCAAAAGGGTGGGTATCCAGGTGGTGTGATGCGTTTGGATGTTCCCTTTGCACTGTCCATAAGAACTTTCACAATTTTCCAAGGTCTGACACATGCTCTAGAGGGTGTCCAGGATGTACAGAATGAACTGACCAACTTGCGGCTTCCGTTTGGGAGAATCAATCATAGGCCATTCTTGGTTGGCCTTGAATCCCTGAATTTGTTATCCTGCTTTGTTCGTGGGGAATCAACAAAAAACTCCCCAAGGCCAAACCGTCAAAGGTCACAAGCCAAAGGGCAACTGAGGCATTCGGCGCTCCTGACCAACAAAACAAATCAGGAAAAAAACATCTCACCTTTGGCATTCGCAGGGGGAACCGGGGGTATGGTCCTTTGAAGCATTTCCGCCAGGGCGGCTTCGACCAAACCTCCCTGGAGCTCTCCTTTTCGACCGCACCTCAACAGCCGGAGCGTCACATCCTCCTGGTTCGCGGCCATGCAAGCCTTGAGGCAGGCCTCGGACGGCAAGATTCTAGGGGTTGATTCCGTGTCATTCTTTTCAACCATCAAAAACCTGGGCTTTTTTTTCTCCTCTGGGTGTCCGGAGGTTTTCTAGAAACAAGAACTTTTGGAAAGAATGGAATTGGGATAGGTTCCGCTAGAAAGATGACACATTGGGTGCTTCTCAAAAATCCGCGACCCTCCAAGTGGTGTCCTTGTCGTTTCCACCACTAAAACCATGGTGGGTTTCCTCAACCATCCAACAGGGGGGGGTTCCCGATTTTTTTTGACATCAGCCGAAGGAGTGTAAGGGCTCGTGAGGTCAGAACCAAGACCGGGTCTAGCAGCCTAGCATGGTGGAATGCGAGCCATTGCACATGCTATTTGATGGGTCTCATGCGCGGTAAGGGACAGAAGGAGGCACATCTCTCCCGCAAACAAGACAAGTACCACTGGCAATTCCGAAGACTGCAAAAGATCGCAAGAAAGAGGCAACGTGCCATATTGCCAATTGGGCAGTGCAACATCCTTCACCTGAAGCTTGACCTGCCTCATTCGCAGCAATAAGATGGGTGGCGTCCATCACCCTGAAGAATTCAGCGGTGATTTTGGATTGGAACAAAAACAATGTATCAGATCCAGCATATCTAGACTTTGTAGATCCCAGTTACCATTTTTCCAATTTGGTGGTTCCCTCTACCTAGTATGTAAATGGGTGTTGCTCTAATTGGGGGATCCCGAAATGCTGGTTTGCCCGTTGGTGTTCCCTTCAAAACAGCCGCAAACAAATGCATCGTCAAAACAATCCACACGCACCAACGTGTTGATTTCCAGTCTCCTTTTTCAAAGGTCGCTTTCAAGTGGAAAGAACACCGAGCCGGCAGAGCTCAAAAAATTGGACTCGCTGGGTGCCTTAGGTCAACTGGGGCCCAAAAGCTGCTGCCCGAGGGCCCGAAAGCTCAGTGCCTCCGACTGCAGCTCCTTGCTGGAGAAGAGCAGTGCCTCACTCGCTCGCTCGCGTCACAAGCTTCCTCTGGGTGCCGAACAGGGGGTGGTGTGAAGGACACCTATGTTTCTTAGCTTCACCAAGAAGCATTACAACCTGTTTCTTGTCTCCACTCAGTTGCCCAAGGCCGACCTATTGACCGTTTGTTGTCCCCGTGTTGGGTTCCCATGTTATCTGTTGTTGGGAAAACACATGGCCCTGGCTGGTAGATTATCAAACAACGGGGCCATCTATGTTCTATCAAAGCAACCAAAAGGGACGCCTCTGCTAACAAACATTGGCTACTAGTCTGACAGCGCAGAGGGAACAAATTAGACGGTGTATATATCGTAACACCAAGATGGCTTAAAGAACTTCCTGAAACATTCGGAACACATCAACAGCCAGGGCTAAACTTACTCCTTTACCTATTGCGTGCCTGATGCTGCTGTAAGAGCTGATTCCACCGATTCTTGAGACAGCTGGTAGAAATGTCTGGCTATTTGATGCAACCCACGAAGGTTGGCAGGGGCAATGTCAGACAAAGGACAACCGGAAAACTGCCTGCAAAGAAGGGCGAAGGAATTGCTTGCAAGCCAACAAATGTGCTTGCCAGCTGGTCAAGGAGTGCTGTCCCAAGCGAAACAACACCTGGGCAAGCAAAACTCGCGGTAGTGCTGATGCAGCGGCCTTCGATGGTCAGCAACACGACAAGTGCCATGCGCTCCATGCAATTTGGCCTCAAGATTTATCGCAATCAACTTGACTCACTTCCCATCGAGTGGACTGGCCAACAAACCGTCCACACTTTGCATTTACAAAGGTGACTCAAGTCCAGGAGCTTGGGAAGTCAAGTTAGTCAAGCAGGAAGCATGGCGAATTAAGCTGCCAAAGAACCGTTGGCAACTTCTGGCTGGGATTTTCAAATTTGAAGCTGTTAGTTGCCTATGGGTTTGTCCACGGAGCCCCCCCTGTTAGTTGCTGGTGCTACACAGCCTCGTGCGCGCGGCGCTCGCGTTGGCAGTGTGTTTAAATTCCAAAAATGCAATCTTAAATTACCAAAGCTACTGCCAATACTATCTCCTTTCATGGTCTCAAGGGTTGCCATTCCAGAAATCTGAAAATGGCTGGCTGGAAACATCAAATTTATTGTTCCATGAAGGAGACGCACGCATATTTCATATTTCCTTCCTTGATCTTCTGTTTTGCTTAAGAGACACCCAAGCTGCTTAACTACCACCAAATTTCTGAAATCATCGCTGTGGCACGGTGTTTTGCGTTTTGCCTTCACTGGTGGCCCCCTTTCCCCGGGTTCCCCGAACCCCCTCCCCCGAGTTCCCCGGAGCGCCCCCCGCTTTCGGCCGTGTCGGGGGCCGAGCGCCGGGCCAGCGCGTGGGACCACTGGGCGGCCAGGGCAGACAGCTGCGCCGTGGCGGTGACCACATCCCTCGACGCGAGACGCGAGCGAGAGACGCGAGCGAGAGACGCGAGCGAGAGACGCGAGAGATTTGCAGGGAATTGGAATCAAGACGGACGCGAGAAATGGGGGGAATGAGGTGGAATGAACCCCCCCGGCCTTGAAATCAAATAGCTTGCGTTGGTAGGGTTGGGGTTGGTTGGAATGAACCCCACCGACTTGAAATCAAATCGCTTCTCAGTTGGGGTTGGTTGGGAATAAATAGCTTGGTTAGGGTTGGGCTTGGGGTTGGTTTGGGGTAGGAATAAATCAATCGGTGCGATTGGCAGGGAGCGAGAAAGTGCATGATTCCTACAAATTATTCTGCACGGTTTCCTTTATTCGGGAGTCGACAGGTTCATTCCCTCATTCCGCTGAGCACAAGCAAGATGAGCTGGTTGGAATGAACCCCACCGACTTGAAATCAAATCGCTTCTCAGCATCCAAATGCTTGGTTCGGGTTAACTAGGGTCGGTTAGGGTTGATTAGGGTTGGTTGAGGTTGGTTTGGGTTGGTTTGGGTTGGTTGGGGTTGGTTGGGGTTGGTTTGGGATGGTTGGGGATGGTTAGGGTTGGTTTGGGTTGGTTAGGGTTGGTTGAGGTTGGTTTGGGTTGGCTTGAGTTAGTTGAAGTTAGTTGGGGTTGGTTGGGGTTGGTTGGGGATGGTTAGGGTTGGTTTGGGTTGGTTAGGATTGCTTGAGGTTGGTTAGGGTTGGTTAGGGTTGGTTGGGGTTGGTTAGGGTTGGTTGGGGTTGGTTAGGGTTGGTTTGGGTTGGTTGGGGTTGGTTTGGGTTGGTTTGGGTTGGTTGGGGTTGGTTGGGGTTGGTTTGGGTTGGATAGGGTTGGTTGGGGTTGGTTAGGGTTGGTTGGGGTTGGTTGCGGTTGGTTGGGGTTGGTTAGGGTTGGTTTGGGTTGGTTGGGGTTGGTTGGGGTTGGTTGGGGTTGGTTAGGGTTGGTTAGGGTCGGTTTGGGTTGGTTAGGGTTGGTTGGGGTTGGTTAGGGTTGGTTGGGGTTGGTTAGGGTTGGTTGGGGTTGGTTAGGGTTTGTTCGGGTTGGTTAGGGTTGGTTGGGGTTGGTAAGGGTTGGTTTGGCGTAGTTTGGGATACTTCAACTTGCCTCTCAAGTTGCTGGCTGAGATTGGACGTTTGGTACTTCGGGGCGCCTTCCCGTGTATACAACAACCAAGGGCTCAAATCCCGAACCAATCCAAACTACCAACTAACGGGTGCGTGAACAAAGGGGTCGGACAAAGCAAACATTGACCCGTCCCCTGTTGGTTTTCTGTCTGTTTGGGGGAGGCAAAACCCCACCGTTGGTTTACATTGGGGTAATTCAACACATTTGGGTTGCTGGGCCTAGAAACCTTGAACATCCCATACCCTGTTGGTTTTCTTTTGAATACAAATGAGGTTCGTAGCAGCCAGCAACCCTGTAGCAGGCAAGCGTTCCAATTGGGTGTCGTTCATGGATTCATGGAGTACGACTTTAAATTGAGGACCCCTCGGTGCACATTGTGACGATATGTGTGTTTCTTACTTCAGTGGACCCCCAACCAGTTCATTCAGCTTGGGGCCAGTCATTGTTTGACACCTGAACTGCGTTAAGATTAAGTAAACCATGTTTGTTGGATATCAACAACATCAAATGTGGCATCAAAGAAAACCTTTGTATATATGGCACTTGTGCCGCCAACCAACAAACGTGAGGGCACTTTAAAACGGTTGGCTTTTCGTCAGGCTGCATGTATCAATCTTAAGCAGGGGCTAGAAGTTTGGGTGTTCTTCCCATTTGGCTAAGGTCTGCATAGCCATGCGCGCGCACTTGGGTGGTCGCGTGTGCCATTGCTAGCACGGCAGACTGCTGACAAATACATGGCTGTGGGTCAAAACCAATGGTACCATTTTGGGGTAGGTGCACCACCGATTTTAGTGGGGATTGGGATGTTCACTGGGGAACGATTTGGATTTTGACCCATGGCCACATCGCTGCGTGGTGGTGGCCGACAGATTGACACCATTGTCTCCGAATGGGTGTGGGTCAAAATAGGTACCCACAATTGAACCCTGGTAAATGGAAACAAGGACTGACAGCTGCGGTCCATATCCTGGTGGTTTAATTTTGATCCATACCCAAATCATCTTGTTCAGGTCTCCAACAGAAAGCAAGAAGGCACTCGAAAACCATCGAGAAGGCTTCAATAGAGGGTCTCTCAACACCGCGGCCCCTCTGGTTTGCAAAAGATAGGGAAACAACAAGGAAGCCAGCTCTTTTAGGAGGCGGACCGCTAGCAAAGTTGAAGCCAGCTACTTTTGGGGACTCATTTTGGGGGGCCCACTCATCTCAGAAACCTGTGGCACAAAACCACGTGTGCGAAAATGGCACCTTGGTAAATGGCACTCATTTCAGGGGCCGTCTCTTCTTTTGAAAAAATCCCCCCCCCCCATTCCTCCCCCCCAAAAAAAAAACATGAGACCCTCCCCTCCCCCATTGGCCCATTGGCCCATTCACCCATTGGCCCATTGGCCCATTGGCCTCGTTTTGGCTCTCGTGGTCTCGTCTCGTGGCTTCCCCCCCACGTCAGCGCCTGCCTGGGGCCCAGCTGCAAGGCGGCCTGCCACCGGAGCCCACGGGCCAGGGCGGTGACCTGTCGCGCAGATACCCCGAAAAGAACATCGCTGCATATCTCTATGTAAATATAATACATATATATATATATATATATTCTCTATATATATATATATATGCCGAACAAAACATATGTATACATACATGTGTATATGTATATATATATATTGAATTATTATGTAGTATTTCCCTATATCTCTCTTTGAAACACCACCCGACTTCCGTGAAACTTCACCCGACTTGAATGAAACTCACTGTTGCTCGCCCAAACGGGCTCTGACGCCCGAAAGGGGATGCCTTCATGCACCAAACGGGAGCCCTGGGAACATGCGCAGGTCCTACATTCAAGTAGCCTATCAAACCAAGGCATGACAACCACCCGTGGTATATACTCAAGGATGGATCTCCTTGAACAGAATGATCACTATCACTATCACCTAGCCGCCTGAAGGCGTGCGGGTTGCTTGCTTCATGTCCGAGCGTCTCCGACCATTTGGGTGTCTCTTTCTTGAAGGCTCCACTTGTTGGGGCTGGTTGAATGAGAGACCAAGAGGAAAACCACCCTTCCCGGGGTTCCCCTAAACAGACACACACACATTTGCCTGCAACCAGAAAGTTAGAAACCTTGGGACACAATATTTAAAGTCGTGCCCTGCACTCCCACAACCTCCCACCCCGCAGAACAGAACGAAATGTTGCAGTATCAAATCGACGTCTCTTTTTTATGGGGACCCCAAAATGATGGTTTTCCTGGTGGTTCCCTTTAAAAACACACAAAACAAATGAAAAACTAGCTGAAAAAAAGGCCAGACCCAAGTACTTGCGGGTTCCATCCGCCCTCGTTTGGCCCCCCCCGGAAGCCGCCTGCACGTTGAAGCTGGCGACGTCCAGCTGGGTGCATTTCGCGGAGGCCCCCGCCAGCAGCGCCAAGGACAAGGGCCACCTGACTCGACTCGCGACTCCAAGCAATCGGAGCCCAACAGGAGAAGCAAGCGGAATACAGCTTACTTAAGCCCCTGGAACCCGTAGGAAACAGAAGTGGAACTCTTGGGGGGTTGAAGAAGCCACACAAAAGTGGCTGGAATCCACTTAGCAGGGGGGAGGGGGGGTGAAAGAAGCCACACAAAAGGAGAAGTGGTTGGAATCAACCGAGCAACAAGGGGAGGCAGGAATGTGCCCAAGTGGCATCGGGACCCAAGGCGGAACTGGAGCCGAATCTCCGTTTGAACCCGATCGACCCCATAGCTTTCCAAAAGAATTGGAACCGCTTTTTTTGGTGTAGACATAGCCGTGGTCCCACTCGGGTAGCCTTGTTTCTTCCGGGGTAGCCATAGCCATGGTTCCCCGTTTCCCCCCCTTTCCCTTTGCAGTGACGCGAAGGGAAGGAAGACATCACCATGTTTTTGTTCTTTCTTTCTTTTTTCCGTTTTTTGGGGGTTCACATTTTTAAATGGGGGCTCCACCATTCACAAAGCGGCTTGGGTGGCATCAGCCCGCGCACATTGGGGGCCCCAGAAAAGGCGCATCAAACCAAAGCAACCCATCTGGGTATGGGTCAAATTGTTTAACCCGCCAGGAACCGGACCGCAGGTTTGAGTCCTCGTTTCCATTTGCCAGGGTGCCATTTTTGGGGTTATTTTTGACCCACAGCCATGTCTGCGGTCCTCCTTATGTTCTGTTCGAAGCCAACCTGAAAGATGTGAGCCTCAAACCAGGGGAAGGCTCTGGCCATCCGACTTTTCGTGCCCGCCATTTGCAGAGGCCCCTGTTGCCGTGGCGGAAACATGGGTTGATCAAAAGGTCCATCCTGGAGTCTCCACGATCCTTAAAAAAAAGATTATTACCAAAAATAACGGGGTCATGGACCCATGTTTGAAGGGTCATGGAGAGTCTAGGTTTCCATGGGATGACCATTGGTTTGCAAAACTGCTAAAAAATAAGATACGTTGATACGCCCCACTAAATGGGAAAAGTGGTCCATGGATATCTGGGTGATCCACCCCCACATGTCTAAAGTGCGTCGCTCACAGGTTCGACAACATGTGGACGGGGATATGCTGGCCCGAGCATAGATGGCAAACCCACAAGGTATACTGGGAACTATGCGGCATAAGCCAGAATACTGAACTTTGGTCTGCATTCACAACTACATTGGATACAGTGTGCTATGTATATATATATATATATATTGTATATTGATGCTGGGAACTAAGGAAAACTAACTAGGTCCTCCAGTAGAGACGTTAGAACAAGGGTACCCTTTTCTGTAGTCTATTTTAGTAGGGAACCCTCCCCCAACAAAGCGTAAAAGGGCACTACTGGGGCACCAAGCCAAGCAGCCCGCAAGATGTCACCGAGCCCCGCCTGGCGATTCGTGAGAGGCCCGCGGCAGCACTGCTGAGGCCCTCCTGTGCATGGGGCTGAGGGTCTTTGGATTCCTTTTGTTGGGGGAGCCTTGGGTGGAGATTGGAAACATTCTTTAGGGTGGGGTTTCATGGAACTAACCATAGGGAAATCATAGGGAAACCATAGGGAAACCATTTTTTGGGAAACCATAGGGCAACCCGTTTGTTGGCGGGGGCCACTATCTTAAGACACAACTAGGTGAATGTTCATGTCCCACTCTTGAAAGTCATAGCCATAGTCTGCCCATTTTATGGTTGGTGTGTTGTTTCTTTTTGGGCTTCCGTATTCTAAGAGACACCCGGATCCCACAATCTCTGCCAATTCCACTTTTGAGGGGGTCGGTTCAGATGCTTGCTTCATGTTTAATCAAATTAGTCAACATTAGTCAACACCTAAATTCCAATCGCAAAACGAAAACACCTATTTGGCTTAAGAGATCAGTCAACAAAAAAAACGAAAAACGTGGAAACCTCCAGGAATGCGTGTGTCCTTGTTTGGGGGACCTCCTCCCAAAGCTGTGGTTTCCTTCCCTTCAGAGCCAAAAACGAGGCACCAGCTCCAAGAAGAGGACCCCCCAAAAACGGTGGGCCTTCCTGGCTGCCCTCAGATCCCCCGCTTAAAAGTGACTAACTTTTAGTGGGCTAAATACGGAAACTGCCACTAAGCACTAAAAGGCTAAAAAGCTAAGGAACCGGATGGCTGCCTGGAGTCTCCATGACCCTTTAAAAATGGGTCAACCCCATTATTCTGGGTAATGACCCCATTTTTGTCAGGGTCATGGAGACTCCAGCTGGGAGCCACCAAGCTTCCAACAGAAATCCACGCGCCGCCCACAGGTGTCGCTCCCGCCTTCGCCGCCGAACACGCCGCGGAAAGTGCCCAGCGCCAGGCATATCCATCGGAGACGGCGCAAAGGCAGTTCCGGGAGACTGCATCCGGCTCCTGAGACTCGTCCATCTAGCGCCTTTCTACCTACCCTAGCGTTGTTTCTATTCGAGCTTGGACAACAAAGGGCTTGGACCAAGCGCTTGGCTTTTCTAGGGGTTGTTTCTCCATCTATCGCCTTTCGACAAGAATAAAGAAACAACCCCTAGAAAAGCACTTGAAGACCGCGCAATACGTTGAGCGCCAAGCCAAAGCCCTCGGCCCCGGCCCCCGGGGCCCACCTGCAGCTGGCTGCGCATGCGCTGCACCAGCGCCCAGCCCCGATGCCAGCTGAGAGAACTCAGCACGGAGTTGAAGGAGACCACGTCCACCTGGCGTGCCCCAGGGCTGTTTTTTTGGAAAAAAAAGGAGGAGGGGAGTAGGTGGAACACCTGATATTTTTTGTTTTTGAAACGTGCAAAGATCTATGGCTTTTGTTGGGGGAAGCAAAGATGGGGGGTGGGGAACACCTGCTAGTTGTCGTTTTTTGTTGTTTTACTTGTTGTTTTCTCTGTTCAAGGAAACGTGCTTAAAGACCTGGCTGTCAATTTGGTCCCTCTACAAAGGAAGGCAGTTATGCTTTGGGTTCCTCTGCAAACGATGTGTGTACCTACCGTGTCCTTACAGAACTCGTGGCAGCTGCAGCTCCTTGAAGTTTGGTTACTCCCAGCTCTCTCTCGCAACCCCCAGCCTGCAGCTGCATCTTTGGCAGCTGCCGCAGCACGGCTTCGCCGGAACTTTCATCACAGGCGGCCAGCAGCCCGTTGCCCAACAAAGGGTCCGGGCGCACGTTGGCAGCCAGCGAAAGGCCCACCTCAGATCTCAGCCATGGTGTCTCGGTGGTTAAGAAGACGCTAACCCCAACATGTGGCAAGCCCTGGTAAATGAAAACAAGGATGGTTTAAACAGTCCATATCCAGGTGGGGTAATTTTGATCCACACCCGCTTGTCAAAACAAAGGCCCAAACTTGTTCTTTGCCGCTCAAACTGAGGAGTTGCCGATCTGAGGAGTTGCCATACTATGAATGGTAAACACCAACTAGGTCCTCCAGTAGAGGATAGAATAAGGGTACCCTTCTTTTCTGTAGTCTATCTAGGGGAACCCTCCCCAAAAAAAGAAACGGTAAAAGGGCAGCACTGGGGGAACTAGGTAGAGTCTTGTGGGTGGACCTGTGCATATTCCGGGGGTACGAGCACCTGACATTTGTCAGATCCCATCTCAGGAGCTGTGTGAGCTCAGTCCCAGCAAAACATACGGATCGGTCTGCTCTTATATGCAACACCTTAAGATGCATGCGTTCTCATACAAGCCACAATATTTAAGATGTGTTGTGTTCTCAACTGACATGAGAATCTGGCAAGGCACGTCAAACCAACCAAAAAAGGGTACCCTCAGAAAGGACAATTGGTGAGGGTGCCCCATGTGATTCCGATCACCGCAAAGATGTTCGAACCCGCAGTTTGTCAGGTCTTCTGGACCAGTTGCATTCGGCAGGTTCCAATAGGGGTGTGTGTTTTGAGGGTATCCTTCTTGCCATGGAGGTCGTCTCTGAGGGCAAAGCAAACATTAAAACTGGATATAGCTTTGGCTCAGCAGCAGGAGACGATTCACAATTTCATCATCTACGATAGATGATGCGCGAAGTTGTGCTGGTCAACCGTGAAGGACGTGGCCGAGCTAAAACAAATATATACAAGAACAACTTGTGGGTGCTCAGTAGCAAATGACTGCAGGGGTCCCCGAACAAAGGCAACCACCAGTTGGATGGTTTTCCTCGGGGTCATTCCGTTTCTCATTCCCTGTCTATTTGGTAACCCATGGAAGAAAATGACCCATGGGAAGCCCACCCCCTGTTGGTTATCAGTTTTCTGGAAAAACAGAACATCTCCTTACGTTTGTATGTTGGGAAATCAACAAATGGGACACCTTCGGATTGCCAGCCACTCGAAATAACCTTCCGGCCGTCGAATCCCAAGCTGCCAGCTGCAGCGCTTTGCGCCAGTCGTGTCGGAGGCTCTGCAGCGTGTTGCTGCAAAAGCCCACGGACCCGCCGAGGCGTAAAGTCCTCCAAGGAATGACTCGCTGCGATAGGTAGGGATACTTGGTGCGATAGGTAGGGATACTTGGTGCGATAGGTAGGGATGAGCCCAGGGGTCCCCTTAAATTATTAAACGAAACCATGGGGGATGGGTAGGGAAGTAGGGAATGTGGGAGAGAACCCAGAGATGCCCTTATCGGAAATTTCACAAGTTGGATGGTTTATAAGGGTTGTTCAATTTCTGATAGGTAGGAAAGTAAGGAATGAACCCAGGAATCCCCTTAAACGGAACCACCAGTTGGATGCGTTATAGGAGTCTCTCCCTGGATCTACTTGGTGCGATAGGTAGGGATGAACCCAGGGGGAGGCTGCCCGAGGGAGAATCGCCATGTTGGGGTTGACTTAAATGGGGTGTGTGTGTGTGTCTTCTTTCTGAGGCGACCTTGCGGAAAATCGATACGTTGGGGTCCCTGATTTTAAGACATGTCCAAATCCATCCACTGGCCAACGGGGGAACGGATCCATGTCGCGGAAACTGCAAAGCAAACCAGGAATGTGTCAAAAAAGAAGAAGTTTTGCAGCCCATGTTTGGTGGAATGCCCCAGTAGTATCCCTTCCCAAACTCAGTTGTTCAGTGACACTGGAAAAAAAGAGGGAACCCTTTTTGGGGAAGACCATTTTTAGTGGGGCAGCCACCAAAAAAAAGGGAAAACGGGTGCCACTGAACAACTGAGCAAAAATGGGGATTGCTTCCGAGCCTCCAAAAAGGAACCAACCCCTTTGCGCCCAGCAGTTCCGCCCCTCGACCTGAGCCAGCACCGTTTTTGCCGACCCGGATCCCGGTGACTATTGGCACCAGAAAAATGTGCTTTTGGTGTTTCAAGCGTGGTTACCATTAACTGGAATCAGCGTAGAATCCCTGGGGCCTTTGAACCCATGCGCAAACAACAGCCATACCCTTTCATAGCCGTGCGCAACAAATTTTGCCAGATTGCAGCCTATCAGGGTCCATCGTCTGTGGACCTTTCTCCCCTTGACATTCGGAATGCATTTCACTGGTTGCTGGGTTGCTGAAATGATCCCTCTAAGTGTTTCACCAATTCGGAAATCCGGGCTGTTTCAACCAAGACAAAGGTCCGGCGCCATTTCCCCCCGTGACCTTCACCCTTGCAGGGGGTCAGTGGGGACCATGGCTTCGACATTCGGAGCGCCCACAGGTCCTGAGCTCCACGTCCAAGGAGACCACCTTCTCCCACTCCTCAGTTATTCAGTGACCCTGGAAAAAAGAGGGAACCCTTTTTGGGGAAGACCATTTTTAGTCGGGCAGCCACCAAAAAAAGAAAGAAAGGAGAAAACGGGTGCCACTGAGACTCTCTTCGCCGGGCGATAGCGCTGCTGGCCGCGGCAGCCAGCGCAGTGTCCAACTGTGCGATTTTTCTGGAGCGGAAGGAGGGGATCCAGGGCATAGGTGACCTTTTCTCGGCTGCGAAATTTGCTCCCCTGCTAAAAATGACTAACTTTTAGTGGCTTAATGGAAAACCCATTCGTTGGCAAAAAGTTAAAGTCCTAACAGCCAAGCAAAATGCACAAAAGTTTTGGTTAGCAATAGATGGGCTCTCTGGTAAATGGGGCATGAAACCCATCTAAGCCGACAAAACCTGTCTATTTCGAACCGAACTAGCCATCAAAAGAACACTAAAGAACACCTATGATCCGGGAAGCTGCGCGATCGGGTCCTAAACCTTGTGTTCATTCTGTAGCTTGGCATGCGACAGTACCTCAGCCCCGCGGCCAAGGGGCCTCACGTCTGGCGTGTCTTCATGGGTTGGAAATGGTATCATCTTCACTGTTGGTGTTACACAGGCAGTCTGGAAAGGTCCCCAAACAGCAATATTTGTGTGGTATCCTGAGGCGAAGTAATGAACAAGCATTGCTTAGCACCCATGACATTGTGAAAATTAATCACCAATATCCCACATGCATTCACCCGCAATGCTGCTATGCTCCAGCCACGCTGCTCGTGTTTGTGACAGCTTGGTATCTTGGGGGTTGCTTCGTTTCCAAAGCGTGAAAGTTTCTACTGACGTAGGTTCACAGCGGCTGAAGTACAAAGTCATTGAACAAGTGTGCGCTTCCTGTTTGGCTCCCTGGTCTAAATGTCTTAAATGCAACCTTAAGCATATTTGAAGACCTAAATTTCGGCTCTACTCTGACATTCACAGCCCAAACAGAGTACCCGGTGATAGAACACAATCATTTGCATGGCTCGCAGGTGCCACACCGGCAAGCTGACATGTTGCTGGAGCGCTGGGCAATGCGCACACCCACGCAGAGTGTAGACCGGGCCACATGTAAAACACCTGGTTGAATCCATAGATCCGGCCAACACATGACAATCATCGGAATCTAGTCTAACGAAGGTAATATGCGCTTCTGGCCTGGCGAATTGCTTGTGTTGTATGAGGCCGAGTCTTGCAAATCTCAGTGGTTCTTGCATCTCCTCCGTGGGAGCGCTGGGCGCTAGCATTTGGAACAAGCATACATTCATGACATGAAGAGGGACATCATTGATGTGCACTCAGGGTGATGCGCAGAACCATGTCTGCTGGAAGCCGATTCGTGAGGGGATCTTAGGTGCACCTGCTTCCGGATACCCCAGGCGGATTTCTTGCTGGCCATGCCATGCGCCAGCAACCCCCCCCAAGAGGACACAAAGTCTCAGATGGAGAAGCCGCATCAAACAGGCATGAGCAGTAGCAGTAGCAGTAGCTCCTAGCTGACCGTGCTGGCGGCGTGTGCGCACATAGTATGTTAAAGGCAAAATCCCCGTGTCATCGGTGACATATTTCATGGCCGCTTTTGGGAACTTAGCTATGTTTGCTTCTTCCTTTCGTACATAGCAAGAAGGAGTCCGAGAAAACTGCTGGCTGAAACATGCTGGCCGTGCTCTTGGTTTGGGCTTGGTACCACCTGGTATTCAATGAAGGCGTCAAACTATCAATGGACAGGCAGTATCAAACACATGGCACACAACACACACACACAAACAACACCCACACACAGACACAAACAACACACACACAGACAAAACACACACGCACCACACGCACCACACGCACCACACACACACACACTTCAACTCCCAAACACACACACACAAGACATACGCACACAACACACACACACACACAACCTGCCCCCATTGATGCAGGAGCAACAACCTGTCCGTTCTCGAACAATGTACCTTTTGCTTGAATACGTTTGGCAGCGATCCGGAAACGCAGGGGAGGAACCCCAAAAATATATTTTTCCCTTTTGGTGTCCCTTTAAAACCAACAAACATGCCCTCCAAAAAAGACCCCCCAAAAAAAACAAATGTCCATGAGAAGATGGCGTCGCTCGAAATCTGGGAAGGCCTGGAGGCGGCTCACCCGGCAGACTCGCCACAGTTCCAGGGAAGTGCGCCAGCGCGGAGGTTCCTGTGGTTCTTGGATCGGGGAGATGCGGGGGGTGGTAGAAAACAAGACTTAATGCAACACCAGCAAAATGGGTGCTGGTGTAATTCAAACACGAATCATTCCAGCCTCGAATCTCAACCTTACTAAAGAAGGTCTTGTCAATGAGGTAGTATGTAGAACTAATAATAATAATATTGCTGTGATGGGAAAGGAGGATGGGTCCCCTCCCAACAAAGGTTGGGGGGGTTGGGGGCTAGGTGTTTCCCAGGGTCTTCCCGGGAGGAAGGGTACTCAAGTAGTGGTTTGGCTGCCAGACACAAAATGCGACTAGGCTGTCTGGATTGAAGCTGACTTTGGATGCAGATCAAAGAGGATCTTTGAATCAATAGCTGTCCCATCAAAAGGACACCTTATGTTTGAAACAAGGGAAGGAAGGCTCAAACTTCAAACCCAGCCTGAGAATCCGATTCCATGGAATATTTACCCACATTTACTCTCATGGGTCCATGGATCAAAAGTTGGCAAGAAGAAGGAAAACAACACATCCCTGCATGGATTGCTTAAACCTATTCTACCTTCATGGCGCTGTCCTCATGCTGTCCACGTGCAAGGAGCAGCTTCCGCTCCGGTCCGCCTAGTAACTTTCAGATCGACTGATACCATCTGCCGGAAGAGTCCACCTCACCAGCAAGAGTCCTTGCCACACCTCAAATTGGCACCAATGCAGGCAAATATGAAGGGGGTCAAGTTGGCTGATCAATTGGCTGGTAATCATACAAAGTCTAACTTGTTGGTTTGTTCACCATCAAACGTGCTGACTTTGGCGTGCCAATCAATAGCAACACAAGCTGTTCTCATGTGGGCAAAGACTCCATGTTTGGGCGCCCTTCGCTCAAGTTCCAAAAGAACCGCATGACACAAGATCAACTCTGCCATGCACCAGTTCTGGCGTCACATCTTCGAACCTGCTACATATGGCTGTGGCTCAAAAACCGGAATTCCAAAATGGAACCCTTGGTAAGTGGAAACATGGACCAAAACCTGCGGTTTGCCCCTCCGATCGTTTAATCTTTAGCCACACCCATATGTTCAGGCCATGCTCCAAACGGCTATCCTCATCCTCCTCCTCATCCTCATCCTCCTCCTCATCCTCCTCCTCATCATCATCACCCTCGCCTCATCCTCATCGTCATCATCATCATCATCATCATCATCATCATCATCATCATCCGGCTTTTCTGTGTGGACTGCCATCCTTATCCCTCAGCTTTGATTTTGGAGGGAGGCCTGGCAGCTGCTGGCCGCTGCGCAGTACGCGAAGGCGTCCAGGCGCACCAGGCCATGGTTCGCGTGCCTCCGAAGGGCTCGTGGGGGTGGGGGGGTGGGAGGTGGGGGGTGGAGGTGGGGGGTGGGAGGTGGGGGGGTGGGGGGTGGGAGGTGGGGGGTGGGAGGTGGGGGGTGGGGGGTGGGGGTGGGGGTGGGGGGTGGGGGTGGGAGGTGGGGGGTGGGAGGTGGGGGGTGGGGGGGTGGGGGGTGGGGGTGGGGGGTGGGGGGGTGGGGGGGTGGGAGGTGGGGGGTGGGGGGTGGGGGGTGGGGACGGGGAACTAGTAAAAGTATGCATGTTCAAAGACAAAGCAAAAGTGAAAGGTAAAGCATAAACTACACAGATACTACACATGGCCGCCAAAAAAACTAAAAGGTAAAAACGTGCCAGTGGGCTGTGTTGAAAGGACACTTCGCAAAAAAACTAGTTCGCCAGAAGCTTCAGCAAGTCTACTCAAAAGCACCTGCAACTTCTCCGAAACCTGCCCTCCAAGCTCCCTCTGGACTAGGAGCCCACAGCGTTCGTTGAGAAACAAATGCCGATGAAATCAGCTCGATTTGGAACATGGCCAGCACGCTGATACAGAAGCCTTCATAATAATGACACGTAAGCTTGTACTGGGGTGATGCTAACTTGCGCTGTGATTGAATGGATTGTTCGGTGCTTGGGTGCTAGCTAAAGAATCAAGTGTTGCCATGATTGCCTTTACACCACATGGCTCGTCCGACAGTTCCGTGAGCTCGTGTTCTCGCTCTGAATCTCATTGTGAATGCACAACAAAAAACAACATAATCAGTTCAGCCAATCGTTTGCATCATGTTAAAGTGCTGAGCCCTTTGCCCTTGGCAAAGGCTGATGCAACCTCATCGACTGTTCATCAACGGCAGCGCTTGCTGGAAGAGAAGAGACTTGCCGTGGCGTTTCGCATTTGTTTGCTTGCAGGAGGAAGCCCCAAAGTTTGCATGTTGTATGTTCGGCAATCATGTTCGTTCAACCAACAACTGTGTAACAATGCAAAAAACCCGGCAAGCAAAACACACACACACAAACATAGTAAACCAAACATCTGCATCCCCGTATGGCTTCCTTTTGGACAACCACCAATCATGAGTCATAATAAAACCCGGTATCAAAATGGTCTACCCAGAGCCATGTAAAGAATTCAGAAGGCGGCAGCTATTTCTGGTTGTCCCTTACTAACCTTCATCAATCCCCGGGTTTTGATTGTGGCTCACATACGGACAGCTAGCACCCAAAGCAAAAACCCTGGCAAGCAAAAAACACACACACACACATACTAAACCAAAAATATCCACCCCCACATGGCTTCCACCGTTAGCACCCAAAGCAAAACACGGCGCATCGCGTTTCTCACAGCCGAGCAGCCGCAGGAGCTGCAAGCTGGCCTTCCACTTCGAAGCCTTCGCCAGCGAGTTGAGGCTCCTAGCTCAAGCCACGGGTTTTGCGCGGGGAAACGCAGCGCAGGTCTTAAACTCGGCCAATAAGGACGCTACAAAAGGGGTTGGTTTCCCTTAAAAGGGCCTTGAAAGGGACAGTTGATCCCGTTTTCCAAGCAGAGACGCCCATGAGGCTTGCATTTAGACCACGCGAAACCAAATGTGGCAACACAGGACCCTGGGCCGCTGGGCCTCCCCTGATTTTGAGGCGCCGAAACTCAAGGAGTTTCCCTTCAGACGCGTGTGATCCTTTGGAAGAGAGCCTGTTAAGCGCCCCTGGGCATAGGAGTCCGCACTGCACTGAGGCTTACATCCGAATCCGGGGTCCAGAAGCCCAGGGAAGGACATGTGGGTCGAGGTTGGGTCTTGAGGGGGTGCCGTTGTGAGTGTTCTTCAGGTCTAGTATAACTACATACCGGTAGATGTATGAGTGTGTCATATAAATCACAATATGAACAAAATCAGACCAATAATACCAGTAGTATCAATGACAACAATAAGAACAGTACCACCGCTAACATTTACAAGGATCATAATGTTGACCCCATATTCATCAACCCCAGTTTATTAATAGGGGGGTGCCCATGTCTGGGTTTAGTGGGGAATCAGACCACTTTTGGAGGGGAACACCCCCACATAAACTGGGGTTGATGAATATATGGGGTCAACATTACGACATAGAGTATACCTACAAACATACTAACAAGACAAACAAAAACATCTGTATCAATGACAACAAGACAAGTACCCATCTAAAACATCTTTACAAGGGGTGACCCTGCAAACAAAAAGAATTGGAACCCTTTTTGGGGCTTGGGCCAGTTTTAGTGGCGCCACCCAAAAAAAAGGCCACTGAAGAACTGAGATACTGGGGCGATAGCCCCCAAGCCCGTTGCACGCCCCCCCTCCTGGTACATTCGAAGAGATCCGACTCGACGGCCCCAGGCATCGGCCCATCCTCAGATCCGGGACCCATGATGGCTCTAAGCCCATGGGGTGGTTTGTTAAAACCTCCACTAAAACCCCATGTTTGTTTCACCCCATGTTTAAACTCCCAGTGTTCAACCAAAGATCGCGGTTGAACAAACAGCCAATGGGACCAATCTTGTTTAAGCAAATGCTGGTTTCTGGGACCAGCTGTTTGCTTAACCAAAAAAGGGAGTCAACAAAAAACTCAATTTGCTTGGGACTGTTTGCTTAAACGAAAATGGGGCGCTCACTTCCGATCGAGTGCATTGGTCAACAAGTAGAAAGTCCAGGAACCCAGGGAGTGAGGACCACTGGCCCTCACTCAACCTCCATTGGCTTTTTCGCCTTCTTGGAAAAAATGAGAATACATTTGCGATAGTATGCAATAGTGACAGATTCCCTTTCAAGCCCACATAACCTATTTTTGTTTCAGCAAATGGAAGTAAACATGTTGGGAACCAACAAAAAACGAAAGGTCGGATCAAAAGGTCGATTCGCAACTTGGGCAACTGAGGTGTCCCCTCTGCACCTTGAATCTTATGGGTCAAAAGAAAACCCACAGTCGGGGACTAGGTCACCCCAATTTTTGTTGACACATCGGGGTTGATCAAAAGGGTTTATGAACATGCAACCATTGGAAACCACCAAATAGCTGATATGTCTCACATGGGAAAGTCACCCATCGTCATGTGGGGGCCAGGAATAATGTTCAACCCCTAATACCCAATTAGAACTGGGGGTTGGGGGTACCACTTGAAACATGTCATGACCAGAAGAAGAAACGTAATTAAGCAACTTCCCCTTGTCACTGACTTTGGTGTTTTGGATTGGTGCTTTGGCACTTTGAGGGTGCATCTAAACATGGGAACCCCTGTTTGGATCATGTAAACCAGCAGAACTCCCAAATTGTTTGGGCCACCTTTGGACAACTCTGCAAAGGTCATTTCACAGTGACTCAACGTGACTTTGCATGCCACTGCCCATTCATGCTTCTAAATCAGATCCGATTTGGGTCTATCGCCAGATCTCCAGTGGTCATGGGCAAGAGGGCACCCTTTTGGGCTATTTGATTTAGGGGCAGCGTCCGTTTTTGTCCAACTGCATTCCTTTCGGCACATGGGACACCACATTGAAGCCAAGCCTCGGCCGCGCCATGCAGCGTCAAGCCTAGGGTGCCAAAGGCCCGGCATTTGGTTCAGTTCATTGCAAGTGATCAGGCTCTATGAAAGGTAAAACCATTTACCTTGCTGGAAGGTTCTGTCCAGCGAAAGCAACAGCAGCTGCTTTTGGTAGAAGTCATGTGCCTCGAATTGTCCTCGGAAGCTCATCTCCCAAATACAAACCCAAGCTTCTAGCGGACAAAACCGGGTACGTTGCATTAAGATACCTCCTGGACAGCCCACCTGCGTATCTCTGGTTTCTATATCAGGCTCAACTCAGTCGCGCTCATCTTGCTTGATTGCGCGCAGTCCTTTCTTGGTATAACATGAGACACATGTTTCTGTTTCCTTGGTAGGAGGGGAATCCTCGGTCCAAAGACTTTCACCGCCACTCTTGAAGTCAATTGGGTGTGGCCCAAAATTTAAGAGCTAGGGTTACGCAGGGTTTGGTCTTTGTTTCCATTTACCTAGGGGCCATTTTGGGTACATTTGAGCCACAGCCAATTCTCGCAAATGCATCTTTCGCCGAGTTGCGGCGCAGAACAAGACCGCATCTGCGCTGGGATCCAATGCGTGCATGGCTTGACCGGGGAGGCGCTTAAACATGTCAAAAGCAGACAAGTACTTTAGCGTCACTGACTTTTTGAAACTTACGCCTGCTTTGACGTACTTGCGGAGCTTCAAACATTCTTCCCAGGCAACAAGCCCTTCGTTTTGAAGTGAGAGCGCCAACCAAACATTCTTGCCCCGTGCAAAGCGCTGTGAACGTGGAATATCGCCGGGAAGGACTCTACATCCGCGTCAAGGTGCCATGAATGACAACCAAAATGATGAGTTGATGAGGAATGCAATGGCTGCTATTCATTCTTCTGAAGCAGTGTGTGGCCATCAGTGTTGGAGCCATAGCGATTGGAGAGTCATGGACAAGCATCATGGCATGCCCCGCGCTTGTCTACACATGTCATGATCACGTGTGCAGTAACAAATGCCATCATCGGATTCGCAAGAGGCAAATATGTGGGCCAACGCCTGCGATGTTTGCTGAGTGTGCCTTTGCAAGGCACAGCACTGCTGGCAAGGACACGTTTCCCAATGACCTGAAAGTTGGCGATGATTCGGCCATTGAACACATATGTGAAAGGCCATGGCTGTAGCCAAAACTTTGGACACAACATATGTCTCATGTTACAATACCTATCACATCAAAAGTACCACATCAGGAGTCCAATGCCCACTGGCCTGAAGGACAGGCTTTCCGTCCAAGCTGTGCAAACAAGTGCAATACCATTGACCAAATGGTTGTCCTCTTCAAGTGGGTGAAGCTAAGTGGCAGCTAGACCAAAAAATGGAGCCCTCCTGGACCCAGACTAATCCCGATTTGCATTGGCCACCCGAGTTCGCTTGTCACCAGCCCTGCAGCCGACGGCCCGAAAAATTCTCACGAATGGACCCAGGAACAGTCGGCCGGAGCCGGTTGAAAGGAGGACATCAGCCCGTACCAGGGCCAGCGGGCCACTGGTTGCGGTTTCAACATTTGAACCTCCACAGGAAATTGAGAGAGCCCCGGATGATCGCAACGGTGCGTGCGCAAACCTATGTATTGGTCCTCAGGTGTCGAGCACCATGAGGAAGCAGCAACTCCGACCTAGCCGGTCGCAGGGCGCATGTTCCATTTGCTTCGGAATAAACTCTGGGAGCAAAGCAGAGAAATACCAGTTGGCAACTCAAACTTGCGGTGATGCAAGGCTTGGGCTCACCTATCATTGTTTGGTGTTCGTAGTCTATGGTGATTCATCACCTTACAAAGGGTCCAACCTGAAATACCAACATTAAACAATAATGAGTCCTTCCCAACAAGCCCTGCTCGTGGCCGAACCCGCACGCATTCACGACGCATGTGGGCAGCACCAGCGCTTCGGCTTCAGTTTGATAACGTTTGGCTGACAGCTTCTGAGCTCGAAGCATCTGATTTAAATCTCCCAACCGATGTCCTCCCAGAAGCGTTTGTGACTCCAATGCCGTACGCGTGCGGCAAGAAACAACATGCCCAACGATGGGCTGAGATCGCACCATACCAGGCATTCTTGCACCGCAGCAGCTTGGCCAGCAAGTTGAGCCAATTGATCCTATGTACGTATAGCGACGAAGTAGCAACTATATTATACATATATATATATATAATTTATAGATATGCAGTTTGGGAGGTCTAGAGTACTTGAATGTGTCCACGAATCAAGCAATTCACCAACCAAGACAGGCGCGTAAGCAAGCAAACCAAGAAGCAACCGAGCAACCAAAACCAAGCAAAGCAAGCCAGCCAGCCAGCAAGCAAGCAAGCAGGCAAGCACGGAAGCAGGCAAGCCAAGCAAGCGAAGCAAGCGAAGCAAGCAAAGCAAGCGAAGCAAGCGAAGCCAAGCAAGCAAGCAAGCTGGCTGGCAGGCAGGCAGGCAGGCGGGCGGACAGGCATGCAAGCAAGCAAGCAAGCCAAATCAAACAAAGCAAGCAAACAAGCAGGCAACCAGGCCAGCAGGCAAGCAGGCAAGCAAGCAACCAAGCAACCAAGCAACCAACCAACCCAGCAAGCAACCAACCAACCCAGCAAGCAAGCAACCAAGCAAGCCAGCAAGCAAGCCATCAGCCAAACAACCAAAGCAGCCAAGCAGCCCAACCACCCAACGACCCACCGGACTCACTTGCTTGTGGCACGTGTCTCAACCACGTGATCGACACCGGGGGTCCCCGCCACAGAAAGAGCGGCCACTCGCACGCCGGGGTCCACATCCTTGACGCTTGCCTCGGACCGGCTTGGTGGCGTTCCTTTGATCAGTTGCCCTGTTTAGAGCAACTAGGTCCTCCAGTAGAGAGGTCAGAATCAGGGTACCAACTTTTTTCTCAAGTCTATTTGAGTAGGGGAACCCTCCCCCCAAAAAAGAAACGGTAAAAGGGCACGATCCTGAAGGACCCTATAGGCAATGAACCGCCCCCAATACATCGAAGCCAATCATATACCTGGCCTCTTGGAGAACAGAAATGTATGCCAAGCTTCCGGCTGGATGAGGCCTCAAGCATTTAGGCTGTTGCGATGGCTGCAACAAGTGGCTCGGAGGCAAAAAAGTGTTTCCACATTCCAGTTTCGAAAATTTCCCTTTGAAACCAACAGTAAAACATATTGTTGAGCAAATGGAGGCAAGCGTCCCACTTCTTTTTTTTACCGGGGCCCCCGCTGCCAAGGTTTGCCCGATCTCCGGGTAGTGGCTCCGGAGCCGCGCCCCCATGGATTGAACCTCAGGGAACTGACAGCCGGAAACCAAATCGCGCCTTCCAGCACGTCCCCCTCCCCTCATTTTGTTTTTATTGTTACACAGACTGATTGCTTTTTTTGTTTAAACACAAACTGAGTTGTTCCATATCCCGTCCTCATTTCTCGTTTGGTTCTGCGTCGAAGTCATGGGTGCGGGGGTGGTTTCGAGAGCAAGCCGCAAGCAAAAGGAAAAGCAAGTGCTGGGGTGCCATTCGGAGACAATCCGCGTTTGCCAAGAAAACCTGCGGGTGCCCGATATGGTCATCCCACACAGTCTACCCCGGAGATTCACCGTGTACTGCTCGTTGAGTCATTGTGGAAGTCTGGTCCCTTTTTTCCGCAAATGGTCAGGGCTTCAGCAGATTTCTTAAATCAAGGGTATGGGCGTATGGGGTCTGGGCTGTCAAGATTCAGTCGGCGCCTGGACAAGGTCTCGCACCATGGAGTACGACGCTTCTTGCCAGGTGCTGTGTGCCTAGATGTGTGTCTCTTTTTGAAGGGTACCCTTTCTGCCTCGAGAAAACGGGCGCTTTTTTGTGGATTTCACCTGTTCTTCCCCCCTGTAGGTTCCTTTTTAGAACTCTTTTGGTACCCTATCACAAAACCACATCCAAATTGTTTTCTGGATGCCCAGAAAGATAAGTCTACAACTCAAATTGTTTTTACCTCGTTTCTAGAGATTGGAATCTCTTCCTGGGAAGGGCCCCCCTTGTTACTTTCTGTGCCCTAGGAAACCACAATAACACAGAGCTTACAATATTTCCCTCACATCCCCTCTGAAAAGACTCCCAGTAAACTGGCCCAAAGTTGATTGAACATCCAAAAACCAGTGGTGCAAAGTGTACCAGCTCCAAGTTTTGCGAAGAAAGACAAAAGGAAAAGGCAGCTGGAGTCTGAAATGACCCCGACAAAAAACGGGTGTCACTACTTGTCAGGACCCCGTTTTGAAAGGGTCATGACTCCAAAACACGACACCCTAACCCTAAACCCCCTGAAACCCTAAACCTCTACACCCCTAAACCCTGAAACGACCAAAACACGGTCCCGTTCTTCGGTCACCCATGAAAATCACCGAAACCGAAGACCCGAGCGACCCGGTGACCCGGTGACCCGGCCAGGGAGGCGAGGAGTTCCAGCGCCACTCGGCGTTGCGGGGCCTCGCCGCCTGGGCACGTTGACCCGAAAAACGCCTCCCAGTGATGGTTTTGTTGGGAGGCCCTGCCCGGCAGTGGATATTTTTTTCTGAAGTAGGTAACTAGGTCCTCCAGTTTTGGAGGCTAGAATAAGGGTGCCAACTTTTTTAGTGTAGTCTGTTTTAGTAGGGGGGGTTCCTCCCAAAACAAGAGTAAAAGGGCACTACTAGTAAACCTAGGTAACCAAGGGAACCTTACGACTTGCTTGCAATATCCTTCTCAACCAGCAAAAAGCTACTAGCCAGCTAAATTGATCCACTAGGAACCCCCCCCCCCCTGCAAAAAAGTGTGTAAATGTTGGACAACCAAAAAGCAAAAAGGGAAAAAGGCAACCTAAGCCTGGCAATGCGGGAGATATTCCCAGTAGTCCCGTGACCTCAAGATTCCCCTTCAAAGCAACGCAAAGGGTCCCTCCGAACAGACTCACCCGGATTTACTCAGTGGTGTGACCCGAAAGGTAAAAAATAAAGTTGGAACCCCTGGGATCGATTCCTTTTTGAGTAAAGCCGCCAAACAGAATTTGGATTTCGGTGTAGCTACCCGATATCCCGTGAAACCAGGTACAAACAACCTAGAGACTCCTCTGAAAGCTCGTGGAGGGTGAATGAGCCATATGTGTCAGAAGCTGTTGCCACTCTATCAAAGCTCATGACACGCCTCACATGCTGAGTTGGCTGGCAGAAGAGGTGAAAATTGAAATGTCTGGTACTTTGTTTGAAGGCTGAACAAACTTTAAAGTTTGCCAACCCAGGTAAGAAATGGATCTGCTAAGCGACAATGATTCGCACCGATATCGGTTTTGCGGATCGTCTCATTCGTATCATGCACCAGGCGTGTGGCTTTATCTGTTGTCGCTATGAAGCCCAAGGCTTGCGACCCACCGCTTGCGATCGAACAAAAAGTCCGCCGGAAAGAAACTCACCAAAAAAGGCACCAAAACGCCCTGAGCGATCAAAACCTGTTTGTCGTATCAAAATGGTCATAAAGGGCTGATTTCCCGGATGCCCCCAAGCCGCTTTGCTTCTCATTGGACATGGGCAGTTGCTGCAAGGATTTCCAAGCACGTTAAGAGGGGAGGTCCAACTGTTTTATGTTGGAAAACCCTCCCAGCAATCA